GCCGAACGGCGCCAGGCACCGCTGCTGCTGGCGTTGGTGGGCGATGCTCTGCTGGAGCCCTTCTGGCCGGAGGCTTTTCGGGGCGGCTCGCGGGAAGGCCAAAAGACGTGAAGATTGGAAATACCTGGAGTCTCCACGACCCTTAAACACATGGGGTCATTGCCCAAAGTTAAGGGGTTATGACCCCTTCTTCTAGGGGTCATGGAGACTCTAGGTAGCCTAAATGCGGCGGATCAGTTTTGAGCTTGGCAAAAGCAGCATGATTTGCAAGAGTGCATGTTTTTCCTCAAGCCCAGTGTAGCGGGGCGCCCGCCGGGGGGGGGGGGTGGTGCAGCAAGCAAATCCTCCCAGATTGACGGGATGAAGCGACCAGGACATGACAAGCACACGAGCAATGGGTCCAGCAAGCAGTCGGCATAACGTCAGATCGGAGGTTTCGAGCACTGGTCAAAGCGTTTGTCTTGCTTTAAGCCACGCATGGGCTTTCAGTATGAGGTTTGTCTATTGAACGCTTAAGGTCCTGCCAGTTGGGTGGGTTGGGTACCTCCTGGGCTCGATCCCATGCCACAGGGCCTGGGCATCACCCGGGGCTTCCTGGGGTGCCTGGACAGCTGCTGGCAGCTCAGCGAGCTCGGCCCCGGGCTCCAGGCGCGGCTCGGCGGTTCGGAGGGCGGCGGCGGCTGTGGAATGCCCTTGGCCTCGGGGAGATTGAGCGGCTTGGTCCCCCAGCCAGGTGCCCTTATATGGTTTCTTTGTTGGTTGGGAGGGTTCCCCCAATAGACATGCCCCATCCCAGGAAAGGCGCATTGAACCTTCTTGGACTCGGGGCGCTTGCGAATCTTCTAGCTCTGGTAGGGAAGGCGAGTCAGGGAGTACCAAAAGCCATAGCCAACAGAGTGTCTCTAGCCAAGGCCAAAGTTTCTAAGAGCCTTTCCTGAAGGAAGGCGAGAAAAAGGAGATGTGTGACGAGTGGGTGAGGGTGACCACATTGCTAGCCAATTTGTACTGACTTCGTTTGAGATTCCCGGGCCGAAAGTGATCCTCGTTTGACAGAAACCGCCAGCTGGGTTCTTAGCATTTCTATCACAAACTCTTTAAGGCTGTTCTACGGACCTTCCCGAAAAGCATTGGTGCAGTGGATTTACCACGGCTTCGTTGTGCAAGGCTGGTTATTGCTTGCAATATATGTTGGTCATCTGGTAACCTCCCTTGCACCGACTCAGCATCCGGCCAGGCAGCGCGGCGAGGACACCGCGAGGCCCTGCTAAAATGCTGCGCTGCGCGGGCGAAGACCTGCGCCTGGCCCGAAAGCTGGCAACGTACGTGGGTTCTGTGGAAATTGGGTGTCACAGGCTGTGGGTTTATGTTTCAACGAAGCTGAGAAGGGCAGCCTCGGCAATACACGCTCATTTTCCATGTTTGGGTGGTTTGCAGACATCATCGTTTGGGCAAATTTAAGATTAAGTTTCCTTTTGGTGCCATGTTAACAGGGGAAGCCGTTGTGGGTTCTGGGAAGCTACCTCTGGCATTCTCGTGAATAAGCTTATGTACTCGCTATGTACCCGCCTAGGGAGGGTTCTTGTTTATAAGGGGCTCAGAAGCGGGCTCTTAGGTTATGCAAGGATCCTTTTGTTGTCATTTCGCAGTTGGTGTTGTCTACTCGCCTTTACCCCTCCGTTGCGAACAGCCCGAGCAGACGATGACAGATGCACACCATTAGTCATAGCAAGCTCATCTTCGGGCAAAACAAGTCCACGCACAATGAATGAGGTGTATGACTCAGGGATTCCTTAGTTCAGGCGGTTCAAGTTGAGCCGCTCAGTGCAGATCGGTGGGTGGTGTGGCTTCCCAACTGCTCGACGCCAAGCCGGTTCCCTCATCTTCTGGGGTGAGTCCGAGTGGGTCCCGCTACAGCAAGAAACCAGGCAAGTGTCCCTTTTATTTTTGAGGTTGGTTCCCATGTTTACGAGTTTATGCCTACCATGCACCAGGGAAAATACAAGCACAAGGATGATTCCATGCTCACCACAAGGGAAAATACAAGCCATATATAAGCACTGAGCACCAGGGTCCCCAGGGTGATTCCTAGGAGCCCAGCACATGGCAGTGGAATCGCAGATGGTCACTGGGCTGTGTGGCCACCTAAGGGCGGCTCTTGAAGCAGCTCGGGGCCGCCAACCAGACGGAGCAGCTCGGCCAAAGAGATCTTTCGGTTCCACGCGCTGGGCCCGGCCTTTTGAGAAGACATATTCAAAACGCAATCTCCACCGGGCCAAGAGGAAACCGCCATGTTTGGGGGTCATGACCCCTGATGGGTCTCTCAAGTGTGTGTTTTTGAGGATGGTGACCCTTTTTGTTCCAGCTTTTCTTGAAGGGAATTGAAATGGACAACTACCATCTTTGGGTCCCCCACCGTGTTGACTCGTCCTGTTTCCGTTTCTTTTTTGGATTTCTGAAAGGTGCCCCACAGTCGGTTCAGAACTAAAGATGGTCCCGAACCCCAAAGGAGACAGCCTTGTCTTTAGGACGTGCGGAGAAAGAATCTGAATCTTTCCTGAATAGCCCTTTGAGATGTGTTTCTGCAAAGGGTCACGCCAGCACAGGTCAAGGTTTGTCCAATGGGCCCGAGAAAGAAGTTGGCTAGCTTGCATGGTGTCCGCACTGGTGTCCGCGTTTGACCATACTGTGCTTAGAACTTGCAGCTTTGTCAAAATGGAGCGCTTTCCAATTTGGAGCATGTTCGATGATTAGGGGCCAAGATGAAGCAAAATATAACTCCTCACAATAGTTGCTTCAGCTTTTGTTTCCATTCAGCGCAAGCCAAAAGGGGCACCCTCAAAGGACACCGTCAAGCGGGCGCTGCAAACCAACATGAAACACTGCACTGGTAGAGCTGTACATGCTTGCAAGCTGGTCAATGACTTCTTTTTCGACGGATTGTCAAGAGCTTTCGGGAGCCTGTCTTGTGCATCTTAAGGTACTTGGCAGAGGACAGGGCAAGCGTTGATGGGTTGACATCATCTCGAAATGGGTGAGATGGTTAGACTCGTAGCGTTGTGTTTGTCAGTATTGCTTGCCTTCAAGCATCATGCCAAAATATTGCAGTTGCTTGGCTGGACGTTGTCCCTCTGAGCGCAGTGACAGCATAAAGATTGTGACCCGCGGGGCACCTTTTGTCTTGTTGGTCAGGATCGGGAGAAGCAGATGGCTTTTGCGAGCTTCAATTTGGTTCCAAGTATGAAGCAATGCAGTACCTTCTCCAGGCTGTTGCTTTTAAGATCATGGCAGCACGCTGGCAAGACATGCTTTCTACCTTCCACACGTTGACATGCTTGGCTTGAATAGTCCAAAACCGACCACCTGAATTGGTAAGTTGTCCATATAACCCTACTGGGTTTGTCCTCAGGATTTTCGCTGCGTACAACCCACATAATACGGGACTCACTCGTCGGGTTTCTGTCCACGTACTCTTGGAGCTGGTCGTCCCAGTTCTCGCGCGCTCCGCTCGCTCGCTCCCGTCGGGGGTCGGGGGAGGAGCATCGCCAGTACTCAGTGGATCCCGCCAGCCGCTACAAGCCGCACTTGTTGAGCTGATCCCGGCCTTTGAGGCGTTCGAGGCAGAGTTTTTGGAGGCGTCTGCTCACGGGGAAAATTTTGGGGGGGCGGATGGGGGAAAAAGGGGGGGGCTGGGGCGAATGTGTGGGAGTGGATGGGATTTATTGCAAGAAATAGATTCTTTCTATTTGCAAGTTGTCAGTTTGAGTGATGTGCCCCCCAGAGGCCCTAGACCCTGAATGTGAAGGTGTTTGAGCCCCAAAAGCCTAATTGTTTGGAGGTTCCTAGGGTGTGACAGCAAAAGATGACGTCCATTTAAATCAAGCAAACGGGGGATCAAAGTCAGCCCCCTAGTCTGCATATGAAAATAGGGCCTCCCTTTTTCAGAGAGCACAACGGTACAAACCCTCTTGTCAAAAGGATCGTAGCAATTATTTTGAGAAAAGCTAAAGGTCTGTGGAATTTCCATGTTCGTTGGTGGGACGTTAATTGGCGGATGCTTGTCTTCTTTGGGGTAGAAAGGAACCATACCATTACCCCTGCTCAAAATTAAATTACAGTTTGGGAATGATTCCTCCTGAAACCACAATGTAGAAGGGATCTTTTGGGCTGCAAAGGCGTAGGCGCTCTGATATTCTTGTGTGCAAATGGGCTCATGCAGTTGATTCCAATCCGAAAGCGTGCAGGTGAAACGGACCGACAACCGACAAGATGGACCAGCCCTGACTCGCGCTGCATTCGGCCGACCGCCCTCGACATTCCCCGGGGTAAGCAGAGATAATATTTATTGAAAACAACATCCCTAGGGTCTCTGGGGTTGTGGCTTGGGGACGGATACCCTTGATAACCCTGCCGACTGAGTCATGATGCGCTCCGGCCAGAAGAACCTCACTCGCGGCCCGTGAAATCATGGACCCCGTGTGTGCTGGCTTGCCTGGAAATTGACGATGGCCTACTTGGGTCAAGTTGAACCCGTCCCGGCGCTGCTTAGACCGGCAGCACTGGGCCGATTGGAGATTTCGCGCGGCGAGCGCGAGTTTCCAAGTCAAGTGACGCGCCAAGTTGACCAAAAGACTTTAGACAACTCACTTGTCCACAGCCGACCTTTTGACCTGTTTTCACACACTAGGCAAATTCCAAGACGGTTGGGCAAGTGAGATTCGGAAGCCGCCATGCTCAGCTCTGCAAACTCAAGGCTTGTGGTGAGGCTTAGGTTGGCTCAGGATTGTTGCTGTTCCCTCAATAAGTTTCCTGGACAGTTGAAAGTCATTGGGGTGCATGTTGTAAATATCAGATGTTGAGGGTTCAGGGGGGGGGGAGGTCTTAAAACATGTGAGGTGTCCCTTTAAAGTGCCCGGCTAGCTTTCTGGATGTCAATTTTAATGCACCCAGTATCAGGCTATATTGGGCCTTGGCCTCGCGCGCGCTTTGTGCAATGGGCTAAGGTCCGGAAGCTCCGGCGCATGGCGAAGTTTGTGGTGCGGGGCTGAGCCCGTGTCGAGGGATTTGGGAGTGCCGTTTTCGAGGCCACCATGGCTACCAACTAATGGAACTGGAAAAGGTATACAACATATTCGTCGGAGTTTTTGCTTGGCCACTGTTGTTTTGCATGCAAACATGCCTTCCTCGGGGCTCCCATCGTCAACCATGCCATTCTCCCCCGCGCCCCCTCGCGCACCATCACCGCCGCACTGTTGTCGATGTCAGCCATCCACTAAGGCCTGTCAGGGGAAGTTCAAACATTGAAGTTTCATTGCCATTTCAACGGTTTCCGTTCGACAATGCAACCGTTGGATGTAGAAGAACATGAGCCCTGACAGTGTTTCGCATGTTGCTCGCAGGGTTGGTGTGGTGTATCCCGGAGGGGCCGCGCTTTCGCCAAGGACACCTTCAAAGAAAAGTCCACCTCTGCCCACGGCTGAGATCGGCAGAGCGCTAGTCCGCTAGTCAAGCATCAGGTGATGGCTGAGAGCCGCCCCCGGTTTTGTTTGCGGGTGATGTCCGCTGAAGTGTTTGCACCAGGTTTGCGCCAAGCGTTTGGCGAAGATTCACCAAGCTGATGATGGAACGGATGCTCATGGTGTGCCACTTGAAACGACCTCACCCCAAATGGTGGTTTATGTGGTGAATACCCCCCCAAGCACCTAGTTTCAGGTTGGTGAAGTATTATAATTCACCCAGATGGTCTACGGACGGGCCTGTCGTGAGGCGTGGAACCTCGCCATGAAGGCGGAGGAGCCCATGGGGGTGAAGCAGGCAGCGAGTTGGGCGCCAGTTGGACCCTTTTGGGACTTGGAAATGTGGCCAGGGTTTTGAGCATTCGGGCAGGTTGAGCTGTTGGGGTATGATAGTATGGGGAATCGACTGAAATCTTTAGGCCATTTGATCCATTTGGGTCAGCTGATTGAGCTCTCTGGATGGCTGCGCCTTGAGAGTCTTGAAGACTAAGTGTGGACTGATTGCTTTGTGCAGTTGGCATGTCTCCTAGAATTGCCCCAATGCTCCAGCCGTTGCTTGGAAACCGGAACTCTTGTCCTATGTCCATTGGCCAGGCAATGAATCTTGCCACCCGCATCATGCAAGATCTTGGCAGCTGCCCTGGACGGGAGTCAGCAGAGTTCGTTGGAGTTGTCAATATGAAACTTTTGTGATTGGGATACCAAGAGAGAACCTGGGTTGAACTGACAAAGTAGTCGCCTTCTTTGGTTTGGTTTTACGGGGCGATATTCTACAACCGTGGTGTCATCCGACAAGTCTGGATTCAGTGCTTATCGGCTGGGCGCAGGGGTCTCTAGGGCAGGTCGGTTCAATGTGGATCAGCGTTGCTTTGACATCACAGCACTGTATTTAAGTGATGGTCGAAGAGTGATACACACTTTTTGCACCATCGAGAACGCTTCTGGAGTCATCCCTGTGTGCGTCTATTGATTCAAGGATGTACAGCCCCATCAAGACGCGAAGTGAAGGAACCTTTTCAGGTCACAGGTGGGGGAGGGTGTTGTCCAATTCAACCCCTTCTTCGACCCCCCACGGACCCGGAAGGCCCCATGTTGGGGCAAGACCTGAGAGCGCACCCGCCGCCAATCCACAAGGTGCTTCCTATGCCGAAGTTGAGGCAGGCGCCTCCTTCGTACAGGCCGGGTTTTTTTTAGGGATATGTTTTACTGGCGGTATGCAGGCGTTGCGCAACGAAGGGACAAGGACACATACTGTGGATGGACAGAATCCTGCACCACTTTGAGTCTATGGGAAACAATTGCTTCTTGCAAATTTACAGGGCAATCATCCTTCTAGGGTCTTTGAGGTCGTGCAGGAGTTGTACAGAGTCCACGTTCAGTATCGCTTATAAACAGAGAAGCACTTTAGAGGGGTTACCCTCGGTGGACCCTGCCAGACAGGGGGCCACCACTGGCAGTGGTTAAATGGGTTCAAGCAACCAGCCTGGCTGCTTGACTTTCGTTTTGACACACAACAGGCAGCAGAAGGGCGGTTGGAACTTGGGAGGTGAACCACATACCCTGAAGTAGATGCTGTTGAAGTATGCCCAATGTATACCTAACACCATGTATAATAAGTGTTTTTTTTTTGTGTGTACATCAGGGCACCTCCAGAAGCACGTTGAGCCCCTCACAGCGCACCCCGCGAAACGTCTTGGCTCAGGAGCTACACCAGCAGTCTGATAGTCCAGCACCCAGAGTTGGGTTTCCATAGCCGGAGAGGCTACAGGGTCCTTGATGTGCTGCTTGGCGCACGTCCAGCAGCCTGTGAGTCCAAGCAAAAGACAACATCATCCACACTTTCCTTGGTGTGGGTAAAGGGGAGTGACTACTCTGGAATGGCGGATTGGTGCGATCTGCTTTCACCCAACTGTAAGGGTTGCCGGGCCGGCTGTTTCAGTTCAGTAGACTATATCTGGTAAAACTGGTTGTTCACTATTTCAGTTGTTCAGTTGTTCAGTTATTCGTTGTTCCTTCAAATTTGGTTGAGTTGGCAAACGCCAATCTGTGTGGCATGTCTTCATCAGCCAAGGCCCAGAGCTTCTTTTTTTTTTCGGCGAAGGAACCTTGCAGATCAACCTTGAAATGGGTTGCCTGGGGGGTCAACCTAAAAATGGGTCCCAGTCTCTTTCCCACCAAAGAAACACCTGGGCGATTCGGTTTTTGATGGCCTGCCTGCATCCAGATAGAGAGTCCAGCTTGCTGGATGCTTGAAGGGAATCCCATAGCACATTAGGACATGTATGCCAAGGTGCGCACTACTCAAGTTTTTCGATCATCGCATATGTGAGCTCTAGAATCAACCTTTATCTATTAGCGGGAAGCAGTTACGTTGTGGCCCAACATTAGGCACGGGTGTGTTCCTAAACGGGTTCAAGCAGTCAGTGTTTTGTTGCTTTTGTTGTGTTATGCCCGGTGCATTGTTTGAAGGGAGTCGCATGGAACATGTGTGCCTGCGCACTTGCATTCCTTGCTCAGGTTGAGGGTGTTTACTTTTTCACGAAGCCTCACTACGGGTACCCCTAAGAAACTTCAGCCACTTAAAAACTCCTTCCGCCCCTTAGTCCCTCTTGGATTCACACGGAGCCTTAGCCCAAAGATGGGGTGTTTCCCCTGCAAAAAGGTTCCTCTCCTCTACATCCAAACAAAGATGGGGCGGGCTCCCTAGAAGCACCGGGGTGCCATTTCCCCAGGCCGGCTGCAGCGGGCTGAGAGCTGCAACAAGAGCGCGCCCCACATCTGGGTCCGAGCCTTGGGGACTCAACGCGTTGTTTTGTTATGTTGTTGTTTTTGAGTTGTTTTCTTGTTTGTGTCTTGTTTGTTTCTTGTTTTTGTCCCCTTTTTTTCTTTCTTTTTTTTCATGCAAGACACCCACGGGAGTTCCCAACTTGCAAGGTTTACAGGGGGCCAAACCATTGCTTGCTTGAACCGGTCATGAGTGGTAGGCTTGACCCCTGATCGATCAGCCTTCCAGTTGTCGGTGTTTTTTCAAAAGGATGCCTAGGGGCCCCTAGGGGCACAAATCTGGCCAAGTGACCTCCCGCCAAGCTAACATGGGCCAGGCCTATTGGATTGGAAGACTTTGCTGTGCTGCCCCTGTGCGAGAGTGAACTTGATGGTGCAGTGCTGTGGTGCAAAAAGACATATTATATTTGCTCATCGAGGCATACGTAGTTGTGTCAGTGTTCGATGTCTCAGTCCTGAAAGCTTAGATCCTTTTGTTGGGCTTAGTCCGTTGCCCTCCTACCAAAGATGATTGAAACACGCCAAGAACGGATTAAACACAAGCAAACAAGCAAGCAAACAAACAACCAAACTACGCGAGCAAACACGTTTAAGCAAGCAAACTGCCAATCAAGCAGGCGCCGAAAGCAAGACAAAGCAGCACAAACAATGCAATGTCTCAAACATAAAGACAATCACAAACACTCCGACAACCAACAACCAACAGGCGACAACCAACCCAACCAAGGCAAACCATTGTTTGGAAGAAACGGCACTGACAGCTGCTGCAATCATTCAGAGCCGCCACCCGGCCAGAAATAGTTCCCATTCGGAATGTGAGATCTACATGTCAACTTTAGACGTTTTCATTGCTTCTTCAACATTCTGCCTCAACACTATGCATGCCACATGTGTCCATACATCTTATCCCCAAAGAGTGTCCCCTTTTTCTACCGGGGGTCACTGGTTGCACCCGGGCCTCGCTCCGCGCCGCGCCGCGCGGCTTCTTCGCTCTGGCCTCGTTTTTTTTGGGGGGGGGAGCTTCCAGAGGCCAGCGCCATCAAAGCGGCGCGGCTCATCCACGAGAAGTTGGCTTTTCAGTGGAGCCGGGGCCTTGCCAAAAGCTGCCCCCGCGACGGCCCAGTTAGACGGCCCTCAGCGCAGGGCCCTGCTAACAAACGTGCCATGCGGTTGCTTGATGTAGATTGGTCAAGGTTTACTTAGTCAAGTTCTTAAACGGCACAGTGCCTCGGATTTGGAGATCCATACCCACCAATCCCGATGTTACAAGGCGGTCAACCTGAAGCCAGCCCGTTTCAAGCACGCTTCAACTTGAGATAGAACTTCACAAACTAAGCGCCTGTAGCCAGCAGCCCGTTCGTCCGTTTGGTGGATGAGGCCAACCAGTCTCTTAATCGCTCTTGGGTTCTTCAAGTTAGTTGTTCGGGTTCGCTATTTAAACCACAAATTTGGAGAGACATTTTGTAGGCGGGCGGTTTCAAACTGTCATTGCTAGACTTTGCTAACGAGTTTGCTCTTAGCCTTTTTGGGCTGATCATGCAGCCACATTCATCAGCAAACAGTTTGACAGAGGTGTTTCGTCTTTGATGGGAGTCTAAATCTGGTTGTTGTGCAATTGGCAAGCTATTCCAAATCTGGGACAGAATGGGTGTCAATGCAAAAAGTCCAGATCAGCCATCCCCCGCCCCACCCCAACCCCACCCCACCCCACCACCCCCCCCCCCACCCCAACGGCACGAGAACCACGGGTTGTCTTTGTCGAACCTTGGCCGCGGATCGCGCCGAGAACTTGCCTCCACCATCCTGAACCACTCCACCAACTCCAAGCGCGCGGGCCCCGGCGCGGGTGTGAGCAGTTGCTGGAGCCTGCCTGCCAGTCTGCTAAGAGATGGCTAAGCATGTGCTTTCCCTTGGAGTTACCAGTTCTTGGGCATATCAGTTTTTGTGGTGATGGTGTATTCAGGAAATTTCAGGAGGGAGACGCTGAGAATATAGGCTTCAAAAAACGTGCAGGCGTTTGCTTTGAGATGTCGGAATTTGAGCTTATATCCAGCAGCGAGCTCGTTCGGGAGGGGAACTGGGCTGACCCATGATGAAGGCCCCTAATGTGTGTGTGTGTGTTTCAAGTTTGTATGGTTTGTCCAGATGATTCCCATTGCTGTTTGGGGAGAGTTGCGCCGGAAATCATCGCAGGCAAAGCCCTATCAGCAGTCCTTATTCCTTGCTTGGACCTGCCCCCCAACACCAAGCCCGGTAGCTTTGCTATTTTCTACAAGTTATCAAACACACTTAATTTGGGGTTCGTTCCCAGATTGTTGGGATTAGGTGGGGTGGGGTTGACGCTTGACTTAGAGCGTCGCCCACACCAGCCACCACTTTCGGTGTTCAGAAAAACAAGACTCCCAAAGAAGAGAGTTCCTACACTTCAAGAGGGGCCCGTTGATTGTCCACTTTGTTTCGTCCACACGTAGAGCCTCAGTTGTTCAGTGGCACCAATGATTCTCCCCTTTTTTTTTGTGGCTACTAAAAATGGTCTTCCCCAAAAAGGGAACCCCTTTTTTCCCAGAACAGGAGACCCTGGTAGTGCGCTTTTTGCGCGTTTTGAGGCTCGCAGTCTTCTCATGGGTCAGCAATGTCAGTTGCACTTGATCTAACACGTGCAGAGGAAACATCTTGAGAAAACAAGAAAAAAACAAAAAAACTCGAGGAAAACACAAAAAAACTCGAGAAAACCCAAAAAAGCAAAACACACCTCGAGAAAACCACAAAAACATAGTTTAAAAAACTCTTTCAACTTGTGTTACAAAGAGTTTCTAAACCATGTTTTTTTGGTGTTTTTAGTTTTTGTTGGTTTTCTCTCGTTTTTTGTTGTTGTTTTTTGGTTTGCTCGAGTTGTTTTTGTCTTTTTTGGTTTTCCTCGAGTGTTTTGGTTTGCTCGAGTTTTTTTTTTTTTGGGGGGGGGTTCTCGAGTTTTTTTTGTTTTCCTCGAGTTTTGTCATTTTTGTTCCTTTTTTTTTTTGTGTGTTTTTGGAGTATTCTATGTATATGATGGGTCCTCCTCTGTTCTTGGCTATTGTGTATGGTTTATTCAGTTACACTTCTCTCGTGAGCAGCGCAGACGATTTCTCATGTCATGAGTCCTATTTCAAATCAACTTCACCATAAGAACTCTAATTAATTCCTCTTAAACATCCAAATAAGTGTAAGAAGTCTATTTAAACTAACTAGAAGAAGAACCAACTTGTCTATCCTTACCAGATTCTATTAAAATTATAATTAAAGTCTAATCAAAAGCCTAGATACTTAAAATGTAATTCCTATTTCAAGCATGATTCAAAAACATGTAATTGACTTACTCAGAAGAAACAATCAGCTTGTCTTTCCTTACTAGATTCTAGTTAAAGTATGTTTAAATTCCAATTAAGTTTTGGACAGGAGTTCCTATTTAGACTTGGAAGGAATTTCTGTTTAAATTATAATTCAATATATGAATTCTAGTTCAACTCTAATTGAATTCATATGTGCAAGTATAAATTCCTATTCAACATCTGAATTACAATAAGAGTTCTAATTAAAGTCTATTTGAAATCCTACTTGGAAGGGAAGTCTATTTAAAGTCTAAATCAAATGAACCTTTGAAGTGAATTCTAATCGAAATCCCGTTTAAACTCAAAGCCTTGCAATTTAAAACTTGCAAACCAAGTGGAATAAAATGTGTATTTTCCATGGGTGTTCACCGGTTTTTCACTCCTTCTGAGGGGCTTGCAAATTAGAAGAAACAACAAGCTTGTTTCTACTTATTATATTCTATTTAAATCCCAATTAAAATCCTACTTGGAAAGGAACCCCTATGTTAATTCTAATTCAAAGCAATATTTTACATTGAATTCTGATTGAAATATGTTTTAAACTTAAAGCGTGGCAAATTAAAGCTTGTAAACCATTAGAACTGAAATTGCATGTTCCTTGCGGTTCTATTGTTGTTTCACTCCTTTTAAGGGGCAGGCAAATTAGCAGAAACAACAAGCTTGTCTTTCCATGAACTCAAAATCAACTCTAATGCCAAACAGGAATGAAAGAAATATGCTAAGATAATTGCAGCTACTCTGGCTTGAATGAGCAGCAGCAATTAGCAGCATGTTACAAAAAATCGAAGAAAGTAGACGACCTTGAGTGATTCAGAAATCGCAGCTACAAACACTCTTCAGCAAAAGCAATCGTACAACTTGCTCAAGATATCAAACCCCAAAATCACAAAAAAAGTGCACTACCACAGTCCCCCAGTCTCTTCCAGGGTCACTGAACAACAGGTAGAGCCCTGTTTAGAGCCCACGAGGCGTCAGCTACAAGAAGGCGGATGAGACCGTCCGGCTGGTGAACGAGAAGCTGCTGCGCCGGGGCTCTCAGCGAAAATGGGCGTTGGAAGCTGCGGAGGGAATGGCAAGGCCAGAGCACACAACAGCAAGAAGGCAAGGACGAAACTTCCCTGCTGAAATGACTTTTTTTTTGTAAATGTGTTTCCCCTGCTAGTTTAAAGAGAATCCATCACCACTGGGAAATATGTCGGTTTGTGCCGAGGGCTTAAGCAAATGGAAGGAAGTAAAGCCAGCCGGCTTTTGATAGATTAATCTGTCAGCAGCATTCTGTTGAGGAGATCGTTGCCACCAAGCTTCATGTCGTGAGCACCATTCACAGATGTCTTTGGTGTCCATCCAGCTTCCCGCAAGGCAACGCGCGCATGTCCAAGTTTCGGTACCCAAAGCTTTTCATTATGAAGAAAATCAACGGATTCTGCCGGTTTCAGCTTAGCCGTACGCTCCTAGTTCTCCCAGTAGTGCCCTTTCACCCCCTTTTTTGGGGAGGGCTCCCCTACTAAAACAGACTACAGAAAAGAAGTTGGTACCCGTATTCTAACCTCGCTACTGGAGGACCTAGTCTCTACCTCAGCCTTTCCAACAGGACACCCACACCGTGGTCTCGCGCGCGCCAGGCTGGAAGGAGGAGGCCGAGATCCTGCAGCAGGAGGCGGGGAGCAGCTTCCATTCTGGGTGCAGCTGGTGGCCAAAACTGGCCCTGTAGCCCCCTGTCTTCTTTGAAGGGTACCCGTTTTGACATTGCCGGCCGGTAGGGTGACGGCTTTACGGTTTTCGTGTTGGCCGTTTTCAGGATCTGAGGGCACATGGACCTGGATCAACTACTTCCATGCTGTCTCATCCGAGGTTAGGCACCAAGGACATGTGGCTACTCTGCGCAAGCCACATTGCAGGCGCGAGAGGATGAGCTCGCGCGGCAGGCATCGAAATGGGGAGGGGGGCGCACCATGGGAGTCAGAATCAGCTCATTTGCTGGTTGCTCCAGTTCGATTGTGCTTCTCGAAGGATGCGGCAGCGGAATTGGTTAAGCTGGCCGCCAGCTCTGAAGCGATCATTTGGGTATGGGCCAAAATTAAGCAACCGGGGGACCGCAGGTTTTAGTCCATGTTTCCATTTACCAGGGTTCCGTTTTTTGACCCACAGCCATTTGGGCTGGCTGCTTGCGGAGTTAAAGCTTTGCATATTATGTAAAGCGAGAGAACCACCTCCTCACCTCCAAAGCGCCAACCGAAACGAGGAATGAATCCCATTAGGCAGCTGGATGAAATGCATAATACTTGCATACGGATTTGACGTGGCATGTTCAAGGCAGCAATTCGCGTTGGATCACGCCGTGCTATGCGAACAGCGAAGTGCAACACGCATCCTAGCTGCTATCATTGCCATCAAAGAAACGTTTCGACCCAGAAGTGACCAAGTGGTCATGCACACGCCAAGTCTTCCATTCAGTTGTGGATTGAGCATCGCCTGGCCATTTTGCTCACAGCCGCACCGCTTGGTCCTGGCAGTTCGCTCACAAAGCCATGGGACCTCTCAAGGAAAGCCTGCTTTGTTGACTCAGCCTGTTTTGTCGGGCCCATGCGCTGGTCCGGGCCGTCGCAACATGGGAATGCGCGTCTCAACACAGTTATCTGGTATGCTGGAGAAGGAAGTAAAATATAAGACATGCATAATTATGTATCTAAAACAGGTTTGGATGCATTGAGCCCAGATTTGTTGCAGCCTGTGTCCTTTGTTATGTGACTCCCTGATTGGCTTAGACTTGATTATTTGAACGCTTCGATTCTGGCGAGGATGTGAAAGAGACCCGACTACCGCAGTGTTGAACAGATGACCTCGGCGCGTATGTTTACCACAATGCTACGGTTCTTAGTCCGGACCGTGAAGAGTCAATCAGTTGAAGCCTAAGGCTGTGGCCAGTGAGTTATCTTCATATGGCATATGGATGCATATGGCCTGTACATAATCAAACAAATATCTAAAGTCATAGACAAGATGCATATTTGTCTCCATGTCGTATAAGGGGTGCGCACAGCAAGAGTACCCTCCTTAGTTCCCAAGCCGCAACTGACCATACCCTCCATTCTGAAGGCGAACAAAAGCATTGCCACCCCGCAGTGGGCCCTCAGCGGTTTTTCCGCGAGGCCAGTCTGCGAGGCATGCGCTTGCCCAAGGTGGAGGCAGGGCCTTGCGCGCGTAGCTTGGGATGTGGGGATGGGGGAGCTGGGGTATTGAGGGACTCCCAAAAGGGTGGGTTCCCTGTTTGCGGGGGAGTAGCGAGGGTTGCCCTTTACCTTTTTCAAACCAAATCGCGATTGTGGGTTGCCCAAAGCTCCATTGAACAGACCAGATTGGGAGAGCGGGAAGGCCATGGGAGATGGAAAATCCACAAGCGCATTGGGAAACCCATGGGCAATTTGGGGACCGCTTGGGAAACCCCGCATCAAACCATTCGGGTGGTGCCGCCAGGCAGAGCGGGCAGAGATGGCTCGGCGACAGGAGGGGCGTGTTTGGGGTGTCAAGGGGGGTTGTAGAATGGCGCCCTTTTTTCGACGCCTGGTGTTTTTGCCTTTCAACAAACGGGGCAACCCTGACCGCTTAGTTACTTGCATTGCACTGTTGCCTTTTTGCGCACAAAGGGGCACGTATGGGCACTGGTACACCCCAACACATGCATTCGTTCGATTTCTGCACGTTCCATTTTGAGTGAAGGCTCCAAGAGCCGGCTTGACCCTTTTTGTTCAGGTCCGGTGGGAATGATTTGCCACTCACGTTTGCTCTTGGCGTCCTGCGGAGAAGGCTGGGGGTTTATCTTCATGTTGCAGCTGTCGAAGTAACAACGACCGTGTCCATTTGGGTGTGTCTCTGTTCTAAAAGGGGGTGGATTTGGAGGAACACCCACAGGAGACCAACCATTTGTGAGTGTCCCCTTTTGCTAAGACACGCCCATTTTTTCCGTAAGAAATAGGGAACGCCAACTCCTGAACCCACGTGTAGGCAGCCAAAAGCGGACTTCGAGTGCAGGAGCTGGAGCGGCAACGCGCACAAGCCATCCAGCAGGGATGCCCAGATCAGAGCGCGTGGGGTGCCCACGTAACGTAAAATGGGATTTGGGGAGAGATGGTCCAGACTGACTGGCTGGCTCGCTGGTTAGTGGCCGGCTGGTTGGCCGGCCGGCTGGTTGGCCGGCCGGCTGGTTGGCAGGCCGGCTGGTTGGCTGCTTGCTTGCTTGCTTGCTTGCCTGCCTGCCTGCCTGCCTGCCTGCCTGCCTGCTTGCTTGCTTGCTTGCTTGCTTGCTTGCTGGCTTGGTTGGTTGGTTGGTTGCTTTCTTGCTTTCTTGCGTTGTTGCTTGCTTGTTTGGTTGCTTGGTTGCTTGCTTGCTTGCTTGCTTGCTTGCTTGCTTGCTTGCTTGCCTGCCTGCCTGCCTGCCTGCCTGCCTGCCTGCCTGCCTGCCTGCCTGCCTGCCTGCCTGCCTGCCTGCCTGCCTGCCTGCCTGCCTGCCTGCCTGCCTGCCTGCCTGCCTGCCTGCCTGCCTGCCTGCCTGCCTGCCTGCCTGCCTGCCTGCCTGCCTGCCTGCCTGCCTGCCTGCCTGCCTGCCTGCCTGCCTGCCTGCCTGCCTGCCTGCCTGCCTGCGTGTTCGCGTGTTCGCGTGGATTGTTGCCAGGCTGGTTGGTTGATTGGGTGGTTGGATGGCTGAGTGCTTCGTCGGTTCACTTGGTTTGCGCTCTCCGTCGGCTTTGTGTTTCGGCGTCTTGTATTTCCATCAGGTGGGGACGGCACCTTGTGCAGCCCATGCCGCATATGTCGGGGAGCCCAAGCTCTTGTGCCAAGCTCCTTGCCTCTCCCTCAGTTTGGCCACCATTCTCGGCACAGACACCAGGAAACCAGCGGGTCCCGCATGTTGAGTGGGAGGGTGGCACATGTTCATGTTTACTTTCCCATGAATGAATGCCAATCGGATGGATTTTGTTTCCCTGCCTCCGTTTAACACCCAGTTTAGCAGCCTCGGTGGCCTCAAACTATGGCCTTGTGGTGCACGGCCCATTGCTGTGGCCCCAAAGTGACAACCTGCTTCCGGGGTTTGGTGACTTGGGGAGGGGATGATGACTTGGGGAGGGGATGGTGACTTGGGGAGATATTGCTGAGCCTTGGCTTCTTTGCTGAAGCACCAGGCTTGGGCGAAGCACCGCCCAGTGAGCTTGACGAGGTCTTTCGAATGTGCTGAAACGGGCCTTTCACTTAAATTACCTTGGAACGCACATCATCCCCTCAGCGATTAAATGCTCTAGGGTCCCCATTTGCTCAATGAGTTGGGTATGTTCTGTTGCCCTTCCTCCAACAGGCCCCAAAGAGCCTGCGATCCAAGGTTCCCTTGTGGCTGTGGCCCGCCAGATGGGTCAAGCAAACACCTATTTTGTTCAAAGTTACCCGTGGTAGCCTTGGACGGAAGCCCAAGGAAAGCCTGGGGAAGTCAGAACACATCCCCTATGTTGAGACGCTGCATGACGCAGTCCTCTGCTCAGGGCACCTCCTCCCGCAGATGGGCCTGGTGGCCCAAGGGGGAAGCTGCACGCCGGTCTGCAGCTTTGAAGCTATCGCTGGAGCTCATGCCGCACTTAACCAAGACGTTGGGCAATGGCCTGGGAGGCTTCGCAAAACCCGGGTCGGTTTCCTCGCAGGCCCCTTCGCAGAGATAGATTGCCCCAGTGTGGCGAGTCTTCCCCGAAACCGATGCGTTGAACAAGCATGCTGCCAACCTACCGCCTGCTTCCTGTTTGTGTTTGCGCGTCAGTTGCTCGATGTTTGACCCTCTTGATGCAACAGGTCAGGCAAGGCTTGCTTGCCTGATGTTGGTTTCTCTCTTACTACCCAAAATAGGAGGAGGCAAGTGCAGAGTTTGGACGCAACGGCAGAGAGAGAAAGTGCAGAGTTTGCCCACCGCCATGTCTATTGGCTCAAGCATTTCGGTGTGCTTTGCGTCAGAACTGTTTACAGGTTTACGTGTACTGTAATCATGTACATCCTACCTCCATGCATTGGGCTTTTTGCATACATGGTGTACAACTCTTTCGGCTCATTCGGCTCCCTGCTCATAGAGGGAGGACATTCAGTGACTCAAGATGGTCAGTTTTAGCATGTTCTCTCTCCTGTTTTTGTGTCTCCCATGGATTTCCGCAAGCTCTATCGATTTGGGCACCCCAGTCCTGCCAACACCTGCATCCTGGCTTTCGGAAGGTTCTCTGGAAGCCCAGGTCCATGACCTCCCCACCAGGGCCGCCAGATGTGCTGAGCCCAGTGCAGATGTGCCCCACGCGAAGAAACGAACTGCCAAATGCATGTCCACTTTTGATAAATACTATTACTATTCATCAATACTATTCAAAGGGTTCCACACTTGGCCAGACTTGTTGAATACCAAACCCCAGTTGCATGAGCGTCCACAACAGCATGCCGACTTAATTAATCCCTTCCCCAAATTGATAAATCCACCCCTGTTCATAAGTTTTTGTTTCAGGCCTGAAAAAGACCTGACGCACACCTGCGTCAAGCATTCCAAACCACCAAGCAATATCCTTTCTGCTGAGCAAAGCATGTCAGTCGAACAATGATAATCCCTTCCCCCTTATAATAAACGACGCCCCCCCCCCCCCCAAATAAAAAAAATACCCGGCCTGCAAAACAATTTTTATTATTAGGGGTCCCCTGGTTCTGGAGGGCAGGTTTTGGATGTACTTCTTGTTCTGTGTAGGCTTGTTTGCAACTGTGGTCCCCCTGTTCCGTTCCGTAAAATCGCTTCAAACGCACATTTCTGAGTAAGGAATTTAAATAGCGGGAGTTGAGGTCACGTTTTGTTGTTTTTGGTTGTGGGTTTTGGGTCACTCAAAGGGACCTTTTTGGATTGAGGGAGAGAGAGAGAGAGAGAGAGAAAGAAAGAAAGAGAAAGAGAGACGATTTGAGTACGGGCAGGAAAATATCTACTTTAGAATTGGTTTAGTATTGGCTATTCTAAAAGTAGTATTCCCGGATTTGGGACTTCCGAAACAAATATTTATTATTAGGGAGACCTTTATTAATAGGGGGAAGTGATTATACTATGACTTGCACAGAGTTGGAGTGCTTTCCTTTCACCCATTCAACGGCAGAACAGCGCATACATATATATATATATATACGTTGCAGCTTGTGAGGTCACCAGCTTGAGAACCACATCACTTGACCGGATAAATCGGGAACTCGGGAGGCCGCAGCAGGAGATGCATCCACTCTGACAACGCCAATGGTTTCTGGCATGCTTGACACGCTTTCAGGTGGTGCTTCTGACTGAAGGTGTCTTTCATTTCCTTGCGGAGCTTGAGCTTCGTGTGTTTCGTTCAGGGTTTCTCTTGACAGCCAGGTCAGGTTGCTTGTTTGCGAGACGGCAGTCCATTGTCCAGACGGAGCAACGGGTGCCAATCTGCTCAAAAGATGGTGGGCACAGACACCCTGCCAAGATTTGTTTTGTTCACTGGCACAGCGACGTCAGATTCCTCGCATGCAATTATTCGACATGTGAGTCCCACGAATCAACACAGTGCTTTCTTTCGTTTCTTGGCGCGTGGCAACAGCCACCAAGCAGAGGGCCGCGGCTCAAACGCAGCCTTAGCTGGACGCAGAGAGACCGCACTTACGGTTGGTGCACTTGGCACGCACCTAGGACGCAGGTAGGGGAAGGAGCCGGCTTTCTTTTTGCAGCAGATTGCTTTGCCAGGCAGATGTCACATGGTCGTTTTGGTAAATAGGCCGCAGCTTGTGCTTTGACTTTGACTCGTTTTTTCTTCAATTCACGAAAGCCGCAAGGGGAAGGAAAGTGATTTCTTTTCAGACCCCGCTTCGCCATCGAACAGAGTTGTTCAGATGTGGTTAAGTGGACATGTTCTACATGCTATTTGTTGGTGCCTGAGTTTGCAGCTGCTATCATTTCAGGCAGCCTTAGTTGGTGGTGTGGATTGGCGGCTTGGGGATTGGACTCCCTGGCTTTTGTAGATGATAAGTGAGAAACCCGTCCTGAACCACCAAACCATCAATCCAAATCAGAGGGAAGCTGACCATTTGTTCTGTAAGCAGTGCATAGCCCCCTTTGCAGTACCACCCGTAGGGCATGAAACCCAAGGTGCATGCCCATAGGTGGAAAAATAAATGGCGATTCCTGGTTTACCTGGTAATCATCTACCAGGGAAACCCATCTATTTCACCTAAAAGGACACCTATGATGCCGCATGCCCCAGGTTGCTACGCCCGGATATGTCTCAGTCCGCAGCTTTCTTGAGGTCCCAGGCTGATCGAGCTGGACCCAAGAAACGGAAGCTGCCTTCCCCATCTCGGACTTCTAGAGGGGGGCTTCAAAAGTGGAGCTAGGGAGGACAAAACCTCGCGTTTTTTTTTTTTGTGTGTGTGTGTGTGTTGTTTTTCTTTTTTGATGAGAAACACATCATAAGTATGATTGTTAGTGTTATTGCTTTTATTGATATTATTATTATTAGTATTACCAGTAATTACTATTATTATTATACATATATATATATATACAAAACACAAAAAGGACAAGCCACCCTTGGGCCGAATTCAGGACCGTTGCCATGCGGCGCTTTCTGGCGCTGCAATGGCTGCTGCTGTGCTCAGCAGCTGATGTGCAGGACAGCGGGTCTCCGAAGCGTCACACACAAACCGAGAAGAAGGTAACAGGGCTCCTTCAAAGATACATTTTGCCCATTTGAAGCATGGCTTTTTCCACCAAAATAAAGGGAAACCACTATTTACAAGGCAATGTTCAGGTGTATAACCATTGCCTACCTGCCTGCCTGCCTGCGTGCCTGCCTGCCTGCCTGCCTGCCTGCTTTCCTGCCTGCCTGCCTGCCTGCCTGCCTGCCTGCCTGCCTGCCTGCGTGCCTGCCTGCCTGCCTGCCTGCCTGCCTGCCTGCCTGCCTGCCTGCTTTCCTGCCTGCCTGCCTGCCTCCCTCCCTCCCTCCCTGCCTGCCTGCCTGCCTGCCTGCCTGCCTGCCTGCCTGCCTGCCTGCCTGCCTTGGGTTCCTCAGTCGTTCAGTGGCATCCTCTAAATCCAGGTTTGAGGTGGCTTCCGACCAGCAACGAAATCGACCTCAAAGTTCTGGTTTCAGTGCTTTCTTCGCTCGGTTCAGGGGTCTGGGCGCAGGTGGTGGACATGTATCGGGCCTTGAAGAAGCCCAGCGGAGGCTGGATGGGGCACGTTTTGCCTGGGCTGGAGCATACTTATTTGGAGTGCGCCTGTGAAAGAAAACGCAAGACATATCCCTTGAACAGCTGGCAAACCTTTCAAAAATGAGTTGCCCCACCTTGTTCAAGCGATTCCTGGTTGTTTTTAGCAGCAAGCTGGCCACACACACTTTGGCTGCTGTCGCCGTGCACCTGCTCATTTGCGGCAGGCTCCGGGCATTTTCTGTCAGCCCCTTGTTCCCCAAAGATGGGACCCGAAAATCCGGGATGTCTCAGGAATTGAAATTGACCTTTTTGAAGCAACGAAATGAGATGTGACCGCCCGTGTGCAGTTCTTTGTCGTGTTTCGCCTTTACCTGGGCGACACATATATACATAATATTTAATATATACATATATATATATATACACGTATATAAATACAAATGGGGGTCCCTCAAAGACTCCAACTGAAAGGAGGCGGGGTATGTTTTTTCGAGCCGCATTCCCAAGTGCAGTGCAGTGCAGTGTCAGTCCTTTCAGGCGAAGAAGGCGACCAAAGGCTGGAGAACAACAACCTGGCAGACGCTTGGATGGAACTTTGGTGCATGTTGCCAAGGGATGTTAGGACTTTAACTTTTTGCCAACGAATGAGTTTTCCATCAAACCACTAAAAGTTAAAAATGTCAAAACTGCAAGTTTTGGAGGTTACATGGGAGGATGGGGAAAGTCACAGGCTTCCCACAAAATCCAGCGGACTCACCAATCCAATTGTTTCCCAAGTCCTATTGTTGAAACGAGGAATGCTGACAGTGACTCATGTTGCGCTGAAGCGCATGGCCAAACTAGAAAATGGGGGGGGGGGGCACAGTAAAAAACATGTCCTTATGGAGAAAAGCATCTCAAGTCTGAGACGTGAGTCAAGTTGACATTACAGTTAGAGTGCCGAGCCTTCTCCCATGTCAGATTTAATCAGGACTTTGGTGGGCGGCGATGTTTTTGCGGACTTGCGGAAAAAAACTGTGTGTGTGTGTGTATTTGTTCCTTCGGAATCATGTCCGATTTATTTGTGCGTTACTGCCTGCCACTTGTTTGCATGCTTCTTTGAACGGCCATGCTTGTCTGTTCTCTTTGCAGAATCCCTGGTTCTTGTTCTCACATTTCTTCTGCCCGTCCGCTATGCTCCTGTTCGTCTTGTGTTTGTCCTCAGCGCTTCCTCCATTCTCGTTTTTCCTTGCTTGTTATCAATCATGATGTTGGCTCTGTGCAAGCGGCATATTCTACTTCGTGCTTTGATTTGGTTACACTTAGGACCTGTTCGTGCTGCCAACAGCACGCCTTCAAAACAAGCATGCAGTTTATCATAACCACACAGGCCAGATTTGGATGGCATTACTTGCATAATTGTGGTTGATGTTATGTTCATATTGATGGTTGTTGTTGCGGATGATGTTGTAATGGTTTTAATATTGTTGGTTGTTGTTGTGCTTGTTGATGTTGTCTGTGTGGTAATCATCATTGATGCTGTTGTTGCTGCTGTTGCTGTTGGCTGATTTCTTTGGCAGAGTCAAGGGCTGATGTTGTTCTTGTTGATATTGTTGTTTTTGTGGTTGATTTTGGTTCTGCTTAAGGACATTCATTGCTCCAAGGATGCCTCAGCGTTGCTTCCAGGTTGGCCACCGCCCCTCACAAGAATAACCCCCCCCCCCACCCTCCACAAAAGCAAGACCGCCATGTTCGGATATCCAGTCTTTGCTTTCCTATCCTATCCTTTCCAATGTTGAATCTGCAAGTTGCTCTTAAATTGCCTCTTTTCTCTCTGCTTTCCATTCCTATCCTTCCTTTGCCTTCCCCATCTTCCCCCCCCTTCCCCACAACTCTACTACTTCTGGGGGGGGGCGTTCCAAAGACTACTTGGCTTCGCCGGCCTTGGACTAGCCGACGGAGCTCAGGATATTTTGGGTGTGCTGCGATACCTGCATCAGGACCGGTGCTTCACTTGGGGGCCTGTGTGAGACGTATGGAGTCACAGCCGCTGTTTCTCATTGCCTATGTCTCCCAGTAGTGCCCTTTTACCCTTTCTTTGGGGAGGGTTCCCCTACTAAAATAGACTACCCTTCCTCCAACTAACGTGGCACCTGTGGGGAGGTACCTGGAGGATTCATTTGCTTTTGAAGGGAGCCCGTGTCAGTTGTCATGTCAGTTGGTACGCAAGAAAGGTACCCTTATTCTAACCTCTCTTCTGGAGGACCTAATTGCGGGCTATGTAAGCTTGCTTGGTTTCTCAGTGCGGGTCCTTTGTTTTGCCGAGTCGAAATCAATGTTTCAACCTTTGATTTTGGTACTCTCGAAACTCGCAAGGCTCCAATGGGAGCCCCTGTGTTTTGCCGAACCCAGCTGGTTTTTGGCTAAAGTGTTGATGGGCCCGAAGAACGGTCGGCAAACCGCCGCCCGCCCCTCATAAGGCCCCGTGGGACGCGCCCCTCTCAGCTCCCACAGTTCCGCCAACTTGCGCTTTTTAGATGCCCAGTTTCTGCGGATATCACGGGATTTCCCCAAGTGACCAAGTCCCAGACCTCGAGTCTTGCCCCTTTTCGTCTTTGTTTCTTGTTTTGAGTGGGTTTCACTTTTAAAGCCAACAGGAAAAGTGTCTTTTTTGCACGGCCACTGGGTGTCTAGGAAGTTGCAGGGATGGTCCCCTTTGGTATTACAGGGGGATTTTCCACAATGAACTTGAGGAAGGCCCCCCGGGGTTGATCACCCACCAGACAAATCATCTTTACAAATGGCGCAAGGTTCGTGCCAGGCTCTGGCACGGGGGCGCGAAACTGGTTTAACACGTGGTTGGCCCCGAGGGCGAGCTGCAAACTCTGGAAAGCCACTCGCGCAGGAGGTGGTTGTGGAGCACGCCGTTGGGGATCCAGAGCGCACGGAGAGGACTGGCACCCTTATTCCCTTTTTGTTCAGGCTACGGTTGGCACGTCTACCTTCCGTCGCTTGTGAAAATTGTTTCCCCAGGTGTAAGAAAAAATCCTTCTCTTGGCGAACTTGAACTTGGCCAGTTTGTTGAAGAGACCCAAGTCACCTAGACCAACCACCCGGCATCGCAGACCGCTGCCAACACCACAGACAAACTCAGGATGCTCCCATGGCCAGTTGGAAGAGGGTTCCTCGCTTCCCCCCCCCCAAACATCTTGCCTTCAGCTCCTGAAAGACCCAAGTAGACAAACCCGGCATCGCAAATGGGTGTGGGTCAAAATTAAACCACCAGGGGGCACCAGGATATGGACCGCAGGTTTTAGTCCATGTTTGCATTTACAAGGGTTCTATTTTGGGTACCTATTTTTGACCCACAGCCAAATGACCACAGACAAGCTCCAAAGGATGCTCCCATGGCCGGTTGCGATGTTGCTGGGCCGTTCTTGGCGTGTGTTGTGAAAGCCGTGGCATGGTTGGTGTTGCATGCGGAGTGTTTGCCCAAGTTCTTTGTTTCCTAGAAAGCAGCTCATGATTTAGCTTCAATGTACTTCATGAGGGGGTTGCCGACCTCCAATGGTTTCCCCAATCGACCGCCAATACATTGCGATTGTGAGCTGAGCATTTGCGGAGGGTGTTGAGCAGCTTGCGTGGTGCCCATGACCTGAGTTCAAAACAAACAAATAAACATGTCGATTTCGTGTTTAGATGTTGTGGAGCTTGCAGCTAACTAGCAGGCAGTGGCAAGGCATTGCAAAGCGGGCATTTCTGCTGTTGAGCCATAGCTTGCGGCCTGTCAGCTGCTCTGGGATGTTGTGGGTGCCAGGAAATATGGCATCGATGCCATCGCGTGGGGGGCCTGAGGAACTAGGAATACTGTGGATGGACGAAATCCATTTCGCACCACTTTGAAACCATGGGAAGTCCTTGTGCGTTGGCATTTGCATCGGAATCATCATTCCAGGGTGTCTCAGGTGGTGCAGGAGTTCGTCCATCCACAGTATCACTGAGTTTCACGTGAGCCGCACCATGGTGATGTGCCCCTGGGTCTTTTTGGTTTCGTACTGCAGGTTAAGGAAGGACCTCACTGAAATTTGGGGTCCAGAAGAGGCATTTGTCGTAGATTGAATTGTTGGATTTTCAAAAATGCTTATTAGGAAGGTAAATCCCGATTTCCCTTAAATGCAGCCCTAAACCGCGAAATTGGCATGTTAACATTTTGAGCCTGTTCCCGTCAGTGTGGCCTTGGGTGGTTGGAAGCTTGTCGGAAGTTGGTCGGAAATGTTCGGAATGTGGTCAGATGTTGGTCGGAGGTGGTCGGGAGGCGGTCGTTTGGAGGTTGCAGCCTGGTTCCAGAGGTGTGGTGCTGTTCGCGCTTGCGGTAGCCTAAGGCGTTTCCATACTCGGGTCATGCAGTGCGATTCCCCACGTGATGTGTTTTTTTTAAAGCACGGTTTATAACCTATCTGATCAGCAGGCCGTCCGGATAAGCCATATGGAAACCCAACAGATTGAATTTATGTTCCTTTTCCGTGGTGAAGCTTAAGCTTGGCCCCCCTTCCATTTGATACGAAATAATCTAACCTGCAAGTTCTTTGCGACCTCTGCCTTGGAGAGCGGTGCTTCGTTTCAGGTGGATTGATGTGAAGTGTTAATCCCTTGTGACGTGAACCACTGGATCTAGACTGCCCTTTTGGGGGCTGCCATGAGGCGATACCGGGTGACGCTGAAGAACCCGACCAAGCTGGATGCTGCGTGGCCTCAAAGACATAGCCTGTTTTGGCGGCATATACATAGCATACTATATATATATATATATATAATGTTTTGTTGTATAAGTATTAGTTTGTTTCAGGGCACCCTTCTCGACACCAAAAGCAGCACCCGTCCATTTTTGGGCCCCATGTTGACACATGCCCACACCGGGCAATCAACATTGGCTGGGGGGTGTCAAACAATATTTATTGGGCATATACACTTCGTTTTGCCAGGAGTTCTCAATACTTTCGCCTAGAGCCAAGCGGTTTATGTACTTTAGCCAGTCAATTCCGAAGGTCAATATCTTGGTACAAGCCGTGCCGTTGGGATTCAACAGCAAGGGGGACATCAGCATACAATCCCCACTTTGGCTGGAGTCATTTGCACGGGCACGGGCATAAAGAGAATAGCACCATCTACTTTGACCTTGGAAGGAACATACCAAACCCACCAATTTGAGAGAAACTAACCAATTGAAGGTTAGCCAAGGCTCCCAACCCTACTCGACTCATGAGTGTACCGTTTCATGAGTCAAGCTCCCCACTCGATGTCAGTCCAAGGCGAGCTCTTCCATCATGGGCTTCTCCCCCAAGTTTAGCGCTTTCGACTACGGCATCGCCACCAGTGCGGTCTTCAGCTTGAGACATGAGCGCTGAAACGTCTCTGTGTGTGTGTGTGTTTTTTTCGCGGGATGTTTGCAACATCGACGGCCTCTATGTTTGGTTGTGCAAGTTTGCAGCAACAAAAATGCATATCTTGTGGTTGCATGGCCGGCTTTGCAAGAGGGTGCTTTTGGGCAATGGCCATATCATGTGTTGTTTGTTCTTTGTGTCTAATTTGCCCAACCCAACATTTCTGCCAGCTAAGACACCAGTTCTTGCAATCATCTCAAGCGTAAAACGTGCGTGCTGAGACCCTGATACGCTCAAAGAGCTCGCAGAGGCGGGGCATCGCATCCCATGGAGAACGAATGGAAGCCGGGGTGTTGCTGAACGTGTGTTGCACTCATTGGCTGTGCAATGCCAGGAACCGCGTTGGGGTAAAGGAACTTGTGAAAGGTGGCATGGACAAAACAGGAGGGGTTCAACAGCTTTGACAACTCAGTCCATCCGGATGGGTGTTGGATGAAATGGGGGCACCCGTGTTGGCCAGTTTCGGTGGGATAGCTGTGCTTATAAGCACCTTAAGTAAAGGCTTTGTGGCTCCATTACTACGCCTGGAAAAACAGTTTCTCATGGTTGTGGAGACGACCTATTGGATGGGACTTGCGCCAAAGCAGACTGGCTTTGCATTTCCGGGTTGTTTTTATGCTTAAGAGCTGCCAGAGCTGATTATCACTGTCGGCGTGTTGCGGACCGATGGGAAAGGAGCGGCCCCTATTGTTGCCGATGTGACTGCAAAAGGATAAAGACCGTTTGTTTTAAGTTGGGTGTGGTGTAAAGACAGCGCTAGAAAACGCTAAGATTCTTGCACATGAGCATCTAGTAAATGAAAGGAGAGGTTGTCCGCAGATTCTAGGGCTCGTAGATCAGCCGCAAGCCGCTTGCCCGCTGCTCGTTCGTGAGCTTTGCCCTGTTTTGAGCTACCTTCGTGTGGAGTTGCTTGGGTCGAGGCACTACGCGTTTGCCAACACCCGGCAAATCACCATCCGAAACGCAGAATGCTTGCCTGTCCATATTTTCCCGAATCCTTTCTTTGAGATTCAAATCTAGGGGTCGCTGCGGCACAAGGAGGATGCCCTTCAGATCAGCTGTGTTGCTGCATATCATCCCGCCGTAGAAAGCGAGCATTGGCATTGCGAAGAGCTTCGACAAGAAGCCCAAACTGTGTCAACGAGAGCAACCGCAACAGTCTTGTGCAAAGTGCTGTGTCTCCTCCGGAGCACAGGACTTTGCAAATCAATTTCTTCGAACAAGTGCATCTGTTTTGAATGCTGGGTTATGGGGGTTCAAGGGTGCATTGATAGGCTTTTTCTGTAGACATCCTTTCCATCTATAGGCTGATTCCTCCTTCAGACAAGCCAGGATCGGGAGGGAGGGACGGAGGGACACCCACACACAGACATTAATACAACACAACGGGAGAAGCACGACGCAAGACTGTGTGCTAACACGTTCTGCCTCGATGCGTTGGATGCAGGATGAAAGTTGAGTCAGGAGGTCAGGAGCGTGAGTATGGGTTGAAGCGAGCCTGAATTCAGCTTAGTCAAGAGTGCAGATCAGCTTGGCAGATTAGGGGTTCTTGAATTCAGGTTGGTTATGGCAGCTAGTGCCAAGAAGTTAGCCAAGCAATTCCAGAAGTGTGCTCCGGCAGGTCGGTGATTTCGTGGGCATTCAGAAGAAGGATCCCTTCGTTGATGCCACTCAACAGCACTAGACTTGGGCTTGAGTCGCTTTGGCGGCCGATGGCGGCCGTGTCTGCCAAGTCTTGCCGTTTGAATGGCATTTGAATGTCCGCCTGCTGGGGCCAGATCTCCATGGCGGGTCTGTGTGTGTGCCCCCGTGCTTTGTTGCCCAAAGCGACTCGACCTTTCGAGGTTTATACTCAGCGCCAAGTTGGTCCTGTTTGCAAGGGTCATTATTTTGACGGTTTTTGGGGGTTCTCAAAGTCAGAAATGGGGGTTGTTTCCCTTTCAGCGACCACTTAGGGGGTGACTTCGACCCTGGTACAATATTGAGGCCAGGTTTTGCAGGTCCTTTTGGGAAGCGAGTGCAAGGGACAGAGAGGCTACCGATTGAAATCGAGCAGATGTTGTACGGGGGCGAGCGTTTTGCCACTGCGGTTTTCAGGCGTCGATGGCAGTTTCCTACCCGCTCCTCGGAGAAATCAGCGTGCAGGCGGTAGCCCTGACTCCGGACAAAAGACAGAGGTATTTCCACGGGAAAACCTGGCTGTTCATGAAATGTGTTCCCCCGTTGAGGCGGTGAGGAAAGAGGGGGGCCCTTTCTGCGGCTGTTCAACCTTGCTGGAGTGTCTCCCATCTCAGAATGGGGATTCGTTGCCCCCGCAAATCGAGCCCCAGAGTCGGGCTGTTTCGTATGTCCCCATCTCACAGATGGCCAAGGTATTATTGGTTCAGCCTGCCGGGGAAATGTCCGAATCTTCCTTGGACGCCACTCGGCTGCAGAAGCGTGCGACGCAGGCGGCATCAGGGAGGACTGGACCATCACGCGCCACGTGGGATGGTGAGACACATCAGGGATGCGGTGAACTGAGAAATGCAATCTTGTGGACGACTACATTCTCCAAAGTGGCCTTTGGCATAGGCCCATTTGCTGATGTTAAATTGGGTGAGGCTTTTGGGCAAGTGAGGTGTGATCGTTGCTGACTGGCCACTTGCCATTTCCATAGATGCCTCACAAGACAGTACCTGAACGCTGGTACCAGGCGTGTTGTGGGTACTTGAGATTGATGGCCTTTATTAAGTTTTGCTTGTGTCATGGAGCTCCCTATGTTTCGTCGGTGGTTGTAGTATCACGTTTTGGGCCAGTCTACGATGTCTAAATAAGAGTTATATGTTGCTTTTTAGCGGGTGATGTTTAAAGGGGCATCGCCGCATTGCCATCAACATAGTAGGAAAAGAGCAACACGCCACACTGGCAAGAGCTATATCGATGCCACCTGACGCGGAAACAGCCAAACATCTACGCAGCTCGCGGACCCTAGTTGATCTTACACCCAATCCACTTTGTCAAGCGACATGCATGAGCAGAATAAGTTGTGCACACAAACAGTTTCTTCAAACGTGCTTTCTCTCTGTGGAGGCTACATGCTCCTTTAGAACAGGTGACGGGTACCATGCAACGCATTCAGGTCATATGAGTCAACCTCAGAATTATCAAAGACCACTTTATCAACGGCGTTTCATTCAATACTGTTGTTTTTTGCATTTTCCTTGGAGAACGATAGGGGACTCACAAAAAACGATACCCCTGAACATGGTTTGTGCTGGACCTTCGAGCTGGAGCTGCCGAAGTCTAACTTGTGTACCGTGCGTGTGCTGAAAGCTGCGACTTGCGACCTGGAGGTTGCTGCCAGCAAGCAAAAGCCGCTTAGACTGACACGTGACCGCCGCAAGCTGCGACCTTCGAGCTGGAGCTGCCGAAGTGTAACTTGTGCACTGCGCTTGTGGTGAAAGTTGCGACTTGCGACCTTGAGGTTGCTGCCAGCAAGCAAGCCGCCAAGACTGATATATGATTACCGCAAGGCAGAGAAGGCTATTGTGTGTTTGCTTGGCTCTAACAGCTTATGGAAAATTGTGAAAATTTTCGTCACGCGACACACGCCCAGAACGATACCCCGGTCGATACCCCGTCGATACCCCGAGCATTGGCCCGAGTTGCAAATGTGAGGCCTAGTGCATCTGCTTACAAAAGGCTACGCTTGTGGTTCCAGTGCTGTGTTTGCGTAGAAAGTTGGTCGGGTGCTTTTCGAGTTCGCGCGGCGCTATAGCGAGAGCGCTTGGGCACGCGTGGTCACCGCGAAGAGGGTTCACCGGGCACTTTCCAAATTCGCACGGAGTCGCAGCGAGGGCGCTTTGACACGCGCAATCCTCGCAGGGTTCATTGGGCACTTTACGAATTTGCACGGCGCCACAGCGAGAGCGCTTGGGCGCGCAGGATCACTGCAGAGGGTTCACCGGCTCCGATGACGGACACTTCATGGCTGTGAGGGGCCCCATCACCCTGAGACACATGCGCTTCCGGCTGACCGATCTGGAACGCAAGTCGTCCGACTGAGGGGCTCGTCCTTGTCGTTCGTGCTGTTTTTGGATCACGTCTAATCCCCGAAGGTTGTTTAAAAAATATGCCCGATGAACCCTCTGCAGGGATCGCGCGCCTCGAAGCGCTCCCACTGTGGCGCCGTGCGAATTTGTAAAGCGCCCGATGAACCCTCTGCGAGGATTGCGCGTGCGAATTTTAAAACTGCCCGATGAACCCTCTGCAGGGATCCTGCGCGCCCAAGCGCTCTCGCTGTGGCGCCGTGCAAATTCGTAAAGTGCCCAATGAACCCTCTGCGAGGATTGCGCAATGGTGCCCACGCCGGCCGCTCTTCAGCGTTATCTTGGACAGGATGTCGTCCCCCAGATTGCCCAACACGCGGCTGGCGTTGGCCAGCTGGGCGCAGCGTAGGTAGACCTTGCTATGCCATCATCCTGACAAACTTGAAGACCTGCTGCCCGCCTCAGACGAAGCTCGGGGCTGTATCAGCTTTTGTGCGCATATCGGCAACTCTTTTTTTTCATTGGGCGGCCAAATGGCGGTGCTTTCGTGAGGTGCTTGAAGGGGTCCAACCATGCGGACTGCACCCACACGGACGAGGAAGTGGGGGTTTTGCCCGTGTCGTGTGCCATGGTTTGAGAAGAGAAGGGAGGAAGGGCCTAGTGGCCTGGTGTTGGGTTCCATTCGAGCACCAAACCCGGCCTATTGGCCATTCTAGCAGCTGGTTCTATTGCCTGGACCCATGGGGGTTTCAGTACGGCCTATACTGTAGACCTTTGACGAACCTTGAATTGGGTGCTTGGGGGACCCTGTATTTTCAACTCCTAACCACTTGCTTTGGCCCAAAAGCCGAAAGCAGGCAAGGGGTTGCAACAACAACAGGGTCCCGGTGGTTGGGTGTCCGCCGGATCGGGCGATTTGTGGAGCGACAAGTGGGAGCAGAACTGACATGTTGCTACCATGTCCACGACTTAAATTGATTTCAACCTACCCCCGCAATGCCCCGCAACCCCATTTCACCCTTTGTCCAATCATGAAAGTGGACAGGAGGCTTCTCAAGAGCATCCTGAAAATGGAACGCCATGCCCACTTCCCTGATGGTTAAAAAGCCCCAATGAATCGTGAAGCCCTGCTTTGGCTTGAGCCCAAGCCTTGAAGCCCACGGGAGGCAAACCCAAAGCCCTGCATGATCCTTGGACAACGTTGTCATTGCAAAGGCCCCTGTAGTAGCTGATATGTTTGGCACTATAGTTCATAATGCCCTTCTTTCTTTGGTTGTTTGGGCGGCAGAAAAAAACTGCGCATAGCTTTTTTCCTCAGGCAAGGACGTGGGGTGCGCGGGCAAGAGCGACGAGGAGGCGGCCCAGTGCAAGGCCGACTTCGAGAAGCTCGGTGAACTCAAAACGAAGGCCGTTTGTGGGGAGGGTGGCCGTTTGTGGACCCCTGATGAATACTAGGTCCCCCAGCTAGGTGCCAACTTTTACCGTTTCTTTTCTTGGTTGGGAGGGTTTTTTCCTACTAAAATAGACTACGGAAAAAAAAAGTACCAACTTATTCGAACCTCTCTAGCGGAGGACCTAGAATAGACCCCAGGTTCTTTCCGGGGTGTCATGTTTGAGTGGGGATTCCTTTTTCCCAGCAAAATACAAACCCTGGGTATTTTTGATGTCGAGCCCTGATGAGTAGACTTTCAGTGAATTAGGGGTTTCAGCGTTTTGTTTCCCAGGGCCAGGGGAAACCCCTGCGCAATTCGTGAAGGGGTCAACATCACACTGGTTTGAAGGGAAAGCCCAAGGAAGACCTCGCTTTGGGTCCAGGTTGCCCTATGACACATGCCACCTTCAAGGTTCGGTTGATTTAGCCCTGTGAATAGCCGTTGTTTTGCGCTTGGTTTGCCTTGTAGCTGGATGAAGGCTTTGGAAATGCTTCCTGGTGTTTACTTCCCTGACCGTTTCTCATTTCTATCATAATCTTATTGTTTTTGGCATTGTTACTATTATTGCTATGGTTATGATGATGATTGTTATTTGTTGTATCCTGCAATGTGCAGTTCGCGAATCCAGCCGTTGCCAACATTTGGTGGCCCCCCCGTGCCCCTGCCGCACTCAGGACGCCAGAGACTCTTCAAGATTGCTGCCGCCCAGCTGCACCGAGGGCAGGGCTACGGATCCAGGGACCGACTCGACCTTTCCTGTTTTTGAGCAACTGACCCAGCCATGTTGTTTTTTGCCGAGTTCCATGGGTGAACTTACTCCTTGTCACTCTTCTATTCCAGTTGGTTCTCTACACCAGCTTCAGAGTTGCAGTGACAACTCTGCGGCCCTGTGGCTTTGCGCTCTTGACATGGTCTTGCTTGGCTCGATTCAGCCCCGATCTTCACCCTTTGTAAATTCACCCTTCCCTCAGGTTGCGGGCCTGAGACTGCCAGATTGCGAGCCGAATTCGGCTAAGGCCTGAAATATACCGGCCCGTCCTTCAGCAACAAGCTTCGGAAGGCCGGTGAATGGGAGGGGATGGCGATCCACTCGCGATTGTTTGAGCCGGCAGGGTATGAGGGTGTTTGGTTTGCCGTTCACTTTTGAGTTTAGAGCTCAAACACGCGCCTTTGCAAGTGTTTCCAACTGTCGCCTTTGGGCTCAAGCACAAGTTCTACTCAGCAGGTCTTTGCCGTGCAGCATTTGCTGCATATTCGCCGCTTGCTCAGCTGGCACGGGGTATGTCAGGGCCAAGCAGCTGTGCTTTCCATGCGCTACACATCGCCAGGAATGTCAGTTTGGAACATGACTGATTTGGTGTATATATATATATATGGCGAAATGTGCTTTTCGTGCCAAATATGATCCATATTTCTGAAGTCGACAAAATATTGGTTGTAGTTTCTTTCAAGCGCCACATGCATCTCCAATAAGCTCCGATGCACATGCATCCCGATTCCGTTGCTTTCCCGTCCAAGGTTTTCATCATGGGAACGAAGGTTGCCGTGATGTACGCATTTTGCAGCGTCTTCGCTTGCGTGCTTCAAGCCATCTCCGCCAACGTGAAGTGGCACTCCTTGAGGATGATGCTCGCAGCTTGGCAGTCTCCAAGGGCTTTGCTTTCTTTGGTTGGGATCTTTCCGGTTGCAGGAAAGGGTTTTGTATTTTGCTGACATGTTTTGTGGCTCTGAAACAGAATTGGCCGCTCAGCGCAATCATCCGCCACCCACCCACCCTTTCCTGTCGCTGTCCAGTGGTTTTTTCCTGAAGTCCATCAAAACCACCTCAGCCCCTACGATCCCTTTCTTTTGTTACTTGGGTTTCCTTGGAGCCCGTTGCCAACCAAGTCAACTGCTCCAGCGATTCAGCGCTTTCAGGGTGCGGTGACCATGATGAAGCTGGAGACCAGCCTGATCTACACTCGCATGGACACGGGGGCCAGCATGCTCTGCAACTTCCCGGGCTCTGGGAAGCTCAAGCTGGGCCGCTGCCCTTCGGACTTCGTCCCCTTTTTTTGGGGGGGGTCTTGTAGAGGGTAATTGGGGAGCCCCTCCTTAACCACCAAACCACCAATCCAAACCACCAACTCGAAGCAAGATTGTTGCTTGCCTCGCGCTTAGTTGACCGCAGGCCCCTTCGATTCCAGCTTTTAAAGCAAGGGCTGACGGCGGCCCCCCTCTGGCGACGGTTTTCCAAGAGGGCCCATCCCTAAGTTTGATCAACCTGACAAGTGAGATTTGTCGCAGAAAAACGTGGCCAACGACGTTGTGATGTCAGGAGACGATTAGTAACCCCCCCCGATTAAATTGAGAGGTTTCCCCTTTCCTCCCCCAACAAGGTGTCCCAAAAACCCTACCCAATATTTTTTTGGCGCTCCTGAAAACACCCCCGATTAAAGGTATCCCTTTGCCGCCCCCAATCCAAAAAAAAAAAAATGCCAGAAAAGGGACTTTCCTTCTTGTTTAGTATTTGCTTAGTCTGTGCTTAAGCCCACCAATACAAAGCTACTATTGAACCCCTCAAGTTTTCGTCAAACATGTGCTCCCCCAAAAAAACATGTTTCTTTATTAAAAATTGGTTAAAATGACAAGGTTTTCAAGCTCACAAAGGAGACCCCCCTTGGAGGCCTAACAGAAACCCCTCGCGATTAATCAGGGCCCTTTTGGGCTCAAAACCCAAAAACATGTTGTTGCCTTTTACAGTGCTACTGCCCAGAAGGGGCCAGAAGTAAGAGGACAAGGACCGAAAGGGCTCGAGATTCATCAGGGGGGTCCTCCCAAAAATCTCAGTGTTTGGGACCTTGTCGACCTTGAAGGGGGGGGGGAGGGGTTTGCTAATCAGTTGTCGCCATTAATGCGAGTTCCGGCGGTTTCCATCGGCTATCAACGTCAGCATTTTCCCGAAAGCGGCATGGACATTGCGTGGATTTGGGAGGTTTGGGGGGGGGGTATGGCCGGAACGAGTATGGCATGGTTTGCAGCATCTTGCGTTGCTGGCGCCGTCTTCAGCAACAACTGCAGGGCTTTGGTGAGAACGGGATAATTCGTGCAGCAAGCCCATATTCGGCGACGTACCAGCACAGATGGCTCCATTTTTTTTTTTTGGCAGGACCCGTTGATCTAACAGAGTGCCCTTCAAATGTTTGGAAGTAGCCTAACCTGAACGGTTCACTACGCAGGCGCCTTGCTCCAAGCGCCGGTGTGGGAGCTGAGGCGATGAGTTGTCTGAGGGTATCACCTTGCAGGCGGGGTGGGTTGCATCATTTGCTTCACCAATCAGACTCTGGCGCTGGTGGTTGTCATGTTTGAGCCCCGGTCCTTCAATGTGATTGGCCTGTTGCTTGCCATTCGCCGGCAAGCTCGTTTGGTTTAGCAGTTGGTATATTGATTTATTCCTTTTTTGGGGGAGGGTTCCCCTGCTAAAATAGTAACCTCTCTACTGGAGGACCTAGTTGAGCTCAGGGTTTGCCCCGAACATTTTGCAGGACGCCGCGGATGAGTGGTGCGCCCCGCTTGTGGTGAGCATCTTTCCCAACCCTTGCTTTGGCCCGGTGGCCCAGCGATGCAAAGAGAGACGTGGCTTCGGTGTGGCATGAAACAGGGCCAACGTGTCTGGAGGCGTCCCTTTCAAAGACCCACCGAAGAAACCCCACGCCACCCCACCCCACCCCACCCTACCCCACCCTACTCTACCCTACCCTAGCCTACCCTACTCGACCCGACCCGACCCTACCCTACCCTATCCTACCCATCAACCCACCCACCCCAAAAGCAATTAAGAGACCAGACAATGGTAACCCCGGATTAAATCAACCCCATTTCAATAGGGGGCTGTCCCTGGATTCAGTCCCCTAATTGTAGGGCAGGTTTCATTCATCCGGGATGAACATTTACGCGATTAAAAAGTCACATACATCCCGCCCCTAAGATCACAACATTTGGTTTCATTATGTTGAAGGGTGGCGGGTGGGTGGGGGGGGGGTCCTGAGTTGACCAGGTACTACCCTGAAGGTACTTCCAGTAAGATAGATACATACAGCAGTCCTTGAATCAAAACTGACTCAAACGTACCACGCAAATCCAAGACCTCAGTCCGAAGTCAAAACAGGGAGGTGGGGAGTTAAACCCTTGAGTTCCTGGACTTCAAGCTTCTTGGGAAGACCATTTTAGTAGTAAATCAAAGGCTCTGACTTGTTTTGTGCTCATCCACTCAGGAAGTGAGGTTAGTTGGGGGGGAGGGCCACTTGCAAGATACCTACGAATCGTCTACGAAGCTCCGCCTTTGAACAGGTGAAAAGGCCATGGTTCGATGGTGTCGCAGAATCGTAGTTCATGGTTGACTTGCTTCGGGCGGGCGCAGAGACAAAACCGGCCTGTATGCCAGGGTTGAACCGGAACCCTAGAAGCACAAGGTACAATCCTGAAATCAGAGGCTTTTAGGGATTGGTAGGAATTATAGATTAATAACGAGCCTTTAGTGGCCTTTGAGATATCCTAATAAATCGGGAACATTCCAAGCCATGCATGTTGCACCATTTGCCTGGGTTGAACGTGCCCCTTGCACCCGCAATTCGCCCCAGCATGATTCGTAGCTGGAAGCTTTTGAGCATCCCACAGAAGAGCGACCTCCACCGTTTTTGGGCCAGCTGGGGCCACCCGATCATTCCTTCGCCTTTCCAAGGCTTCAGGATGGCCTACTTCATGGGCCTGGCCAACTTGTTCGCGATCGCGGTGAACGTCATCGCGATCTGCGTGTGCTTGTTCCTGGTGGTCCAGTACATCGAGGGCACGCTGCACAAGGGTATGCAACTTGCCACGCAGCTACCCTCCCTCCCACTCACATGGCAGACAGGGGGTCCCTTCAAGAGGAGAATGATCTTCCAGGTACCTATCCACAGGTACCAAGAAAAAAGTGCGAGGAAGGGTACATATCTGAAGCCAAGGGTCGGACATGCCCGGTATTTGCATGGCAAGTGGCAGGTACCGGACTTGGGCTCGAGCCTGGCTTTCGGCTCAGGTACCGGACTTGGGCTCTGATTATTCACTTGATCTCCACTGCCGTCCTGCTGGGCGCATTCCTCGCCTACATTTTGGTGGTGGGGGACTCATGCCGACTGCCGAATCTGAAGACGAGAGCGAAAAAAAAGGTTTGGGAAAGCCAGCTCATGAAGGTCCCTTTAAAGTCAACAAACCAAAAATAATGTTTTGTTTTTTGCCCATGGCCAATGGGCATCTGAGTATTAACGGGGATATCAGGAGAAGTACGGATCTTGCTACTTCCCGTGCTGATGTGAGCACCCGTGCTTTGGGTTGTTTCGGGCATCTCTGTCCCTCATAACTCGAGTGTCGTTGCTTAAGTAAATGTGCCTTGTCTTTAGCTGGAACGGGTGAAACGACAGTAGAGGCAACCACCCTAGCCCCTTGAGTGAGACCCAACGAGTGCAATCAGGCGATCAATGCCCTGGATGATGTTGGAGGCCTGCGATCGGGTTGAAGTGACGGTGTGCGGACGCAATTGAGCCACTTGCTCAAATCCCAGGGACACTCCCAACCATAGAGAGGTGCGGCCGCTATGGTAAATCTTTACATGGTTTGGGTTCACCATGTTTGACCGATCGGCGCTCTTTCGGACTACGTCGGTGCCGACGGCATTCCGCTCGAGCTTGCAGGTGTCCAAGTTGCGGTGATGGTGATGTCGAATGGCACCGGGGTTAGCATCGGCGTTTGGATCATGGGAGCTGGCTTGATCTTCCAGGCCGGGCGAGCCTCGCCTTTGGGTTTCCGGAGTGCGGCTGAACCTGGGCACAGGAAAGATCCCATCGGTTGGCTAAAAGAGAGACAGAGAGAGAGAGAGAGAGAGCTACGCAGGTCCTTTCTGGTTGGTTCGCAAAGCTGTAGGCCGCACAGTGCTCACATGTACTCACCAAGTCTGCGATCTCTGTTGAACTGATTTTACATTTCAAGGCTCATTGCACATGAACCAGGAGGAAAACAAGGGACAAACAATTTCTCCAGGACCCTATGAGGGCTGAGGCCTGGGGCCTTTGAAAGTGAGGCATTTATGAAATATCCAGCTGATGTTTAACTCGGGATCCGCTTGCTTTCACGTGGCAGTTCCTGGCAGCTGCTTTGCTGGGCTGTGTGAAGCTGGGGGAGGAGGAGACTTCGGAGGATCGGGAGATCCGGAAGTGGATGAAGGCGCCGGGGCTGGTGGGGGGGGGGGAACCTGCTGTTGGGTGGCGTATCAGCCTCCGTACCATTCAAAAACCAGACCTGAAATGCCCTGTGTACTGGGTCCCTTAAACGAGAATTCTGAGGGGTTCTCAAAATTTATTGGGATTTGGGAGTGGGCCCTTGGAACCACAGCTTGGAAGGTTTTTTGTTGAGAATGGCACTTTCGTGGATCCAGTCTTTAGAACAGAATTGGCATGTACCGTAGCTGTTCGTTTAGGTCAATTTGGTTGAACACCGATGGGTACTACAAGTTTCCGTTTAGTTTGGCCTTCATTTATCGCCGCCGGTAGTAATATGTTGTGCCAACTGGACATGGATTCTACGTCACACACTGTTTTCAGCCACGGGATGGCAAGATGCCAACCCTGGTGGGACGTGGTCAGAACTCGCCGGGAGATTCAATGATTGACTGTTGAGCACAACAGGAGGTCCCAAACGCAGATTCCTGCACACATGACGGATCGTGACGGGTTTGTGCGTTCCACCCTTAACCTGTAGGAGAGCAATGGGAGTTGCCCAGGGCCTGGTTAACGCAATCCGCCAGGAAACCTGCAGATATTGTTTTACAGCCCATGGTTCCACCGAGTTTTTTGGGGGTTGCAAGGCCTTGAAGCCGTTATAGCCAAGTTGGTAGAACCAAAACGGGTTTTGGCGCGGCTCTGTTGATCGTATTTCTGGTCGCTTGCTTGTGCATGGGTTCCAGGGCCCTCAAAAGGGCGAAAATTTGTGTTTGAGGCGGGGCCCTTGCTCAAGCTGTTGTGGCTGATGCTCATCATTCAATGCGCTGCCCCCGAACGAGAAGCTGGGTCTTGCTACAAATCCATTCATTCCTCATGAGCTTTGTGCAACTCTTATCTCCCTCACAGAGGGGGTCGCTGCGACCTCTCCTATGATGAAGGTTCCCGTCATAGTGATAACTTATTTGAGTTGAATGGCGAATTGTCCAATCTCACCAATATTACTTCCCAGTGTCCCAGTGGCGCCCTTTTCTTCTTGTTTTGTGGGAAGGGTTCCCCTTTAAAGTCAACCAACCAAAACAGAATGCTCCTGTTGCATGGCCACTGGGCATCTGAGACTTGCATTCCCATTTTCTTTCGAGGTGATCATAGCTGGCCTCAAAATGGTCCTTGAGGTTCAAGCCATGCTTTCGGCTCTGTGGGTGGGGATGGCCCTCTCCAGGCTTTCATTTGGGACCGAGCTCGCCAGGAGCAGAACAAGTGGGAGATGAACCCAGGTCCGGCACCCCTGATCGGAGAATCGGAAAGCCGAGGGGCCAGTTGAGAAGCGCATTGCCTTTTTGTCATTTTCACCCCCAGGAATGTTTGGAAAGGATTGTAGTTGGCCATTGTCAGGTTCATCAGGTCTTTGACCGGGGGCTTTGGTTGTTTAGAGCGTTGAGTTTGTCGCAAACGGCCCGCCACTTGCAGTAGGGTCTCTGCCCAAACCTGGCCATGCCCAGTGCACTCTGAGTTTGGCATACCGATGGACATGCTGTTTCCTAGTTCTGCCACATGTCACTTGCAGTACTTACAAGTAAGTTTTTGTATCCGAAATGTAATAACACGTTTTCAGCGCTGCCCTAGTTGACCACTCATGCTGAAGCTGACTTGGGAGCCGATATGGGTCCCGGCTAGATTTTATCTGCCCTGCCACTGGCCTTCGGCTAACATGCTCCAAGCACAACATGCTGGCTTGTTTGGCAGATGCTGGCATGTGACGTGTTTTGTCTTGAACTTGTTTGTGGAGTATTCTGTTGTTTCTGTGTTGACTTTGAGGGGGTTGTATATTTGAGAGAGATGGATTCTGGCTTGACGAATCACTACCACGAAGCCGCGTTTTTTTTTTTAGATACTTGTACTTGTTCATAGTTGCCGGTGTGCTAGCTAGTTCTTTGAATCAACTTCCATTTGCCGCATTGAAGTAGCAACTCTGTGTATTGGCTTTTGGCTGAATATTGCTCATCGTGGCTCAATAACGGCTACGTTTGGTTCATAGCAAGCAAGCCGCAGGGTGCAGAGATTCTGATCTTTGTAGCTTTCCTTTCAGCGCAATAGTCGTGACTTGTCCCCTGGCAAACCGACACGGAACCCAACAAGGAGTTCCCCAAAACGGGGATTCGTTTGAGGAGGCAGTTCTCTGTTTAGGAGGGTGCTCCAAAGGAGTGTTTCCCTTGCACTTGTTGCGGGCACAGCAAAAGATCCAGAGTGCTAAGGCTATGGCACCTGGGACCAGTCCGGCAGCTACACAGGGCAACTCGTCAGACCCAGGTTGGCGCAGCTTCAAGTAGGGCTGAAGATTGCGGTCCCGTTTCTTTTTCTTTCTGATCAAGCAACCCTCAAAAGCAAGGGCGGACACGCATGACAATACGTATATGGAATACTGTGCAGTTCCTGGTGTTCTGCGTGCTTGGAGCCGGGTTCCATTTCAGGGCCATGGCTCCATGCATCTGCGAGCAGGGCAGCGCTGCCCAAGCACCACACCAGCATGCGACAATTTTGCTGGTTGCTGGACGTGGGATTGGTACGCACCCTTGGGTTCAGGCACTAGCTGAGCAGCTCTTTGTTCAGGGGACCCCCAGCACCTCCCCGCTTTGCCAGTGCAGAACCAGAGTTTGAGCTGCCAACTAAGGCAGTCAGCGTACGGCGCTGGAATGCACCAGCAACCTGAGGGCCAATTCCAGCAATACCCCCAGTTCCAGCAACCTCCAGCTGCTGACGGCCAGTTCCAGCAGTACCCAGCCGCAGATGGCCAGTTCCAGCAGTACCCAGCCGCAGATGGCCAGTTCCGGCAGTATCCGGCCGCAGATGGCCAGTTCCAGCAGTATCCGGCCGCAGCTGGCCAGTACCCGCAGATGCAAGGTGCTGCTCAGGCTTGGCTGCCAGCCTGTGTAGCATGCCATGTCGCCAGGGCAGTAGCGACCTACTGGCCAGCAGTAAAGCAACCGTTGTCCACTTGAGCTTTCAGTTGTTTCGTGCCTGCCCTGCTATGCTCCAGTGACCTCTTGACTTTTCAGCGGCTGCTTGCCTGAACGGATGCCCCTTGGAGCTGTTTCTGACCCTGCCTTTTTGTGGTGAACTGCTTAGCCCACCTGATGCCAAACCAAACAAGCTGCCAGACCATCAGGATTCAAGCAGAAAGTCAGACATGCCGCAATTCCCGAGCGGCTAACATAGCGCAGCTTTCACAGGCTGAGGTGAAATACTCCCAGTTGGACCAGCGCCCGGGGTTGCTTTGCTCGTCAGTTGGTTCCCGATGCACATGGGTAGCCTGAAACGCGGTGCCTTTGTAGTTCATCCAGTGGTCTTGCGGCTTCTCCGAGAACTGGACTCAGTGCAAGGGCTTGCATTTGGCCAGGCCTCAGCCTCCTGAGAGTTGCGCGCTGGGAGCTGCTGAAACGCTTCGGGACAAAATGCGCCACAAGATGTTGATGCATGTGAAGATCCACGTGCTTGCGACAGAGACATACCCCTCACGCGCATTTTGGGCCGGGCTTGCCTGTGCGTTTTCATTTTGGTGCTGAAGTGGCTAACCTCTTTTTTCGTTGGGTTTTGGTTGGTACTTTTTAGCAAAGGCAAAGGATTGAAACTTCTTTCTGGCGACTCAAGTCAGCTGGTCAGAACAGGGCCTGACCTGAAGGGTACTGATGGGAGTAGCACTGTTTTGTCTAGCTTGGAAGCTGAACGTCGCCCAAGGTCACGACAAAGCGGATTCTTGACGTGTGTTTCTTTTTGACCTCGTTTAGCCGGAGGAAGTTTTGAGGACGGGCGAAAACGTCGCACGCCTCATGCCTCATGCCATGCTGCAAGCAGACGGGGGGTTTGACGCAAAATGGAGCCATAGGTTATGCCCCATGGGCCATATAGCACCAGTGTGTTGTTAATCCGGTGCCGCTACCGAAGACGAGCCAATGATATCAAAGCCCTTCCTGTGGGTCGTGACGTCATGATCCGTAGGAAACCCTGACTAAGGCCGCCCAAGCACTTCGTTTCATGGCGCGGTGGTTTACTCGTGGCTTGTTGGTTTGTAATCCCACGACCACATGTCAAGGAGGCAGGGAGCCGTGCATATGGCCAAAAACGCGCAGCCATTGGCTCATACGTTCTAGAAGCAGGCCTTCTCGTCGGCTTTTCAGCCTTTTTGCTTTGCACCTCGGCTGTGGGAGCAACCTTGGGCCAGGAGCCACATCCTCTCACCCCGGGGCAGTTGCATTGGAGTGTCCGCGCTTGTCGGAGCCAATGCGCTCAATCGAATATGCTGTTGCTGTTTCGAGGCATGCAAAGCCCCCGACCCTTTTGCATTGAGAGGCCTCTCGACTTGAGCAGGTCTGCTCCATCCAATCGCAAAGCATGTTGAAACAGCGTCCTTTGGCTTCCCTGCGCCAAGTAATCCTGTGCCTTTCCCTGAATCTGCTGGAACGCCTTGCGATGTCCAAGGCCGAAATGGGAACGAAGGTGGCGGTAATGTACGCCTTCATGTGCGTCTTCGGACTGGTATTCCAGAGCCTGGCGGTGGGGGTGAAATGGCACTCCATGCGGGCAATGCTCGCACCTCGGCAGGTTCTATAAGATTTGTTTCTCCTTGTGAAAAAACAAAAAAACAAGCAGTCCTTGTTCATTTCTCGTAGGCTGGCAGAAGTAATTACCATGTTTTTCATGTTTGAAGGTGTTCTCTCCGGATCATAATCTCGTTTTGTCAGACCCTCCATCAAACACCCCAATTCACCCATGCCCCGCTGGTTCACCCAATGGACAGCTACGGAGAGGGAGGGGGAGGGGGAGGAGGTGTTCTGCTTTTCCGAACCAAGCAATCCAATCCGCCCCCCCAAAAAAAAGTTACAAGGTGCCCTTCCCCCGCCCCGGCCAATTTCAAAAAGCCCGGGAGCCTGGGGAGAAACATGGTTTCATATATATCCACCTGACCCCAAAGTACCCTATCAATGAATATGCTTTGTTCCCCAGACCTGGGGGAGGGAGGGTCCGGGTTTATTCTTACACGGGAAGGGATTAGTTGAGATCTGGGCCGGCAACTCTTGTGTTTTCCCTTTTGTTTAAGTCCAGTCTTGAGCAAAGGGTCCCTTGATACAACTGGAGGAGAGGACGGTGGGATAAATCGCTGGTTTGGTACTGATTGAAGTTTGGCCGATTCTATCTTAGTAATGATTGGGGACGCTGGCATGTTGAACAAACCATTTATGACTACTAGGGGGCCTTTATACTTTTTAGGCTGAGGACTTTTGATCACCCGAGGGTCTGCGGGCTCACATGCACATACCTAGTGAAGCAGTGTGATGCTACTGTGGATGGACGAAATCCTGCACCACCTAAGACACCCTGGAGTGATGATGCGTCCCCTGTAAATACCAGCACGCAATGGTTTCCCATGGTTTCAAAGTGGTGCAGGATTTCGCCCATCCACCGAATGATGATGTATACCACGTATGTGCTTTCCAATGTCCGAAGGATATCAAGGAACGTTGGTGGGAAACGACATTCCGACTGGCTGCCGAGTTCCTTCTCGACTGCGCGTTATGAACTTGCGGATATCAATAAATAAATGAAGTTAAACTTTTAGCAGGGGAGCAGAAAGCAACCGAGTGTAGGTTCCTTGGTTCAAGCTCGGATTCGGAAGCCCGAAGTCCTGTGAAGAGATCCGTGCTGAGGGCCCCGTGACGCTCCTAAAAATGGAGACGGGGCTCATTTACACCCGAGTGGAGACGGGCTCCAGCATTCTGTGCAGGCGGGGCAAACCAGTGCTGGCCATGTTTTCTGCTTTTTTTTGAGGGAGCCTTAGAGTTGGTGCAGCTGGCCATGTTGTTGTTTTAAACCAGTGCAGCTGGCCATGTTTTTTTTGTTGTTGTTGAGGGAGTCGTAGAGTTGGTCGGTGGATGTCAAGCCCCAAAAAAATATCCCATTGAGCATTTTGCCCCGGCGCAGTTATATATATATATATATATATCTTTGCTGCATGTTGCCTGGATGTTAGGACTTTAACTTTTTGCCAACTAATGGGTTTTCCATCTAAAAGTTGGTCACTTTTAGCAGGGGAGCAGATTTCGCAACCGAGCCGGGGTCAAACGCATCCAACTCAGTTTGGCACCAAGTTCTGGTGAGGTACCAGCCGAGCGACAACCTCAAGCCAGGCAGGTGTCACTTGTACGAAGAGGCGCGTTTGGCGCCCCAAAGCCCCCTTACCTTTTGGTTGTCCCGTTTCGGTTCATGACCAGAGTGAGCCTTGTACTTTTTTTGGTTCTTTGGGCGGGTGAGTTGTGTCATTCTTTAGTAAAGAGTAGTTGCGATAGGTACTGCCATGTGGGATTGCTGGCATAAAGATTTGGGATCAACAATTGTCAGCCCTAGACTATCACTACTGGAAATATTTTCCTTTTTTTCCAGGGGACTTAAGCAAATGGAGGTTTTCCTTGTTAGTCTCGAAAGGACCTCGGTTGCAGGGGGCACCCTGGGGCATGCTTCCGCTCATGAGGTTACCCGTGGAGGTTGTTGTCTTGTCTCCGAACCCTTGTTTTTGCTTGCGCAGTCAGTGGCTTCATGCTTTGGTGCCGAACAAATGAGCTGACAGGTCCCATCTTTTTGAACCTTGCCTCTTGTTAAAACTTGGGTCCCTATTTGTCCCTACTTTTGGGATATCCTAGGTGTCCCCTGAGCTTGAGCGAAACAGGCACTGCTCGCTCAACACCGCAGAATAGGGGGGAAATAACTTCTGACATCTCCAGCCGGCCCATGGAGAGAGAGGTTTCTGCCATGGCCAGTGGTGAGAGATGCATCAAGCGGCCCCCATTCGGCTCGCCTTCGGCTCCTCCAAGCTCTTTGCTCCTTACAGATCTTGTCTCCAAATGGCTGTGGCTCAAAAAACCGGCGCCGAAATCAACCATGGCAAGTGGACACATGGACTAACACTTGCGTAACCCCTTCTGTTGAATTTTGAGCCACACCTAAATAGGAGGAGAGCTCCCGTGCCGAAACTAATGGTTTATTTGCTTGAAAAATAGAGGGCGATTCCTGGTTTACCTGGTGGCTCAATGAACTACAAGGGAAACGCATCTATTTTCAACCAAAAAGGACACCTGTGGTCATTGGGTAGCTCAGAGCTGAGGCGACGAGCTTGCCCAAGGCATCACCCTACAGGATGCTGCGGACGAGTGGTGCTCGCCTTTGATGATGTCCTTCATGCCGCAGCCCTGCATCAGCGGCCCAGCTCGCATGAACCCCCGGATCCGACGGCATGTTATTCAGGGAAGCTAACTAGCAGGAATACAGGGGGATACTACGGAGGATTCCCCCTAAATGCACCTTGACTAAGTTTGATATGGGAACTCCGTATCCCCGCTTGTTCGTTTGTCCCTGTTTTGGTAACGTGTGTGTGTCTCCCCCCCAGGAAAATGGGGTCGGGTACTGGAAATGTGTGCCGTTTTCCTCAGGAAAAGAAATGGGGCTGCGTACTTCAAGTCGTTTTCGGCGTGGTTCGCAAAGTTTCGGACACCCACTGAAAGCGAAACAGGCGAAGATCCTTTCGTCGAGGTAGGGGTGCCCTGAAGCCTTCACGGTGCAACCTATGACCTCTGACCACCTGAAGGGCAAGGGACGCCTTGGGTCACCAGAACTCGAGTAATCCCCAGCCCTGCAATGTATGGGGGATTTACCCCTGAAACGAGCCCTTCAAGTTCTAGACCGTTTCAATATCCTTTACCCCTCCACGTGAATATGGAACCCGAAAGACGGGGGTGGCAAGATTTCTAGATGAAAGTTGTCAGCACAGTTAGTTGGGTTCACATCCAGCTGCAGGAGAGCAAGAGCACTGTTAACTTCACCGACCAACAGGTTCTCAGAATAAAACCAGATGGGTGCTCTGGCGAACACATCACACCTTCTTGGTTTTTGGTGGGGCGGTATCGCCCCTAAGGCCAATTTGAGAAGTCGTGCATATATATATATATATATACATATACATACGTATATATATATATACACCCTAGGCTTCCAAAGGCCATTAAAAGAATAGTCGAGGTCGCTAGACTGTTTTTTGCCGAAAGACCGTTTTTTGCGCCTGGCCCTGAATATCCAAGAAATCATGGTGTTTGTTGCCCAAGAATTGCTTAGGGTCAGGTCACTGACAGTCATGCCGCCCTCATCCTCCCAGCTGCAAATGACTGCGCCCAAGCCACTCATTCCCCGGCTTGCCAATTGTATGGTTATATCACTTTTCAAAATCGCCAGGTGTCCCGCTTACCGGATTTGCGCGCATAGATTCTTCGCATGTTGGTACTGAAGTCCGGCTTTTTCAAAAATGCTGCAAACTTAGTAGCTTTGGGGCATCGCTGCCGATCAGGCATGCGTTGTGGGCTCCTGGGAGTATGGTTGTCCACGCTGTTAAATGTACTTTCCGCGCTTTTAAATGTGCTTTCCACGCTAAAAAACGTACTTTCCACGGTTTGTCCATGGCTTGTCCACGCCTCATGTTCTTTCGAAATCGATTAAACACTCAACAAACGACACTCGATCAGACTCTGTGGAGCTGTGGACAAGAAGCGGAAAAGCACGCACGGGCATGTGAGTGACAAGCCAAATTGACACAGCATGGTGACGACGTGTGATTGCACGGGATGCAGCGACTTTAAAACATACTAGCTTATTTCACAAAAGGCAGCAATAATTTCGTCAACCTCTCACTATCAGAAGCGCGCGGGGATGTCAGGAGCCAGCCGTCTCAAGTTGGCCAAGTTTGTCTAGACCTACTTTTAATGGTCGAGGGACATTACTTTTATAGCCTTTCGTTTTTTTTTAATGGTCGAGGCTATTTAAAGAATAGTCGAGGAAGCATAGGGTGTATATATATATATATTATGCATATATATATATACATACATACTTGTATAGATATATCCATTCATGATATGTGTCGGCTTTGCCCAATGGGACCACCATAACTCTGTGTTTTCTTGTTTTCATGTTTGTCACTCAAAGGTCTACAATGACAACCCTTTGGTGCATTTTGCCAAGGGACGCTAGGACTTTAACTTTTTGAGCCAACTCATGGGTTTTCCGTATAAAACCGCTAAAAATAGACTTTTAGCAGGGGCGCAGCTAATGGGTTTTCCGTATAAAACCACTGAAAGTTCGTCACTTTCAGACCCTTGGAGCAGATGTCGCAACCGAGAACCTGTTGCTCCGGTTCCGAGTCTTTGGAATTCGCATCGGCGCCCCGAAGCGCAGTTGACCCAAAGCGAAGGGACCTTATGTTTGCCAGTTTCTTGGGGGCTGGGGGGGAGGGAGGGGAGGGGGAGGGAGCCCAAGTAAGCCCTTATGAAGGCTTTAAGCTCCCTCCCCCTCCCATCCCTCCCCCCCAGCCCCCATGACAGTTAGTTGCTCCAAGCGGAGGCAGTGAATTTGCCTGGCGTTTTGTTTGCCATGGAGCCTGTTTTGCTATGTGCCTGCGCATTTGTTCATTCCAATTGTCCCAGTTGACTTTGGAGGAACTTGGTCATGAGCCGGGACTGTTGCGTTGGCGGCGCTGGTTAAATCACCAGCCCAGCTTGTTGCAGGCTAGGCACCCCAGTCAGCAGTGGGCTGTGTCAGGGTACATCCTGCTGAGGGGACTGACGAAGCAAGGGAAGATTTGATTCACTTATCAAGCTGGGTGACCATCCAAGGTGTTGGTTGAAACAGATGGATGGATGGATTGAAGCTTGCTGCGAAGTGATTAAGCACCTGGCTTGCGGGCAGCTATACCCTCTGGGGATGGCTTTTGGGGAGTAAAAAGGGCTCTAAGTACCTCCTTAGAAGGTACTTGGACCCTCTGGGCTTGTGTTGCTCACTCGGAAACTCATGGAAACTCCGTGGTTTTCTCGGGAAAAAGCGACTGAGCTCCGCCGTTTCGTCAGGCTTCAAAACGGCCTACTTCTGCGGCCTGGCCAACCTTCTCGCCGTTGGAATCAACGTCCTGTGCATTATGAGCTGCCTGCTCCTCGGCCAAACGTGTTAAACCTAGCCGCATTTCCCGCACCAACCCAATCGACTGCTGTAGATGTTGGCTCGTTGTTTCTAATTATGCAGTTTTGGACGAGTGAGATTCAAGAGATGAAGATGTTTGCCAAGGGCAGGCACCAAAACACTCACCTCTGGAGGTCCTACAGGTCGATTTCCACCCCTTCCCAGTTTGATGGCTGTCTATGCTTTGGGTGCGTCCAAACGCCTTGCATTGGATCCTGTTGATTTCCGGTGCGTGGCCGGCTGTTAGTCATGAGTGCAGAGGATGATCTTTGATATCCATGCCGGGTTTGCGGTTTGACCTCCGTGTTGGGAAAGGAACCCCTTTTAAAGAGTCTTTACAACATTTCCTACTTCTGGATTCCCTCATCTCAAATGGGGCGTTGCTTGTTCACATCATCTTCAGTTTGAACCTTCGCTTAAATCGCCCAGCCTAGAGTTCTTGTAAAATGAGTTGGGCTTTAACTCATTCCAGACAAGTTTTAGGGAGGTTTCGTAAAATCGAAGCAACATGCGCTGGTTTCTTCACGGACACCGGGGATGCAAGCCTCTGGCTATTTGATGTTATCCTCCCTTGGGCGCCTTTGGTATTGCTATTGTTCATCCAAATTCGATAGCGATTTGAAAGGGTTGGCTTGCTTGAACTTGAGCTCCGATCGAGGTTCCTGATCGTCCAGTACCTCGAGGGTTCCCTGCACAAGTCGTTGTATCGCCGTTCGGCGCTGATCGTACACTTCATTGCCACGGTGTTCGTCCTGGGCGCTTTTATCAGCTACATCCTCCTGGCGCGGGTAGGGGGGGGGTGGCGGGGCGGGGGAGCATTGCATCGAGTGCAAGCCACGCAAGCCATGTAGAGATGTAGCTTCCCAGCGCCGCCTTCAAGCTCGAGGCGCATACAGGGCTGCTAAATGGCATTGGCCCTGAACGATATTATAACTGCCTGCAGAGATACATTCCAGCGACTTGTTTGAACAAAAGCCCCCTCAGTTGTCATGCCCAGTGAGCAGGGTAATTAGAATGCAGCCCAGCCGTGGTTGATTTGCCCAAAGGGAACACGCTTTACTCCCAAATCTTATCGCGGAGATTTGTTTCAACAAATTGCCTACTGCTACGACGCGCGCGTTCACAATGCACAGCTCTTTTTGCGGCCACTGCTTGCGCAACGCATTTGTGGTGTAGTGCTTGCTGTTTGCTTCTTTTTGTGGCGCGGCTTGTGTTGACTGCGCGCGCACCGCTGCTTGCACACCGCGGCTTGCGCAAGCTTGCGCTGCGCAAGCATGCGCAGCGCAGCACTTGGGCAGAACCTGAACCGCACGTTCGTTCAGCATCCTTGGTTACCCAGTAACCAAGTGGGGCTGACTCCGGCAACTGCAGTGCAAGCTGAATCCGGGCCAACCATCGCGCAGACCGGTGGCATGCGTTCATGCGCGTGAAATCAGGAACCTTTGCACGGAGCTTCCATTATGCAAAGAGGTTTTCAAGGGTTTTCTACACAGAAGCGCCATCTGTGCCACTAGCTGCTGGCCACAGCTGATGCGGGCCCGAGCACTTCCTGGCGTCGCCAGGCGATCAAAGCGCTGAATGAGGTGTCAGGCAGGAGTTGGGTATGTGTCAAAATGGCGCAGGGTCCGAACTCATGCCCTTTGCCATTGGTTTCCCTTGCTCGCACACATGCGCCATTTGTCTACAGGAGGAAGGTTGCGGCTTGATAATCTCAGACACCCCTATATGTACATACATGCCGTTGGCTTACACATGGCATGTTGGCACAGTAAGTATTCCCTGCAACGAGTGCAGGTTTTATACATCTCTGCCACAGACTGAGTCCTTCAACCACCGGTGAAACCGGCGGTTGACTCAGCCTTTGAGTGTCACACGGCTTCGTGTGACTTGTTTTGGGCCAACGGGCAAGCAGTTGAGGATGTAAGCTGCCTCCAGAGGCACCAACCGTCAAGATGAATCAATCATTTCCCTGTTTTTCTGGGGCATGCGCGAGTTGGGTGACAAAACCTTATGGAGGGAGTGTGATTTACCGGATGAAGGCTCCTCTTAAAGGAATGATTTTGGATTTGTAGAGACGTTGTGTTTCTTTGGATTCTGGTAGCAGGTAAACAGGAAACCAGCCCGAACCTCCAAAACGCCAATCCAAATCAACAACTAGAGAGATACATTTTAACACCCTCACCAGAGCGCCACCATTCCACAATCCCCCACTCTTGAACTCAGTGTGTGTGCCATGCGCATTCGACACAAACAGGATGGCAAGTCAGCCAAATCAGGACGTCAGCCAATGGTGTAAAACTCATTGGTTGCACCCGGAAAGAGCACATGCCTCTAGTTCCCATGACCCTTGAAACAAAAATCATGGGGAGCTACCATCTATATAATTTCATCTACCTGTGCAAGGGTCATGGACACTTCAGGTATGAGGCACGTTGTTGCTTGAACTAGGATTGGCCACCTGCGCATTTTGAACAGCCCGGATGAAAAGGGTACACAATGAAGAAACAACTTCACTGCCCCGAAAAGGAAATGGGAAACTGACTACAAAATACAGCTTGCAGCATCCGTAGCCGCAGAAATGTTCTCATCCCCCGGCGCCATGTTTGAACTAGGTTGTGATTTGTTGCACCCCGATCGCGATCTGGACACCAAAGATCTGGCTGTGGGTCAAAACCAATGGTACCATTTTGGGGTAGGTGCACCACCCCATTTTAGTCTATTTTGGTGGGGATTGGGATGTTCACTGGCCATCTTAGCTCCGCAGGTCAGCCCCAAGTCATCGCCAACATCCAGAGCTCCGGAGCCAGCTTTGGGCTGTTTCTGATGGGCGCCGGCCTCCTTTTGCAGGCGGAGTCGGAGGGCGAGATTTGACTCGGTGGTTGGGCGGAAAGCGGGTTAGACAACCACGGGTTCCTTTGGTCCCTGTTTAAAAGGGAAACCAAACGAAGGTATCAACAAAAAAAACAGATGTGGATCGATCAAGCACTCCGTTTTCTTCGGTCCCAACTGCTAAGGGAAACCTAAAGTCGAGGGATAGATTGTGGATGGAACCATGGTGTAGCAGGTCAGGCTTCCCTTGGTTCGCCTTTCAGTTCAATGGCTGAAGTGCCATGAAACTATTTGGAAATGCCATGGCTCCGGCCGAAAGTTTGGAGAATGTTCTTATCCTTCCGTGCTGTGAATGGACGAAATCCTGCACCACCTAAGAAACCCTGGAATGATGATTCACCTGTAAATACCAACAACATGGTTTGCCATTGTTTCAAGGTGGTGCAGGATATTGTCCATCCACAGTATCTCCTTTCGAACGCAACCCTGTGCTTAGCTAGTAGGGACGGTCATAAACCCACCAAAGGGGATTGTAGGCAACCATGGTAAGGAGTTCCATCATGTAAGGGAACCATGACCATGACCCACAGCAGGAGTCTTGACCAGACTGGCAAGAACTGGGCTTGATAATCTGCAATCAAAAACCTTTGTAGGTGAAGGGATGGCACGAGAGAGAGAGAGAGAGCGAGAGAGAGCGAGAAGGTTAGTAATGAACAGAAGTAGCTGCGGCGCCCTTTTCATGCTTGACATGGTTTGCGTACATCCCTTTGATACCAAGCTTTTAGTCTGACTCAAATCAAAAGCTGGCTAGCAGTTAAATTGAGGTAGGGGACTTTCCGAACCTAAAGCAAGTAGAGGCAGCTTTTTGCCCTTGTAATTCCTTGCCGGCGTTTGGGTGGGCTGCTTTGATTCCAGAATTTGGCCATAGCTTGGCTGGTCAACACTGAAGGTTGTCGGTCCGTTTGGGAGCTGTTTCGGTGACATTCAAACTTTAGACGCCCATATCCCCAATGCTGAAGAGAGAGGGAGCGAGAGAGAGAGGGAGCGAGAGAGAGACAGAGAGAGCGAGAGAGCGAGAGAGAGAGAGGGAGCGAGAGAGACAGAGAGAGCGAGAGAGCGAGAGAGAGAGAGAGAGAGAGATAGCGAGAGAGCGAGAGAGCGAGAGGGAGAGAGAGAGAGAGAGAGAGAGAGCGAGAGAGCGAGAGAGCGAGAGAGAGAGAGGGAGCGAGAGAGAGGCAGAGAGAGCGAGAGAGCGAGAGAGCGAGAGAGAGAGAGGGAGCGAGAGAGAGACAGAGAGAGCGAGAGAGCGAGAGAGAGAGAGAGAGAGAGGGAGAGAGAGAGCGAGAGAGCGAGAAAGAAAGAGAGAGAGAGAGAGAGAGGGAGAGGGGCAGAGAGGCAAAGGAAAGAAGAGACCGAGCGAGAGAGAGAGAGATCTCCAAGCCTCCAGTGTTGCCCTCTCTTCCCGTTTTTTGGAGAAGTCTCTCGAACATCAAGTACTGACACAAAGGTGCCCCCTCTTTTTGCCGTAGCTACTGGAGGTCTGGGATGTTGACACGTCCACTGTCGGCTTTTGTGTGTCCTTGCAAGAAGGACTCCCTATACCTAGAACTTCCTGCGGCGGAAATTTCTGCCGCAACGCATTGCGGCGGAAATTCCCGCCGCATTCCAGAAAATCAGCCGCAAACAAAGAACAACGCCGCAACCAAAACAAAAACGCCGCAGCACTGTTTGCTTTCCGGGAATTTCCGCCGCATTCCCGCCGATTTCCGCCGCATTCCCGCCGATTTCCGCCGCAAATCGGGGGGGAGAAAAAACTGAAAACAAGTTCTGCCGCAATTCTAAAAAAACGCCGCAAATCAAGAAGAAATGCCGCAAATCCAAAAAGGCGCCTTTTTTGAATTGCGGCAGAAATTTCTGCCGCAACGAATCTCTAGGTATGGCCATGGTTCAAAACCAATGGTACCATTTTGGGATAGGTGCACCACCCATTTCGGTCTGGGCATTGGGATGTTCACTGGGGGTACGGGGTTTTAACCCATGGTCGTATCTTTGGGGGGTTAAAAAGTCACTTTGCCAGTTTAAGGAGAGTTCCGCTTGGCTGCGGTGAGGTGTTAAAAAAGGGGAAAAGACGGGGAATCCTCAGCCCCCGCAGCTTGCCGCTGGCGCGCTGCTGGGCAGCGTGAGGGTCGGCCAGGAGGCGGCTCTGAGGGTTTTCATAGGTCCCAAGGCCAAGTTTGGGAGTCGCTCAGCGCACGTGGAGGGTTGTCAAAATAAAAGCGCTTGTTGTTGGCTTTCCCTGCAGGAGTTGGGCTGTTGGGCTGTTGGGCTGTTGGGCTTTGGCTTTCCCTGCAGGAGGCGGTACAAGTCACAGCGGGCCCCTACTTTTGGTTGGTGGATGAAAATGAGAACAACCTTGGGTGAATGCGCGCCGCTAAAGTCCCTTTGATATTGCCCATGCGTGCAGGGCCTTGTTGGTGTCATCATGAGGAATACAACAGGGACATTTTTGTGTGTGCTTCGAAGAAGTTCTGACATCACCTTGATTGGGGTAGCCGTGTCCGGATTTCGTGTACCTGCTTGATAGCTCGAACTGCGTTGCTGCAGCTCGGCTGGCTCACTGAAGCTCAGGAGACCCAAGAGGAAGAGTTGCTGCGGAAGTGGGGGAAGGCTGGCCGCTTTCAGGTGTTTTTCTTTTTCTGGCCAATTGTCCATGTTGACTGTTCGATCGCTTGGCAGTTTGAGGTTAAGTTGTCGTTCACGTCACGACCATTATCGGGCTCTGTTTGTCTCATGCCTGGGTTTTATACACGGCCAAACATATCTGTCATTCAAAGCCACCGGATGTGCCGTGGTTGCACGTCTTGTGCGGTAAGACGCGCATCCCTGACTCGTTGCTTCCAAACGAGCTTCCTAACGCGTTCCTTGTAGTCCGGATCGAATTTGGCACGTCACTTCTTTGCAGAAGCTGTGGTGCCCTGGTGTTGTTCATGTGTGTGTTTTATGTGGATGGCCAGGTAGCAGAACCCGCTCACGCGGGCGGGGCTCATCTAATTTAGCCATATCACACAAGATTTGTCAAGCTAGACATCCCACACAGAAAATGAAGTGGCCACAGAACCAGGGTCATGCTAAACTGAGCGACCCCTTTCCAACAGAACCTAGTCTTAGTTGCTGGTTCTCACCTCGTTCTCACTCAGCGTTCGCAGGAGGAAGCCATGTACGCCTCCTTGAACCAAAGTCGGCCTCCCAGGTTTCATCGGGACCTGCTTTTGCTCCGAATGGGTTTCTGGGGGTTGACTCCCTGCCTATGGGCACAAACGGGTCCTGCTGTGCGCTGCCATAAACAGCAGCAAACATTTCAATGCATCATTGTGCTACGTGCGTATCTTGGGGAGCTTTCAGGGAAGCTGCTTTTGGGCCAACTGCAGCTTGGCACCCTTTGAATGATACGCGTTGTTTGAGCATCAACGATTGCAACATGCAACCCAATAACATACACACATGGATGCAACTGTCAACAGTCCATCCAATGACAGCCTGCCTGAAGTATTGAGTGCATCCACGCCTTTGCTGTCTGAGGATACGGCTACGGATATGACGCCTATGGCGGCCATGAGAAACCCTACGACCAGATGGAGTTTGGCTCATACAGCTATCAAGGAGACCAGCTGCTCGGGCTGTTCAAGTACACTCCTCAACCCTCGCTTTGCGACCATAATGTGTTCCCTGCGCAGTGGTGCCCTCATTTGACGGTTCCAGGCGAACAACATCGTTCCAGGCGAACAACAGCAGATGGGTATGAACAAGTCATGGCGAGCTCACATGGGAGGATAATTAGCTCATCCATGATCAAGGTCTTTTTCTTTGAGATTCACTATATACATATGCATCATCGTTATATATATATGTATATACATATATATATATGGCTTTTTTAGAACCGCTTACAGTTCATAAGCGCCACGGGTGATTTTGGTCCTTGGCTTCAATTACCCCATTCTTATTGTGTAGGCCCTAACTTGCCCAAGTCGGCCACCCCAGGTTTCAGCAGATGCACCAGCCGGAGACGGCATACCAGGGCCAGGCCGAGATGGCATACCAGGGCCAGGCCGGCCAGCCAACGGAGCCGTCCGCCCAAGGCGAAGTCACGTGCCTTGGGCATACTCTTGGCAACATGGGTGTTCGTTTACTCAGGGAGGTGTATAATGTAAGGATCCCTGTTATTGGCCGTACCTTTAAAGGGAAACCAAAATTGAATGCCAGGCTGGGTGAGGTCCACCTATTTTGCCGCATACCCAGAAGGGCAAAGAAAGACTTAACAAGTTTGTGAAAAGATTGTACAAGTGTTCGTGCAGTCTTAGCCACATGATAGCTAGCTTTGACCATCCATGCGCATATTATTGTATATACATTCAGCAACAAGTGTGGGTCCTAAATGGTTCGTGACTTCAGGTGCTTTTGATCAAGGGCCGCCAAAGTTAGCCTTTGAGGTCTACCCAGTGTGTGGCCAGCGGCATTTTCCCGCACACCTGCGGCTTATGTTGGTCCACCCCTATGTAAGAGTCAGTGGTTCAGTGGCACCAAGCATTTTCCCCTTTTTTGGTGGCTGCCCCACCAAAAATGGTCTTCCCCCAACAGGGGAACCCCCTTTTTTCTCCAGGGTCGCTGAACAACTGAGAAGAGTCTTCTGCACGTCTCGGCTGCGGCACATCGATCTGAGGCCTCCAGTCGCGCCGTCGGTGTGAACTCGTTCGGCAGCTCGCCTTGGGGATTTTCCCTGGGAGCGGCCACGGAATCCTGATTCTGTTTTCGGGTGTTTTCCAAGCTGGGTAACGGGTTTGAGGTTCCCGTCGGCTTGCAGTTCCTTTGAAGGCCTCTGAAACAACCCACAAAAGGGGCCTTCAGTTTGAAAAACTAAAAGGTCCATTGTGCGGATGCGTTATTTGAGGCAAACGTCGCACGTTCAGCCGGTGCGATGTGTAAAAGCATCCAGTGGAGACCCTCCAGGCAAAACACAGGCGCCCTTCAAGAAAAGAACGCAAAAGGGGCGGATGTTCTAATGGTTTGCCTGCTGGAAAGTTTCATTCACGCAGGACCCAGCCCTCACAAGTAAGATCGACCTGAAAGACTATGGGCACACTCTTCGGAAACAGAGCATTGTCATGGATGCAGGATTCATATCCCATGCCCACCTTGCCCCAGTGGTTCCACCCGGCCCAATGCTCAAGCCGGTATCCCTTCACCCACCCTCAAACACTCCCAGTTGTTAACACAAAGCGCAACATGCAGCGTGTTGGTCCAGGAAAGAAACAAATGCACAAACAAACCCAATCCACCGAAAGAAAACCCACCTGCCGGCCGGTGGCAGCTCAGGTCGCCGCAAGAGCCAGTCCGCAATCAAGAGAAAAAGAGCGCCTTGCTGCGGATGCTCAAAGGGGACACATAGGCAGCGCCTTCTTAACCACAGTGCCTCACTTGACAAGCTCCGGGTTCTATGTAGCTCAAACCGGTGAACTTGGTTTCCGAGGGCCCCAACATCCGGCAAAAGGCGGACTTGTCAAATAGACGCCCCAGGGTCCAGAAACTGGATGTTTCAGCACTCCTGTCTGATGGCTTTGTCAAAACAGGTGGAACCCCCACCCACCTCCAGCCCTAAAAGAAAGGAGGGTTTCCCCTGTCCCCGCCCCCTTGTAAATGGAACTTGGAAGGGGGGTTCCATTTCTCCTTTGTGGGGAAGACTAGATAAATGGAATTGAGGGACCCCCACTACTTCTCTCCCTTCAGGTAGGGGATTTTCCCCTTCCACGCCCGAAAAGGTTCCCACACTTGAAATCCCATGGCCAGGCGGTTCTGAAGGGAGGTCTGTGCCCCATGGGCAAGAATCCCACCGGACAACCCGGCTGCGTGCGGCCCGGCCGAAAGCTAGAGCGAATGCCTCGAATTCAGCGGGCCACCGAATTTGGCAAGCAGCCCCCGGCTTTTGTTTGTTTCGAAGCCTCAGAGTTTCGCCCTGCAAGGACAAGGCACAGACATGGGGAAACTTTGCGCCAGAAGAAGAAAGAAAGGGAAGCCTCAGAAACTCGGGGTGTTTCCTTTGCCACTTGGCGTGTGGCTTTGACCATGATCAAGTACTGGACCCCGGGTTGTTCGATGTCCATTTTGCACTTGCGGTTGATGGGCCATGGGCAGCCAAACCGGTTGGAGGTCGGAAAGGCAGGGATCTGCTCTAGGGGTTTTTTTCAACCATCGTTCTTTTCGAAAACCGGCTGTTTCCCCTGGGTGTTTGATGGTTTCCTGAAAAGAAGGATCCCTGGAAAGAATGGGGAAGGTACCCCTAGAGTGTTTGGTTTCTTCCTTTGTGATCCCGCTCAATGGTTGCAAAATGGGGTCGGATTTTTGCACTGATGTACGGACAAGGTGTGTGCTTGAGCTGTTTTGTTTGTTGCTTTTGTCCATAGTTTGCGGTGGCGCCAAAGCGGTACCAGCTACACACGTGAGGAAGCTGATAGCCTTGACCAGTCCACGATGGGGGTCTGAATTCAACTGCCGAGCGCCAAAACAGACGGGTAGCTGAGGTACAACTATGAGCCTTTGGTGGAGAAGGAGCACATGGCTGCTGCAAAGATCAAAGATCCACCCAAAGTCTTGAGCTTTTAGTTCTCTAAGGGCACGCTTCTGTTGAGCGTATACAGTATGCCTAACCAATGAACCCAGATCAATGAACCTTGTGGTTTACTTTTTGGGGTGCTTCCCGGGTGATCCGGTTCTTACTTGAATGGGTTGAACGGGCGACACACCACAGAGACCTGACATGCGACGATGGTGCGCGCACCAACGGGACACTTTCTGTCTTTGTCCAACCTTCTCGTGTTTTCAAATAGCCTCCCCCAAAAGAAACAAACATGAGGAAAACAAATACAGAAAAAAACACAATGAAGAAAAACACAACAAACATTTGTTCCTGTGGTTTCCATCGAAAAGCATTGGCGGGTAACCCTTCATTGGGAGTTGGATCGGGGTTTGGGACACCCCTTGTTCCTTTTGAGCCATGGGAGTTCCTCCAGGCAGGTCTTTCTTTTGCTTCCGGGCTTATAGTTTATCCAACACAAGTCCCCATGCAGACATGCACATGTTGAGGCTCGTGTCGGATTTTGCTCCAGTGCAGACTGGCAAACACGGGGAAAGAAATGAAAAGAAGCTACCACCTCTCAAAATGGCATATGCCCTAATATAAATATGGGATCCAGAAACCCTTCAAGTATTCTCATAATCAGCTGTGCCACTTGCATTTTCTTCGTGTCGTTTATATACCTGGACACCACTGACAGGCGTTTTACGCTTTTGGGACTGACCAGGGAGGAGCCCACGTTTGTACCGCGCGCTGTGCGAGGATTACGTCAACTTGGAGGATCTTATCCAGGCGGTCGACGGCCCACTCAAGTGCCACCTGATTCAACATGCGGCATGTGGCTGTGGCTCAAAGAAATGTACCAGAATAGCACCTTGGTAAATGCAACTAACGACTAAACCTGCGTAACCCTAGCGCTTTAGTTTTGAGCCACACCCATGTGAAGAAAAGGATTGGGGGACTCAAGACGGATCCTCCCCTCATGTCCCATGAGCAAGGAGGATAATTGCAATTCAGCGGCTACATTGCACATCGTTTGCCCAAACTATAGTCACAAGGGATGGTAATTTGAATTGTCGGTCAGCCATCGCATTTGACTCCACGAAAGCCCAACAGTGCTTGCGGCCATTCGCATGTCCCTATTTAGTTTGGAACGGGTCTAGGCCTAGGTGTTGTTCCCCAACAGCTGAAAGCTAAGGGGTCTCAGCCCAGATAACGCAGGTTCCGGAGGTTCCGGGTGGTCTGGTCCTTGCACCTGGTCTGCACCAGACCATCCCGAAACCTCCAGAACCTGCCTTGAAAATACCGGCCTGAACCTTCCTTGAACCAAACACCTGGCACGCGCTACGCCTGGCCTGCACCAGACCACCCCGCAACCTCCGGAACCTTCCTTGAACCTTACACCTGGCCTGCACCAGACCACCCCGCAACGTCTGGAACCTGCCTTGAACCTTACACCTGGCCTGCAGCAGACCACTTCAGAACCTCCGGAACCTTGCAGGTTCCGGAGGTTCGGGGTGGTCTGGTGCAGGCCAGGTGTAAGGTCTGCACCAAACCACCCCGGAACCTCCACAACCTTCCTTGAACCTTCACCGCGGAACCTCCGGAACCTTCCTTGAACCTTAACCCCCCGGAACCTCCAGGAACCTGCCTTGAACCTTACACCTGGCCTCCAGACCACCCCAAAACCTCTAACGTCTGCTGCAGGCGAGGTGTCGGGTTCAAGCAAGGTTTCGGAGGTTCTGGGTGGTCTGCAGGCCGAGCGCAAGGTTCAAGTGCAGGCCAGGTGTAAGGTTCAAGGCGTGGAGATTGCGGGGGTTCCGGAGGTGGGGTGGTGCAGGCGGAACGGCTGAAAGTGGGGTCTGAGCCCAGATAGGCTCCGGGGTGGTCCGGGGCGGCCCTGAGGCAAGGTTCCACCACGGTTTCGCCAGGGTTCGCACCAGCGTTCCACCAATGTCCCACCAGGTTCCACCAGGGTTCCACGAGGGTTCCACGAGGTTCTGCAAGGGCTGCGGGGTGGTGCGAGCACGAAAAAGAGCACCGTATGCTGCATGCTGTTGGGGATATCACCTGAGCTTATTTTTTTGGCAAACTGAGTTTCTCAGAGTGTACCATGACACAATGACAGAGCACCGGAAAAGGGGTGAGCCCGCTATAAATGCTAGTGGTGCTTCATTGAGTTTGCCGCCAAGGTGGCAGCAATGGGGAGCGGACGTGCGAGAATTGGCGGCTTGGCTTTCTCAAAGAGACCACCAGCCATCCACTCAGCAGGGAATGGGGGATTGACCCTGAAAAATCGTTCCTTGTGGTTTTGTTTGGACCTGTGGGTTTATTCGTTTATTCCCACATTCCTGACTGAGCACCGGCAAATTGTAGCAACTTGTGGTGATGGGGGGGAACAGGTCGCCTCAAGGCTGGTCATGGAACTGTGCCAGGTCAAAGCTGTGGCAGGCCGTTAATGGGGGGGTTGGCAAAGCGTTGGACGCCCCACAGCGCAAATCGCAAAATGACAAAGGTCCTAAACAAGCGGATTGTGTTCGCCAACCCTGCCCACCAATTGCAGACTGAATGCAATGCAATGCTTGCAGCACCGTGCCGCAGCCAAGGAATGACTGGCGGAGGAATTGCCACGAAGCCTCGGCTGCACATCCAGTGTGGGATGCAAGAAGCCCCGATGTTTGAGCTTGTCAATGGCTCGCTCATTGGCCAATTCTGTTGGTTCACTAGAGCTAGGATGCTTAAGACTCTGCCTAGAAATTCTTTCGAGCACACACTGACTTGATGGCGTATCAATTCGCGCCTTTTGCCGCAGGAGGGAGGTTTCCAATTTTAGGCCACCCGCATCTTGCGTGCAAGCAAAGAATAGAAGAGTTCTGTGGTTGAGCCCGGATGTTTCCATGTTCAGGATCAGCCATGTTTTATTTGATTCGAAGTTGGCCCAACTGGCACAGCCCATTCACCGTTGGGAGGGTTCTTTTTGCTTTCTGTGGCTTCCAAGGGAGACAAAGGCCACCCATTTGGGTGGTCCCCAGGCAAGAACCACACCCGATTGGTGCAAAAGAGGCGAGGCCCTACAACGCCTTTAGTTCAATATGTTACAACATACCGCTTGGCAAGGGCACCGACCCCCGCAGCACACCGATGTGAAGGGCCTCCATGTGCGGCTGGTTGCAAGCCCCGAGGCTGCCAAGCCCCGAGGTTGCCAAGCCCGGTTTTGAGTTTCCCAGTTGCCCAGCGGATTCCGCCTTTTTTTTTCTTTTAAAGGGGAAGGGTTCCCCTTCAACCTCAACCAACCAAAAAAGGATGCCCTTTGTTCCCATGGCCAAAGATTCCACCCCTTATTGCTGTTGAAACTTCCCACTCCACATGGAATCGAATCCAGACGGGGGCTTGGGGTTCTATGCTGGTCTGTTTGGTGCCTTCGCCTTTTGAGGCGGCGAGGTAGCCAGGTAATTAGCAGGCAGATGAACAGTGAGACCTCTCCAAAGGTGATTGGGAGCTCTTATCAAATGGCATCCCAGATGGTGGAGGTGGTTTAACACAGGCTTTCATAGATATCCATAGCCTGATGTTGGTTTAGCGATGCTTACCGGAAAGGTGGTTTAGCCCCCTTTGCTGCTAACCAGGCTCGGGTTTGTTTTTGTCGGGTTTCGACTCAGGACCCAGAGAAAAAGTACAAGCGGAAGTTCCAGCAGGCCTACTTGGCGGACGGCCGCATGGATGTTAAGATCGTCGAAACTGAGCACTGCCGCCCGGCACGGATTCTGGTGGGGGTGATTCATGAAGCCATCAAATAATGCCACGCCTGATGGCTAAGTGGAGGAGAGAATCTCCCAGTTGGCCAGTGGTGCTTTTTTGCCCTGTTGTTGTATTTTTTTTTCTGAAGGGTTCCCCTTTAAAGTCAACCAACCAAAAAAGGATGCCCTTTTTCCACATGGCCACTGGGCATCTGAGATCTGACTGTCTCTTTGGGGGGAGCCTTCTGCCATTGCATCTCAATTGCCAAATCCCGCGAACGGATGCCTTCAGTGAAGGTTGCCATAGGTTGCCAGCAGAGTTTACCGGAAAAGTCTTCTGGGCGTGCGTGCAATTTGCGCCCCCAACGCACGCAAATTGGATGGCCTGGACTCCCTGACTCCCAATGTCCCAAGGCTAACCTCCAACTGCCAATCGCGGGGATGCCGATGGCGTCAGGTTGGTAATTTTGCTTCATCCAGTCCGTTTGTCATGTTGGATGTCCAATTGACTCTTAGTTTGTTTCAACCCCGAGTGTCCCAAGGGAACGACCAAACCGACTCGGTGCAATGAACATGGAACCGTGGGGATGTGATGTCTATCGGCAGGCCAGATGCTGCGGAAAGTAAGCAGGGAGTGTCCCATGAATTTGTAATGGTGGCTTCCTTATGATGAAGGTCCTTTGCTTGGGGATCCTTTTTTCTTGGCTCTCGTTCCCGGTAGACTAAAGTATGGAATCAGAAGCAGGATAGACAACATACCCAGACATATCCTGTTTGGTTGCTTTCGCATTGAAATTTGGAGCTGCGTCAGTGTGCAAGCTCGTGGGGAAGTAGGGATCTAGCATGCCTCTCGTGTATATCAGGTGCCAAGCCCGCAGATGTCGAGCCCACCCCATGCATATGTGATTCCAGTGGCCAACTCTTGTGTCAGTATGCCTTAAAGCCCACATGTTGTTTCCCAAAAAGGCAACCAACAGCGGGTGGGTGTACATTTTTTTCAGAGCCCCTAATTAAAAATCCGGCTGAAGAGTGGTTTGTATTTTAATTTCATCTTTGGGCGCGAACCAAGTTCAAGAGACGCACTTAGGTGTGGAATACGACCTCAATCCCTTCTGTCAGGAGCAGTGCGGAACACGACAGACCTGTTGGGTGGTTCGGTTCACCTTCTTGACGTATTGGCATGGTTGCCTATTGAAGTGAGCAACCTTTAGTGGAGGCTCTGAACATGCAGCGCCACTTTAGGACATTGCGAGCTCACCTGAGGGTTAAACGTCTCCACTGATGAAAAGCTAAATAATTCTTAGGAGGATCGATCCGCGCACTTGCTTGATTGTTGGATTTTCGCAAAGCTCGCAGCTGTCTGGTTACACTGAGTCGTTTGGTAAAGTACCATCGCGGCATGTTCCTTCAAGTTGGCTCCAGGCCAACCGCGAGCCGAGAAGAGATCAAGTTGCCTCCTGCCAGGGCAAACCCAGGGCTGCAATGCGACCTTCCGGAATATTTGTAGGAAACCTCTCCATTCATAGCCAGGGCTTATGTTTTGCGCCTCCTGTGGTTCATTCTACGTTGGTTGCAACTCAATTGAAGGGATCGTTGGTGTCTGGGTCTGGGTCTCTGCGGGTCAGTGCCCGGGGCTTGGGCACCCTGAACTCGTCATGAGTTGCGTTTTGCGTTTTGGTATCTCCAGGCTAGGTCCATTTTGGTTCAACTCATGGCATTTGAAACGAAACTCATGGCTATTTTCGGTATCTCCGGACTTTTCGTTTTGGTATCTCCCACGTCTTTTCGGTTCAGACTTTGTTGGCATCCCTTGTGTCAAGGCCCGGCGGAACGTCTCGAACTCCACTTTCGTACAGGGGGCATCGAATGTGCCGATTCATTTTAAGATCCTGCTTGGGAAAAACAAGGGCGCCGGCGTGCAAGATCAGGACCTTTGCTTCCTGACCTCATTTGCCATGGTCAAAAGACCTCTTTTCTTGGAGTTGATGGGGATGGTCATCAACCTCTCGATGGGGGTTGCAGCCGGGTTGCAGAAAAATATATGTAAGGATTCCTAAGAGGGATCCCTGACCATGGTTCCCACCCCCCCGGAAAAAAAGAACAATAAGACGGGACAAGACAATGTCCACAGAACCAAGGGGGCAATCCAATTTCCCGCCGGTCCTTTTGAGGAAGCTCTTCGTTCTTCCGTCCCTCTCCCGTAAGAAAAAACAGAGGCACTCTAAGGGGTTGATTCCCCATTCCTTTCAGCCATCGTTCTTTTCAATAACCCGCTGTTTCCCAGCTCTTTGGGCGGATAGAAAGAAGGATGCCTGGAAAGAATGGTTGCAAGGTACCCCTAGAACAACAACAAGTTTTCGCGAGGACACGCCGCCGCACCTATGCTTGGAGCCGGCCTGCGTCAACCTGCCGCCGGAGGAGAAGGAGATCGGCCTTACCTTTTGGCGCGGCAGGCGAAGACACGGCGCGTTGTTTTTGGGTCGGGAGCAAAAAAAAACACCCGCATGTTGGAGGGTGTTCAGGGAGATTGCCAGGTTGGAGAGTTTTAAGGGACATGGACATTGCCCGCATGTTGGATGGTTTTAAGGGACATGACCCGCATTTTGGATAGTTTTTTTTTTTTTTTTCCCGGGACATTACCCGCATTTTGGATAGTGTGTTCCATCACATTGCCCGCATGTTGATTATTTGTAAGGGACATTACCCACATTTTGGATAGTTTTAAGGGACATTCATTACCCGCATGTTGGATGGTTTTCAGGGAAATTACCGCATTTTGGATAGTTTTTCCGGGACACCACAAGAACTCCGAACTTTTTGGGAAGCCTTGTTTTAAGACACCCGTTCTGCGATGCAGAGGGCCATGGCCGGCTTTTTTTGGTAATTGCAAGGATCAGTTTCTACAAGCAACGCGGACCAGTGTTTCCCAGCTGTTCTTTTCAGAAACCAGCTTTTGAGGAAGCCCTTCGTTCTTCCGTCCCCCTGCCGAAGGAAGAACAAAATGCAACACCTCTAGGAGTTGATTCCCCATTCTTTTCAGCCATAGTCTTTTTCAAAAACCGGCTGTTTCCCGGGGTTTTGGGCAACTCAGTTGTTCAGTGGCACCAATTATTTTCCCTTTTTGTGTGGGTGGCCCCACTCAAAATGGTCCAAGCCCCAAAAAGGGGAACCCCTCTTTTTCCAGGGTCACTGAACAACTGAGACCATGTTGTTTGGCAGTTTGCGTAAAGCTAGCTTTTCTTTTTTTTTAATGGCGAGCCCGTCCGGGGGGGGAAGGAGCGCACCATGTGGGTCCGTCACTCCGACTCCTTTTTCAGGTGGTGGGATTGTTCCCGAAACCAGTGCGAAGAGTTCTTCACGAAAGACCTGGGGCGGATGAACCAGCAAGTCTCACTAGGAGGTGGTAGTAGCAAGTAGTACTTTCGAATAGCACCGGCAAGCAGCAGTAGCAAGTTGCACTAGCAAGTAAGTTGCACTAGCAGGTAGCATCAGCAAGCAGCAGCAGCAAGTTGGTTGCACTAGCAAGATGCACTAGCGAGTTGCACTAGCAAGTTGCACTGGGAAGCTGCAAGTTAAATACGAGGTTGCTTTGGCAAGCTACAACGGCAAGGTTAGATAAGAGAGTTTAAATTTGCAATGGCAATTTCCACGCCTCTACATAATTTGTTATTGAAGCATGTTTTGAACAATAAAAGCGTTGTTTTGCAAGAAATCGCCTTTCCAAAAAAACTGTATGAGATACCGCTTTTGGAATTGCAGGGTGATGTTTCGAAGTGTTTAACCCAGGGTCACGACTTAGTCTGGTTGTAGCTGCAACCCCACAACGCCATTCTCAGTATGCAGGCCCTTACGGCGACGAGATCCATGGCTTTGGGTCCAGGAACTGAGTCCATTGAACAAATTGGGTAGAAGGCTAGAATGGGGCCATGAGTCCTCCTGGGTCCCTGAAAGTTTTTTGAACGTTTTGAGGGGTTCTCACAATTCTCTTTTGATGGGGATGCATAGGGTGTGGGGAAGGCCACCCTGGCCGAATTCCAACGAGCTCACGGATCAAGGACCTTCTTTGGAGTTTCTCTGAAGCAATGCTCCAGATCCTCCGAGGAATCGATCATCCATTGACCCATGAGACTGGAGAGGAAAGGTGAGGAACGCCCAAGGGACCCACTCATTGTGAGGGATCTCCAAATTTAGGACACACCTCAATCTGGGCAAGTCACATTGCGACATAGGCCCCCTGCAAAGGTTTCTTTCTTAGACCCCAAACTCAAAATGTTCATTTCAGTTTGTATGTGTTTATTCTGCGGGAAAAGTGGCAGGGGGGTTGAAGCTCCTGCTAACCCCGGGAGATATTTCGAGGGCCAGTTGAAACCCTGCGTCGGTTGGACATGCTTAGTTTGGGGACTGAGCATTACAGCAGGTGCGAGACATCGATTTTTATTGCTTGTCAGCTGGTTCTTGTGTCGTGGGGTCGGTCAAGAAGCCATGCGGCATATGAGCCCTGGTCCGAGCATGCCATGACTGACCCTTGCGCTGACCAGATTTCTGTGCCTTTGTAAGGCAATCCCAAACGGGTTCTCCCCCAAGAATTACATTGTCAACCCCTCAAATAGACGTCTTAGAGGGCAGGTCCATGTCGAATTGCAAACTGCAGGTGTGACGAGCAGTGGAACATCCAGCGCGCAGAGGCAGTAGCAAAGGCATTTTTCAAGGAGGACTGTGGGACGAGGGCACGGGATGCCAACTAGTTCCTGGACACACTATTTCTGCAAGTTTTGTGGGCACATACAGCTCGAAATGTTGAGCCATCCACCCTGCGAGTCGTGCCAAGTCGCTTCCAAACACACCAGGGGTGCACTACCACAGGCGGTTGATTGTTGCTAGGGACGCACAATCTGAATTACGAAGCGGGGTACCTTGCACTCACGCGCGAGCTTGCGTTGACCTTCAGTACCTTTTTTCACGCGCGAGGACACCGTGAACCACGTCTTGGTTGACAAGGACCCGCATGGTTTGGAAAATGGACACGTGACTTGCTTGATAGCCCATAGTCTAAACTTGGGAGACCAACCTGGGCTTTGTTGCGGGCGCTCAAAGTGGTGCTCGCCTGTCGCCTCCGTCTTGCCGGCTGGAGTGCGCTGCAGGCCTGAGGAGAGCGCAGGGAAAACCTGGCATGGGCATATTGGCTGAAAAGGACTGCAGCCAAAGGGCGGTGTCCTGTAGCTCAAGTAGCTCAGCTGCTCAGCTGGAGATCCAGCTGAGCCTTGCGGGGATGTTGTCAGATCAGCCCTCACTTGAACGATGCAAGCGGTGCCGTCATGGTGTGTGGCTACGGGTTGCTAGGAAGAGTCGACTGAAGAGTCGCTGAAGCCATCAGTCCCTTCGATTCGTCAGTCCCTTCGATGCTTTTGACACCAAGTGTGTGGGACCACTCAGGTTCGGACCTGTTTAGCATCTTTTGTTTGCTCCCAAAGTGCAGCGTGTGACTGCGTTTTGGAGGTTGCCCACTTGTTCCTGGAAGTGCGCTGAATGTCCTTTCCCCGATCTGTTCCCCAGTGTAAATGGGACACCCCTGTGGATAGATGAAATCCATTTCGCACCACTTCGAAACCATGGGAGCCATTGTTTGTTGGTATTTACAGCGGATTCGTCATTCCAGGAAAACATGGTGCATAATTTTGCGGTGCAGGATTTCGTATATCCACAGTAGTAGTCCACCGGGTTTTTAAGTATATTCTCCAAGGATCCCAGTAGTTTGACTTGTCAGGGATGTGTGGGCCGATGCCGCTCCACCCCATGCGGGGCGGTTGAGCCCATGTCGTGGTAGTGCAAAACGGTAGTGACAGCTGACATTCCTTGGGAAGGCAGCTCTTCCGGTGCGGGTGCCTCTCTCGGTGTCTTGCCAGTTATGCGTCTCCTGCCAATCACTGCTTCTGGCGGATTGCTGGGTTGGGGGGTGTGTTGCCAGTGTTTTCGTTATTTGCATTGACGAGCTGTGTGGCAACACCAACGCGTGCAGAAATCCAAAGGATCCCAATAGGCAAACTGAACCTCTCAACCGGAGGAGTTGCTCACGAACAACCCGAAGTGCGCCACTGTGTGCAAGCCCAACACCAACGGGGGGCCGTGCCTCGGCCTTTAATGGAGGGTACGCTAATATGGCTGTCAAAACCGTCAAAACCAATGGTACCATTGCGGGGTAAGTACACCACCTATTTTAGTCTATTTTTGTGGGGATTGGGATGTTCACTGGGGGTACGGGATTTCGGGATTTTGACCCACAGCCATATCCCCCCCCATAGAAACTAGCGAACGGACTGATCGAAGGTTGCTTTTCAAGACCATCAGTTTTCGTTTCCCCGCATGCTCTCAGAACCGAGCTTTGCTTGTGGGAGTCGCCTTGGCCAAGGTACTGCTCCCGGCAGTTCGGTGGGGTGTGCTCGCAGCACGCGCCTGAGTCACGAGTCCTGCCGTGCGTGAATCCAGTCATTGGGCACGAGCGCACGGGCGCACTTCTTCCACCCAAGCCAGCGTTATGCCAGCGTTGCTAATGGGATGTGTCGATGCTTTGTCCTTCATAATCATTCAGCTAGATAGGGGTTGCACAGTCACAAAACCTTCGCAGATTCTGGGACGTTTGCCTGAGGTGCTACATTCCCGGCACCAAGGCTGTGGGGGCTGTCTTCCGCATGGCAATGGTTTTGCTTTCGACGATGCCGCATGTAATATGTTGTGTTTTTTGTATCCAAGGGCCCTCCTGCCATCAACCGTTCCACAAGAGGATACAAGAGGCCTTGAATGAGGTCACCGGAGCACGTTTGATTGGTACTAATCTGCTTGGGATGCTTGGTTTGAACCCTTGAACCTTGTTTCTGTGGTCATCTGTATATGGGTCAAAATTAATCCAACCGCAGGTTAAATCGTCCATGTTTCCATCAGGCAACCCAATTGGGGTTGCCCTATTTTTGACAACCACAGCCATACTGTGGATGGACGAAATCCATTTCGCACCACCTAGAAACCCTGGGATGATTCGATTCCCCCACGTATATACCAACCAGCGTTATGGTTTCAACCCTGGTTTCAGTTCGTGGTGCGAAATGGATTTCACAACCACCCACGGCATGGTCATGGGGTTCCTCGTAAAGACCAGGTCCCCCAGTAGTGCCCTTCTCTCCCCATTTTTTGGGGAGGGTTCCCTTACTAAAATAGACTACACTTCAAAAAGTTGGTACGGTTCCCTACTAAAATAGACTGCGGCAAAAAGTTGGTACCCTTATTCGAACCTCTTTACTGGAGGACCTAGAAGAAATTGGTGGGGAGAAGCAGGGCCCCCGAGGATCCCTTCCACGACCCGGAGCACTTTCCCACCTGCCCGTGGAAGACCCAGACTCGAGGGCTCTGGGGCTCTGGGGCTGGGTTTGTGACCCGTGGCCAACTGCCAAACGCCGCAGGTTTTTTTTTCTTTTTTCTGGCTGCGAAAGCTTGCTGCTGGCGATGTTGTTGTTTTTTTTTTTTTCCCCCATAAGCGGTCTTTCAACGAAATGCATTTGAGACTGTGGACCACTCCTGTTAACCGCTGGCGAATGGAGTGGGGCAGAGGGGCGACCTCTGGATTTGCATTTGCGCTTCCGTGATCCACATTGTGAACTTTGCGGAGGCGCCCACCACCGACAAACTTGGGCCAGCGAAGTAAGCAGGGTGAGTCCTTTCGGATTCTTGGAGTGGCCTGCTGAAACTGTTATTGTGTTTGTTTCTCTACCACTGAACAATAAACCACTGGACCTGGGATGGCAATGGATCCAGTCACGAGGTAAGATGTTCTCGTATCCCTTACGGAAGCCAGGCTGGGGCGAGCCAGGATGCCCCGGCACTCCAGGGCTCCTGAAAAAAAGATCTCCATTTTGCCACCATTTGAAACATGTTGCTTTTTCCACACCAAAATAAAGGTTGAAACCAGCATTCACAAGTTGCAATGTTCAGGTGTATAATGCATCCGGATCCCTGTTCTCGTATGTTTATGGCTTCTGGCCATTTCCGAGGTTTGATGTCCTGGAAGAGGGCGGCTACAGCGTGCCCGCTGGCACCGAGTGCGGCTTGGCAGTCAATGCCAGGTTTCCTGGTTGCTTGCTGGCGCTTGTGCTTTGTGTTTGCAGGTGGACGGGTGTTGCTGCCGTGTGTCCATGCTTGCGGTACGAAGTTTGGATGTGCTTGCTGGCTGGATGTTTATACAATGTGTCACCTATTCATTTGAGCGTTGCCAGTTGTCACCCTGGGTCGCTGCAGATTTGTCCAAGATGGTTGGCCGGTGGTTGTTCTCGCTGCAGTACCGACCTGACCGGTGATGAAGGATCCTTCTTTTGGGCATCACGCAGGCTACGGCTGGCCGAAACACGCGAAAATGGAATTTCTTGGCGATGCTAGGACCTCTCTTGGAGGTGAAGTGGGGATGGAAGCATGTGATGGGTCATACCAGCCAATGGGATACACATGGGGGTTGACAGAAGGTCCTTCACATGGGACGACTATTGGGGGAAACCACAAAAGCAATCATCTTTCCCACTAAACGGAAAAAGTTACCCATGGTCATTTTCGGACCAGAATATTGATTAACCCCCACATCTTGGGAGCCTTTTCATTTAGACCATAGCGTTGCGCCGGGACCGAGGCAAGTCCAACAAGGCCTCTGACATTTGTTGCCTGTACAATGTCAACGGCCCCTGCAGCAAGACCTTCACTGATGGACGGGGTGGTCGTGTGATGGGCCCTGAGGAACTGTCAATTTTCATTGGTAGTCTACTGTTGGTTTGGGGAGAAATGGGGAGAACGTACGGGCACAACCCAAGTTGACAACAGAAACCAGGGGCTGATGTGGAGGTCATGTTGGCAAAGATGGGTTAAATAGAAGCGATAGAAGCGAGGAGTGTGGAAACACTCCCTGCTGCGTAGATAGAGCCATACTTTGTCTGGTTTGTCAGGGCGTGTATTTAATGGCCATTCCGCAGAAGCTACTTTGCGCGAGCGCATGCAGCAGCACTTGGCGCATGGTCCTCCACAGTGGCATTTGTGAATTTATTTGCGTTCTTTGCGCAAGCCTCGACCACGTGCACACCTGCTAGAGAAGTTCTAAGGGTTGATTCCCCATTCTTTTTAACCATCGTTCTTTTCAAACAACAACGGCTGTTTCCCTGGGATTTTGATGTTTTCCTGAAAAGAAGGATCCCTGGAAAGAATGGGGAAGGTAGCCCTAGACAAGTCTCAAACTGTCCTGGCATGAAAATGGAAGGCGTCAGCAATGTGTAACGAATAGGAAGCCGGTTGCTTTGGCAGCACATTCCCGATCATGGCAAGACAGCCGCCTAGTGAAGCCTAGCAGCTCGGCTTTGCGTACAAGCACTTCTGGCCTTGATTGCTATTGGGTTGGATCTTTAGACTTTAGCTTTTTGGAAAATAACGGTTTTTTCCAACTGAACCCCCAAAAAAATAAACTTTTTGCAGGGGGGTCAACAGCAACCAAGTGGCAAACCACCTTGGTGGGCTCTTTTCTTTTTGGACACACGGCTGTCCACCTGTGCGTGCCGCAGGATCCAACATTGATCTCGACATGGAAGGCGGACTCGCGGGAGCTGCGTGAACAAAAATGGGCCCTCAATGGCAGCAGGAATAACCGTAAACTTTGCTTGTCATACCCAGTGTATCCAGCCGCCACAACAGCAGGTAACCAGCTGTTGTCCCTTTAGTGTTCAAAGGGCGGTTCCCCCGGCTACCCACTATAAAGGGAGATGGACAGTGGGACAGGTTTTGACATTGGTTAGAGCAACCGCGATTCAGTAGGATGCTTTCCGCCAGGCTTCCTTGGTGTCTCAAAAACGGCCAAGGAGGACCCGCGAGACGAAAGCAAATCGAGAACTGCCAATCGGCACTGCAAACTTGGGTGCTTGGATGTGTCACCTCTTTCGAGGAAGCCGATGTTTTCATGTTTCCAAGTTGGTCTGGGAAGACTGCGCTGTACCAAGGGTAAGGTCGGACATTACGGAACTTGGAGGCGCCTTGTTTGTTGGTGTGGGCTAGGAATAACCTGTTTGGAAGGGGGAGGGTCCTTTCCTTTTTCCCTGGCTCTTCAAAGACAGCACTGTGTATTTTGGAATGTTCGGAGCTTGCCAGCATGCTACATGCATTAGATGCAGGTTTAAATCTCTGCGCACAGCTTATGCGTTTGAATGTGAAATTGGCTGGACTTTTGTCCAAGTCTTTGGTTTAGTGGGTAGAACACCCATTATCCATTGTGGGGTTCCTTTGTGCGTACGCTCGCTCCAGGGAGCAGGGTACAGCTACAAGCTGTTCGTATCTCCAATCCCATGCGCACGCCATGATGTCGACCCCGGACGGATGAACCTTGTGATCAGGTAGTAAATTCCTCGAATATACTGCATGTTATGTAATTTTGGGTTCCCATTTGGACCTTGAGAAACTTTGAACTCGCTTTCCCAGTTTCCGGATTTCAGGCTTCTCTGGACAGCCTCACCCCACTTCCCCAGTGGCGCCCCTTTTTCCTGTTTTTGGGGGAAGGGTTCCCCTTTAAACTCAACTGCCCTTTTTTCCCCATGGCCACTCAGCTTTTCTAGGTCCCCCAGCTAGGTGCCCTTGTACCAACCTTTTTTTTTGGGGAGGGTTCCCTTACTAAAATAGACTACAGAAAGAAGGGTACCCTTATTCTATCCTCTCTACTGGAGGGCCTAGTTTTTGTATTGTGTCTGGGGTAGGCTCCTTGAATCTCTGGTTTTGAGTCTGACTCCTCTTTGCGGCGATGAGGACCCCGCGCAGATTCTGACCTTTGCCAAACGATGGGTTGAGGAGGACTGAGAAGAGCCTCAGAACCGCGACTTTACCTGGCATAAATTGGTCAGCAGCCTTTTCTCAAAATGCTGGACCCTCATTCGGTGTTAGTAGGGAACACGTCTTTGCTTGCATGGCATTCTTAGTGCGACTACATTGAAGCTTTGTTAACAACATGAGGGCACCTGCTGCATACAGCACTTTGCCGGGCATGATTCTTTGCATGGCGCACTTGGATTTTGTTGGGGACTAGGTTGGGGTAGGTTTCTCGGCTTCAGTAGAGGGAAAGGAAGCTAAAGTCGACGTTGCAATCGGACCAAGCACCCAATCCACGATACTCAATGATCCACAAACAGTGCGAGTCAGTGAAGTGGTTGCCATCATCTCAGCTTATGCTCGCTGGCTTCTGATGTTCTTTCAAACATAGACAACTACACAACAACTAAATGAAATGAATTAGAAATAAGCATGAACACATCTTCGAGAAAAATAACAACGGTCTGCCTGTTCTTCTGCTAGGATCAAATCCCGCCCCTTCAACCGCTTATCAGCTCGCATAACGGTCACAATCCGAATCCCATGTCGCATACGCGGGGTAAAACCAAAGCCAGCAACATGCCATCCCGTTGAGACTGCTCCAGTTGGACATATTCAGTCATGCCCTGACCTGGGTTAAGGTAAAAAAACCTGCGACAAGCCGCTGCCAGCCACTAAAGCGGCAACGCGGAAAGGTGCCGATCTAGCCGTTGCATAGACCAAATGTGAATGGATTGCGCATTGATGGCTTGCCACTTCACAAATTGCGAGCTTCTTTGCTGACGTGCACCCAAATTACTATGCTGACTCCTTCTCTCAAAAGGACAGGAGAGACACGGCCCTCGATTGTTGGGGCCAGGCTATCACTACCGGACTGCTCCAAAAGAGAAATGGACATCAATAGATTTCATACAACAACTACATGGTTCCCATATATATATATATGTAATGTATTGCAATGCAACGCAAAGCAAGGTAATGAAATGTAAGTAATACGTATGCATGCATGTATGCATGCATGTATGGAATGTGTTTATGTATGTAATGTAATGTGATGTAATGTAATGGAATGTCATGGAATGCAATGTAATGTAATCTATGTATGCATGTAATGTATGTATGTATGTATGTATTGTATGTATGTATGTACGTATGTAATGTAATGTAATGTAATCACATGTAATGCAATGAAATGTAATGTAATGTAATGTAATGTATTTAATGTATGTATGAATGTATTGTAATACATTGCAATGCAATGCAATGTAATGTAATATAATGTAATGTAATGTAATGTAATGTATGTATGTATGTATGTACGTGTGTAATGTAATGCAATGTAATCTAATGTAATGTAATGTAATGTAATGTATGTATGAATGTATGTAATGTAATGTAATGTAATGCAATGTAATGTAATGTAATGCAATGTATGTAATATATGCATGCATGCATGTATGTAATGTATGTATGTAATGACATGTAATGTAATGTATGTATGTATGTATGTGTGCAATGTAATGGAATGTAATGTAATGTAATGTGTTGTATTGTATTGTATGTATGTACGTATGTGTGTATAAATGTAAGTAAGTAAGTATGTAATGTATTTAATGTATGTATGTATGCATGCATGTAATGTAATGTAATGTAATGTAATGTTATGTTATGTATGTATATGTATGTATGTATGTATGTATGTATGTATGTATGTAATGTATGTAATGTATGTAATGTGTGTAATGTATTTAATGTATGTAATGTGTGTACGTATGTAAAGTATGTAAAGTATGTATGGATGAATGCATGTATGTTTGTATGTATGCATGTATGTATGTAATGTATGTATTGTATGTATGTAAGTATGTATGTAAGTATGCATGTATGTGTGTATCTAATGTATGTATGTAATGAATGTATGTATGTATGTAATGTATGTATGTATGCATGTATGCATGTATGTATGTATGTATGTATGTATGTGTGTATCTAATGTATGTATGTAATGTATGTATGTATGTAATGTATGTAATGTATGTAATGTATGTAATGTATGTAATGTATGTAATGTATGTAATGAATGTAATGTATGTAATGTATGTAATGTATGTATAATGAATGTAATGTATGTAATGTATGTAATGTATGTAATGTATTTATCTATGTTGTATGTAGTGTGTGTAGTTATGTAATGTACATGTAGTGCAATGTAATGTAATAATGTAATGTATGTATGTCTATATGTATGTATGTAGGTATGTATGTATGTATGTATGTATGTATGTATGTATGTATGTATGTATGTATGTTATGTATGTATGTAATATAATGTATGTATGTATGTATGTATGTATGTATGTATGTATGTATGTATGCATGCATGTATGTATGCATGCATGCATGCATGCAATGTATGTAATGTAATGTAATGTAATGTAATGTAATGTAATGTAATGTAATGTATGTATGTATGTATGTATGTATGTATGTATGTATGTATGTATGTATGTATGTATGTATGTAATGTATGTATGTATGTATGTATGTATGTATGTATGTATGTATGTATGTATGTATGTATGTATGTATGTATGTATGTATGTATGTATGTATGTATGTATGTATGTATGTATGTATGTATGTATGTATGTAATGTATGTATGTATGTATGTATGTATGTATGTATGTATGTATGTATGTATGTATGTATGTATGTATGTATGTATGTATGTATGTATGTATGTATGTATGTATGTATGTATGTATGTATGTATGTATGTATGTATGTATGTATGTATGTATGTATGTATGTATGTATGTATGTATGTATGTATGTATGTATGTATGTATGTATGTATGTATGTATGTATGTATGTATGTATGTATGTATGTATGTATGTATGTATGTATGTATGTATGTATGTATGTATGTATGTATGTATGTATGTATGTATGTATGTATGTATGTATGTATGTATGTATGTATGTATGTATGTATGTATGTATGTATGTATGTATGTATGTATGTATGTATGTATGTATGTATGTATGTATGTATGTATGTATGTATGTATGTATGTATGTATGTATGTATGTATGTATGTATGTATGTATGTATGTATGTATGTATGTATGTATGTATGTATGTATGTATGTATGTATGTATGTATGTATGTATGTATGTATGTATGTGTGTATAGATGTAATGTATGTAATGTATGTAATGTATGTATGTATGTAATGTAATGTAATGTAATGTAATGTAATGTAATGTAATGTTATGTATGTATGTATGTATGTATGTGTGTGCGTGTTTTTGTATGTATGCATGCATGCATGCATGCATCCATGCATGTATGTATGTATGTATGTATGTATATATGTAATGTAATGTAATGTAATGTAATTCAATGTAATGTAATGCAATGTAACGTAATTTCACGCCATGTCAAGTCACGTCATGTCGTGTCGTGTCATTTCATATCATGTCATGTATGTATGTATGTATGTATGTAATGTATGCATGTATTTGTATGACATGGCGAGGGCAGTGCCCCCGACACTGCATTCTGCACAAGCAAACATATATCAATTCACCCAACTGCCGGCAGGTTTGCACAAGTCAATAGGGCTGGTTCGCGGCTGGTGGAGGCCCCAGCTGACTGTAGCCGGTGACCCACGGTCCAGGAGAAGGGCGGGAAGTTGAATGACGAGGAGAGTCCGAGCACTCCGCTGCTCTTGTCGTTCGGTTCGTGCCTGAAAGCCCCATTGGTCAAAAGAGCTGCTTTCCGTCCCATCAAACTTGTGTTGTAGCCCATGAGGCACCATGTGATTCTCCCCCAGGGACCCAGGGACTGACACAGTATAACGTGAGGTAGACCGTCTTCTCTGACCATGCTTGTAGTTGGGTTCTAGTAAGGGTCTCCGGGGGGTTGTAGGAAACCCTGCATGAACCTAGCTATTTTTGGAGACCAAGGGCCTTGGATGCTCGAGCGGAACACCCCATGTTGATCGCTTGATATCCGTTGATTTGTCTGCTGCCATCGTTCAAAAAAGATCCGCTGTAATTGCTGCAGCCACAAAGAACTCGCCGAGTAGCGGGTGAATTCCGCGCTTGGCGTCGCCAACCCTTAGTTTGGCAATCTCCAGCATCTCTTGGCGTCGCCGCCCTGGTGTGGTGATCATCTCTGCTGTTCTTCGTGACCGCTTGGCTAGGGTCTACCCATGCAAATTAATTACGAAGGTCTTTGGTATTGCTGAGGGACCTTAGCTTCGCCAACACATTCTTCATCTACTTTTGTCGTCATTTTGGGCCATGGTGGCCTTCCTGTGGTGTGGTTGTAAAACACTCGGATGGGCGTGTCTTGACCGAGGTGCCCTTGCTAAGTTTGTTGAAGCTACCCATTTTGGTGACCCCACCCCTTTGTGACAAGGCGCCACCTTACACGTCCCCTTCGACATCACCCAGCCGAAAGGAAACTCTAGCAACCTTGGCCCAGATGATGATTATGATGATGATGATGATGATGATGATGACATTTTTGCCTCGCGAGTTCTTGAGGATTGGGCCAATTTTCCCGATTCATTCCTTTAATTTGATTGTTTTCTTTGAACATGAGCTCCGAAAAGAACCGGTTCCATCTGGGCTCGCCCAGACAAGCGCAGGGTTCCAGGTTCCCAGGTTCGCGAGCGGCGTGCCAGACGAGTCACTGGTTGCGCAACGAGGCCTCGCTCGCTTGGCCGCCCCACGGGAGCATAGTCCCTTTAAAGTGGCTCAAGTACCTGGAGCCTCCATGAGCCTTTAAAAACGGGTCCATGACCCCAATATTTGGGGTAATGACCCCACTTTTTAAGGGTCATGGAGACTCCAGTAATCATAAGGGTCCACGTTCCAGGCTTCGTAAATTTCGTCCATCACGGCCAGCGTCCCGACATGCAAACTATGGGCCCTTTCCGGCTCAATGCACGCACGGGAGGAGCTTTTCGGCAAAGAGGTCTTCCGACTCTGGCGTATTCATCCGCCCAAGCATCCAGAGGAGGCCGCGGGCCTCAGAGTCAAGGGATGTGAAGCCGAGTCGAGGGATGTGCGTCAACCAGGGAATGGTTCAAAAAGGGGAAGCTACATGAGGATGTCTAAGCAAATTTGTATTTAGGCATGTAACTGCTTAAGAGAGACGGTCCTGAATTTCGAAGATTGCCTTGCAGAAGTGTGGTTTGTTCCGGAGGTTCCGGGACCCTGATGTTTTTTACCCCAGTCAGTGCTGTTGGGGATACGTCTTGGGTTTGTTGTGTCGGTTTGGGACCCAGAAAGCAACGGATCAACCGAAATGGATCGCCCCCAAGAGGACAGCGTTTGTTCTACCAGTGTCACTGGGGGGGTCGCGGGAGAGGTGGCGAGAGCAAGTTTCGAACGGGGAGCTGCACCACTCACCGGGTCACTCCCGTTTCCCAGCGGTTGTGTTCGGCGGGCCCACGAAATAGACACTTAATGGTTGAAAGCAGAAGCGTCTTTTTTTTCTTGTCCAATTCGCTGCGCAAGTAGGGCTTGATTTGAGATGCACACATGTCCTTGTTCGAACAAGCTGGCTCTTTGGGACGAAAAGGAACCTTGGTGGCTCAGCTTGTGGTCAGTTGGGCTACATGGGAGGAGCTATCTAGTTAATCAAGGGTAGCTTCTCATTGAATGAGGCTTGTTGTTGGCTCCTTATAGGCTGCGGCACATTTTCCAGCTGAGCTTGAGTCACCGAAGAGATTGAGCGCAGCTGCGCGTCGCGTTTGCTGGCCTCGAACCCTTCTTGTGGCGCCTGAACCGCGGGTAGAATGTAAAGATTTCCCAGGTTCTGCTTTCTGCTTTCAAGTGAGTCAAGTGTTTACTTCTGTCAGGTCAAGACCAGGGGATTTAACATTGGCTCAGTTGTTCAGTGGCACCAATTCTTTTTCCTTTGTTTTTGGGTGACTGCCCCACTAAAAAATGGTCCAAGCCCCAAAAAGGGGAACCCCTTTTTTTCCAGGGTCACTGAACAATGTTGGCAGCTTCACGTCCTCAAGCGGCGAAGGTCCTGTTTCCGGGGCTCGGATGCCTGAGGTTCCTTGAGGGCAACGCATCCAGTGGGTGTGATGCGCTCACACTCTCTGACTTCACGGACTTTTATGCTTTTGGGAAAAAAAGCAAAAGCATTTTAGTCGTAAACAAAAAGGTCCATCTCTTCTTGGCCAGTCTTTTCACTCGGGAAGTGAGTTGCTCTCAGCTGAGGCTTGGGAGTTCTTTCAGGACAGCCTCAAGGCCGCGGGCGGTTCCGCGACAGCTGACCTCTTAGCCCTTGCTTTAGACCCTAAAAAAGCAAACTGACGGATTCGTCCAGTTTTGTAGCGTTTTTTTTTTTAAGGAGTTGGGGTCCGGGAAGTCTAGCAGTACATTGAATTGGCTTTGTACTGCGGTCAAAGTCCGGGAAGTTTGCACATCCTATATAATTTGACAGTCACAGTTTCTACTTTTGAATTGCTTTTAGTAGGAGCCATCTCCGGGATTCTCCGGGAATATTTTCAGATGTGTTTTTCGCTGACAGCAGTCTTGCGACTACTTGTGAATTGCCTTTGTATTTTGTATGGATGAATCCCCCCTTAAGGAAGCCAGGTTGTGTAAGGGCCAACCAGGATCTCAGGAGATGCCCCGGCAACCACATGGATCAGTTTCTTTTAAGCTAGGCGATACTCCTTCACTGTCTGGCAATTCTACTTGTGTTGGCTTTACACTAAGAACTCCTCATGAACAAGATCTCCAACAGGTTGATATTTGGTTTGCGTCATACTGGGAAGCTGTCAATGGCACGAAAGGTTGGAATCAATAGGGAATAAAACTATATTTGCGGGCCTCATGTGGGGGGTAGCTGTGCCAGTGCAAGTGACTCTGTTGGGGGCGGGGATACCCTTGGCTGATTATTTAAGGGTGCTTTTTGCGAACAGTTTGAACAACTAGTTCATCTCATGCACAGGGCCCCCTTTTTGTTGGTTGACTTCATCTAGGGAAGCTGGTAAGTTTGCCAAAGAGTAGAATTGAAGAGGCTTTTAAAGGTTGGCGGTTGTAAGGGCAGGGCTGCGTCAAAAACAACTGAGCCGGGGATTATTTGGGTGCAATGTGTTGCTTTGTTGAGGGGTAGTTGATTTGCCTTAGCTTTATTCAGGGGTAGTTTGTTGACAGGTGGACATCATGGACCGACCCCCGGGTTCTCGGATTCCAGGTACGGAAGGTCCGAGCAGGTTGTTTTGGTTAGTGTTTCAACCGGCTGAGCTGTTCTTTTGTTTTGTGTTGCCAGAAGCCACGTGTTTGCGATTCTTAACTTGCATTGTGAGTCCTCTTGTCGCGACTCCTGTTTGGGCAGGTATCCACCGGGTGAGACATGGCATCTCTGGCTCAGGCCAGCAAGGCTGTGGACTATGACGCCCCCACTGAGGAGCCACCCACCCCAGGCCGGAGGAACGTCTACGTGAAAGATAAAACCAGTTATACAGTAAGTGATGCGTATCCGAGTTAGTAAGTGCCGTGTATAGAACGGGCTGACTTTAAGTCCTACTTCATTTTGGGGAGTTTCGGGAGCCTACTTACAATGTGTAACATCTATGCACATCGATCTGGGTATGTGTATTTGTGTGTGTGCCTTCCTGTATGTCCATTGCTATTGTTTCATTAGTCCTTACGTCTTAGTTTTGGCGTGTGTGAATGATCATTGACCAGCAAACATGTTCGATTTGAGGAGGGTCAAAGTTTGGTCTGAGCACGTCAGGCAAGAGAGAAAACGGTTCCCATCGACTGGCATAAGCGCCCCTGAAGGCAGAAGTCGGCAACGGCCAAGTTTGGCCAAGAGTGTGGATTCACCCTTGACTGCTATTGGGTTGGATCCTTAGACTTAAACTTTTTGGGAAACAAACGTTTTCCACTAAACCCCCCCCCAAAAAAAAACTTTTTGCAGGGGGTCAACAGCAACCAAGAACCCAGCGCATGTAGCAGAAAAACAAAGGTCCTGGACTTGGAGCAAATGCCAAGTTTCAGTGGGCACCCGTTCATCTTGTTTTTAAGCGGCATCACCTTTTGATTTTTGAGGCAGGCCCTTTGCACTGAGGTTCTGGAGGTTTTACGGGTTTTAGAGGATGGTGGATTCCATTGAGGTGTTTAAACAACACAACAAAAGTCCGATGAATATTCGCAGGGGCCACCAAACACACGGAAGTGCAAAGATCTGTAGTAGACTCGTTTCCATTCGGAGAAGAGACTTTCACTTCTCTCTTACTTGGCAGCTGCTTGCAGCTACTCTCCTGCAGATCATGGAGCCCCAACACAACCTCCTTTTGCTCGAGGAATTGACTTGACTCGACCAGATCTGGCATTGCTGTTGTTCCCCTTTGGTGCAGTCAGTCCTTTGGCACCCTGCAACAAAGTCGCCAGTCAAGTGAGACCGAACATGCCCGAATTCCCTGGTTTTTCCTTTTGGGGCGAGCTTGACCTTTGTTCCTTGCGTCTCCACCCCGTTAGGTTCTAAAACCAACCGCTGCGCCAAGTGACCCGCCAGAACCCGCGGGGCCTGGGCCGTCGCCACCGGCGCCACCGGCGCCACCCTCACCCAAGCCGAAGCCCTCGGAGCCGGGGACCAACTGGCAGGAGCGCCCGGAGTGCGATCGCAGCGCGGCCGCCGCCCCTTTTTTCTCTTTTTTTCGGGGGGGGGAAGTAAGAACCCCCTGGTAGGTTTGGTCGAAAAAGGCGCTTTTGTTCAGGGAAGACCTCGTTGCCTTGGGGGGACACCGAAGGGGAAAAACGATTTGGCAGTGAATTTTTTGGAGGGGTCTGTAACAGAGCCGCGGCGGACATACGTTACAGACCTTGTTACAGACCTCTGTAACAAAACCAGCTGGCTCGTTACACACCCCTCGTTACGCACCCTCGTTACACACCCTCGTTATACGCCCTCGATACACACCTCAGATGAACAAACCGCGCCAGTGCCAGTGACGTGACTGCCCTCTTTTTTCCGCAGCTTGGCTTGCGTTGAATAGCTGCAATCAAGTGCTTCGCTTTGCCTCGTTACAGACCTCGTTTCATAGCCGTTACATACCTCGTTACAGACCCAACCCCAGCTCGGGCCAGCGACCCCCTTTTTGCCGCAGCTTCGCTTGCGTTGAATAGAGCTGCGGAGGCGTGCTTTGCGTGCTGCGCTTTGCTTTGCCTCGTTACAGGCCTCGTTACATAGCCAGCCGTCACATGCCTCGTTAGAGACCCAACCCCGGCCCAGGCCAGCGACCCCCTTTTTGCCGCAGCTTGGCTTGCGTTGAGTAGCTGCAAGCAAGCTGGTGCTGCAGAGGCGTGCCTTGCACACCGCTTTGCCTCGTTACAGACCTCGTTAAATAGCCGTTGCAGACCCAACCCCCAGCCTGGGCCAGCGACCCCGCTTTTTGCCGCAGCTTGGCTTGCGTTGAGTAGCTGCAATCAAGCCGGAGCTGCGGAGGTGCGCTTTGCGTGCTGCGCTGTGCTTTGCCTCGTTACAGACCTCGTTACATAGCCATTACATACCTCGTTGTGCTGCGCTACATTGTGCTACTGATACTGCTTGTCAGGAAATGTTTGTCCCGTTGCAGACCTGCGTAACAAGGACCTCCGTTACAGACCTCCGTAACAAGTTTATAACGCGCGTCGCGCGTTATAGACCCCTTAAAAAAATCATAACCATTCAGGGGTGTCCTCCTTGGAGATGTGGGCGGTTTTTGTTTGAGGATAGAGTTTTTTGCTAGGATGCTTTTTCAAGGGCAACCAAGGGACATCAACTTCTTTATGGAGGTTCTCCTATTCTAGACGCACTCGAACGTCCATGTAGATCAAAGGGGGACACCCTTTTGGGTCCTTGGCAGCGGTTCAGGGCGGGCCAGCATTTGGACAGCTTTGCATGGGAGTCCATGTTGTTTCTTAGGCTGGCCATAAGCCTTCCAGGCTGCAGTAAGTCCGTCAAGAACCACGTACAAAGTGGGTTGGTCATCCAAACAGGCCAGGGAACTAGGAAGGAAGGAATGCAGATTCTGCAAAATGGCCTCTTTGCCGGCCGGCCGTCACCAACGTGCAGCCCGTTTCTCCAAATGACATAGAACCTGAGGGGCACTACCCTTCTTCTATGGGATGAGCGCGAGGGCGTTGCTAGCCGAAGGGAAGCGCGGCCACCCTGGGGCAGGCTGCCTAGTAACTTACAGCCAGTGGCCAAAGACGCACATGGACGCTTTTCTTTGACCAGTCCCGGTGGTAATTCGGAACCCAGTCAACTGCAGAGTGGCATTCCATGAGGAAAGCACAGCTGCAGACCCTCTTTTTGGGCCTGGCCTTTGAAAAGCGAACAAAAGGGAACCACTTTGTTCAGTGGCACCTTTTCTTTTTTTCTTTTGGTGGCTGCCCCACAAAAAATTGTCTTTCCCAAAAAGGGTTCCCTTTTTTTCCAGGGTCACTGAAGAACTGAGACAAGGAGTTGCAAGCTCCTGGGTTCCAGCTGTAAGTTGCTCAGCTTAGCTCCCCGAGGTCCGTGATCTTTGCAGTGCTGGCTGCAGCGGCGCTGGTCATGGCGCCTTGGCAACTTGAAGGCCACGGCCACTGGTGAAATGAGGCTGGTTCGCAAGGATAAACAGGATCACTCACTTGCCCAAGGCCCACCTTTTGAGCATTTGAGGTCCTTTCGGTCTATTTTTAGGCATGGCCCCAAAAGGTGCACCTTACATTGGGTGCTTTGGGCGACTGAGGCAAGCGTCGAGTAAAGTTAAAAGGCATTGTGATAGTCATTTGAATATGGTCCAATCCAGGCCATGGGCATTGTTTGCGATTCATCCGTTTGGTTAGCACAGGCTCGCAAAAATTGGGCTTGTCCAGCAGCAGTGCGCTCTAGGCAACTTCAACTTCTTCATACCTGCTCTTACGTATATGCTGCACGTTATGCGCACATGCGGCATCCTTGTTTTCAGCCAAGATGGCAAAATACGTTTTAGCGTACAATCGGAAGGTATTTGTCACAGAGTTGGCCAGGAGGATGACATCACAGATCACTTTGTTTGGCGCAGCTCACTGCGAGCCATGTCGGGTTTGGCACAAAGGGCTCACCATGGCGGGAATGCTAGCATGGTTACGATCATGGACGGTTGCAGATGGCCACATGCATGTGATTTCTGCCAATTTCGGAGTCGCACATGCACTGTTCCCAGGACAGTTCAAATTTGTTGGTAGGGTTCCCCCCCGTTCACTTACGAATCCGTAGTGACACGGTGGATTCCATTTGCTTCCTGTGCAGGGAAGGAGTTGCCTGGAGTAGACTTAGGATACATTTTGCATTTTACCTGTGACTCAAAGTGAAGCAAACCATAAAATCCACATTCTATAACTGGTCCCCACTTTAATCATGTTGCCTTTGGATGTTCGATGGAACCAGACGATTCCCATTCGCCCAGGTGTTCCTTTTCATGCCGATGCCCCAGGGGCTCAGGGGAGGGCAAAGCCAAGCGAACTGTCGCCGTGGGCTTTTGCATTTCAAAGTCATCGAATTGCCTTTTGAAACCTGACTCTCTGACTAGACCTTGACCTATTCTGGAAACACATTTGATCCGTCGAAGTTACTCCCTTGCCTGTATGCCCTGTTTGGTCATCCAGGCAACCTTCTGACCTGGTTCCAGCCGATTTGGGTTTCGACGTGTGGTCCATGTTTAGTCTGCAGTTGATGCAATTTCAGCCAATTGTCCATGAGCTATCCTCAGCACATGGATGTGCATAGACGCCTTTTGAAGACTATTGTCCTGCCAAAGGGACCTGTGCACAAGCCATCCTTGTCGGTATGGCAAAACAGCCCCGTGAAGTCTTTTTTGTGGGGGGGGGGTTGGAGTCTCTGGAAAGGTGGGCTTTCTTTTGGTTCCCTTCGCAGAGCCCAAAAAGGGTACTCCGAATCATGTTATTCACCCCCCCCGATTGGTAAGCCTTCCTCTTTGGGCTTTTCTCCTTGCCCGGACGATACTGGCCCCCAGCGGAGGTACCGCGACACCCGGCGGAGGCAGGCGGCGGCAAGAGGATCCTATATGGAGGAAGGCGACGGCCGGGCGCTGCGCCTTGGAGTCGAGGGGGAATTGTTTTGGGGGGAGGTGGTCGACTTGTTCTTTTCCTACCCTGAGGCTCCTGGCTTCGGCTTATGGAAGAGCCGACCCCTTAGCAGACACCCCGGAGATATTTGGGACCCGGTCTCAAAAGACCCTAAATCAATCAGGAGCCTCTGGGTAGTACGGTTGACAGTCATGCTAGACCGAGCCGCGAGTTCAGTTCCATAACTTAGCGCCCCATGCTGCGGCTTAGCCATGCAACGAACAGGAAGACCATGCGAGCATGGGTTGCACGAACCCACCCACCCGTGGCCAGGAAGAGGAACAGCAATGCCACTTCTAAGGAAGGGGCTCATTTGCCCGAAACAAACATGAACATGGTTGTTGTTGGGAAACATTTTACATTGTTGCTTATTGTGGTTTAGCTGGAAATCCCCACTCAACTGCTGAAATCTATTTTTGCTCCCCTTCCAACGTCAACCAAGTGAATATGACAAAAGGTTGGCTTTGTTCAAGACCCAACCGAGACAAACAAACAGCAACAAGTGGGCGACTCTGAACAGCGTCAGCCTGGCCTGTGCCCATGACTTGGTCCAACTTCACTAGGCTACTGAAGTATTTGGAAACGAATGCGGGTACACAGCACCGCCAACTTGGAGTTGCTTCAAGGCTTGGTTCGTCAATCACCATGGCAGCCACCTGGTCCAGCGTTTGCCAACCAGCCCAGACACATCCCAGGCAGATGTCGCGAATGTGAGCCGAAGCAAGGGACATCTCAGTTTTACAAGTGTACCAGATTTATCACAGTCGAGTCCCGTTGATAGACACGACCACTTTGCATCAGCATTTCCCACTTGGCCAAGAGGAAGAGGCCTTTGAACGTTTAGTTTCCGGTGATTGGCCCCAATTTGAGCCACATAGGCACGCAGCTCTAAAGGCAAAGGCACGCGTGTTTGCGGCTAACACTTCCGCACAACAAGTAGTTCCAAAGCACCCCCTTGTCCGTGTATCATTTGAAACAGCAGGTGTGTGTTTTTGAGGGGCAAACGGGGATATCAATGAAGCACAGTGGTTCTGCTTTGGTAAGCATAAGGTCCCTGTTGTGCGACAGCTTCTGCTGTGGACTTGGCAACCGATTGCCTGACAGCCTTCTGCTTGCATGGGGTGCGTCAGAGGTTTCACAGCGGCAGTTCAGATCGATTTGCCTCGCGGAAAAGGGCAGCTGCTGCTTCTTCAAGTGCTCGCTCTTCAGGAGGATGGCTGTTTTCTTTGCTGACAATGTTTGCATGCTATTCGACACCCCTGCCACTCAAGCAACAGGAAGCGAATTGATTGTCAACTTTGGTCTAGTCTATATTCTGCGAGACTGACAGACAGGATGGGGGATCCTTCATCCAGACGACCCCTGAGATTTCAGAATATGTGTGGTTTTGTTGGGGGGGATTGGAAGAGGGAGAATTTGGGACCGCCTTCCCCTAAAGTTAGAGCGGGCTGCGAGCGCTTTGCGCAGCTTGATCTCATGGCCTCGACCTTGTTCCTCGCACGAGATGGTCGCGATTTGCCTGGTGGAGGTGTCCCATTGCGGACGGATGAGAATTGGGGAGCATGATCGTTTTGAACAACCCGACAAACTGCTTCCCCGGAATATCGTAACACTTCGTAACTTGTCCCCGGGCGCTGGTCGATATGAACCGGGCGTGCGATCCATGCGGGTGGCACCGATGCATTTGCACCAATCTGGGCGGGCGAGTCTTCCAGGCACCGTCTCAAACCACAACGAGAGATTCTGTGGGCGTTTCAAGCTTGTTGTAAGTCTTGCCAAAGTGGTGACAAAGACGGACCCTTAAAGACAATTTCCTCCAAGGCCTTTTTGCAGCCCGCAAGAAAAGATTTCGGGTGAGCGAATGGGATTCCTTCAGTCGTTGGAATCCTGAGGCCTGAGAGGCAAGCGAGTGCCGAGCTCTCAGTTCTGAGGTTCTGAGGTGCCGGGCACTTGTTTTCAGTGGGTGTTTCCTCAAAGGGACGCAGCACAGTTTACTTGGCCATGATGACAGGTCAATAGAATTTGGTGCAGAGGCCCTTGTTTGAAGCCTGGGTCCAAAGGGGCGCGAACTATTAGGAGGAAAGCAGTCTTGGGTCTCCTTTTTTGGAAGGACGTGTGGTTGCACACTTGTGTTTGCAAATGATGGCCAAAAAAATGAGCGATCACCGAAGGGTTCTTTGTATGCGCTTGCCCCTTTTTGTAAAGCAAGCCATAATTCGAAGGCATCCCCACTCCGCTTTTTGCACCAACCAGAGATTGAAAGCTTGTTCACCTTGTGGCCATGCCTCAGGCCGTGCAGCCTGTACCAAGGGTACAACTATCCCGTTTTCCTTGGTCGTGGTTTGGGTAGTGGATACGCCCTAGGGTTCGACCCCCACTAAAAGGCAATTTCGCCAAAGGAGTCTTTGTTTCAGTCTGCCAGAAGTGGGGCCCAGTTAGTGGCACTTCTTCTTATCCCTGGTTCCGAGTGTTTGTTTTTCCAGTTTTCATCTTCACTGGGGCAGCTTACAGAACAATTCGGGTATGCATCTACCAGCAGTCAATTGTTTCCCCCTTGCTGTCCTGCCCTCGTGTGGAGACCGTTTGCGAGCTCTTGCCTTCCATTTGCGAGGATGGAGCTCGTTTTTTCTGAGGCCGGGCTCTTGCGCGGGACTTTCGCCACAAAGAGGGTGATTATGCAGATGCAAGCCGACCCAAAGGCAAAAAGGCGCATTGCGAGACTGAGATTTGGATGCCTAGCTCCAGCCTTTTCAACAGAATGTTAGTACCCCCGCTGTGACTGTCATGTTTGTTGGAAGGAAAGCTGGTTATTGGCTGCCATGACTTCTGCCTCACTGCCGCCTGTGTTTCTGAAGTTTGCGCTTCTTGAGCAGACCAGTTTAGTGCTAAACCAAAAGTCTGCACTCGTTTGACCAATCCATCCCCGCCCCCTACAAACTGGAATTAGGGGAGGGGGGTGACCCCTGGAATTCTATTTAGGGTTCCATTTTCCCTTTTGTGGTTGGAAGACTGCAATGGTGGGACCGGGTCCCACCCCCCTCCCAAGGTAGGGGGGATACCAATCCAGGACCTGAGCAACAGAGACGAAGCTTGGCGCCCGCCTTCGGTCCTTCGGCTCCAGGTGTCCCATGCAGCGGGGGAAAGAAAAGTGCAAGTCCGGTCTAGACCATCACTATAGATAGACTACCTTCTGGATAGCGCGACACAGAGAGAGAGGGAGACAAATATTAGCTAGATTGTGAATGGGGAATCTTGATCCTTCGAAATGCTGAAACTCGAAAAGGTGTTCCACCCTCAAAAAATGGTTGATAGACATACGCCCCACATAAATGATGCGCGCCCAAGGTGAAGTCCGCTGCCCAGAGGTTGGCCAAAAGCCGCCCTCCCAGAAAAACAACAAAAACAAACAAGCGCGCAGCAGGATAAGTGGTGGTCCTTGAAGGGCTTGAGCCAGCAGGAAATGCGGCGGACGTTGCAAGAAGGAACGTTTCTTGGGAGTGCATGGAGTGTAAAGGACACTGCAACCTTGCATTGCGGAAGGTCACGATTTGAGTAATGCATGGCTAGAGCTAGAGTCTAAACGTTAGCATGTGACGCACGAGATACATGCAAGTATCTCCATTTTTTTGCCCCTGTTGGTTTTAAAAGGTGTCTATCACTACTGGAAATATTATTATTTTTCCCAGGGGACGTACTCGCAAATGGAGGAAAAGGACGCGCAAGCTTGGAACTGGGATGAGCTACCTTCTCGAGGGAGTCGCTGCCAGGAGTAGAGGGCGCCAAGTTCGGGCGCCTTCCGCCTTCCCGTCGCCTGTCCCACCGCGTACCCCCCAAAACGGGGGGCCTGATGGGCCATGAATTCGCTGCTGGTGGGCACCTGGTCGCTGATCTCCTCCGAGGAGACTTGGGATCATAGAGTGGGGAGGGTGGGGTGTTTGTATTATATGCAGGATCTCGCAGAGTGTTTGGTTGGTTGCTTGAAAGTTGGTTGATGTTGGTGGCTGGTTGGTGGCTTGTTAGATTTAGTTTGTTGGTGGTTTGCTAGTTTTATGAAAGTTTATGGTCACAGGTATCAAAATGCACGCAGAACCTGTGAGAGTCTTGTTGACGCTGTTGTGATGAAATCCCGCACCCGCCGCAAACTAAATACAACATGCAGTGCAGTGAGACTCAAGCAATGCATTTTACGTGCTACAAGCTTTGCAGTGGTGCTTTGAACAGCTCGTCGGCTAACTTTGAACATGCATGTGTTTCAACGTCTTCTGCAGCGCAATTCCTACTGGAAACATCAAGGCTACACATTTGGTACAGGGATTCCGCCGTTGCCTGGCCAGGAGGCACCTATGTCAATGCCTTTCTTACCGGGAGTCTGGGCATTTTGGGGCTTTCAGGAGGCCGAAGAGGGGTTGCTACCTGACAATTCACAGCAAGACAAACTGGAAACCCCGGGAAGTCACCAGCCACTTTCAAACAGGCCGCCACGAACAGCTCAGGAGGTGCTGTCCCGGGCGCGGAAAATGACCCAACGCATCCAGGGCTTTCTGGAGTCTGGGCGCCCGGACTTGCTTGGGTGCCGCTTTGGGGAATTCGGGTGCAACTCCCCGACCAACATCAAGGATTCTCTAAGAATTGGGCACCGCTCATCACCCAAGCACTTTGACCCAATCAGCAACCCCTGCGGGGCTTCATTCCAGTTGGCATGATGATCGGAATTGATGTTGGCCGAGGGGTTGATCGGAACAGACCAGTAAATTGGAATCTTTTGCTGGGTCCCGTAAAGCCAACATTGTTGGGTCCAGTTCGCCCCACTTCCCCTCCCACGGCAGAGGGTAAAGGGTCCCTTGAAGAGGAAATTAATTTCCGGCTATCCTCCGTCAGGTGCTGTGTTAGTGGGAAGTAGGGTATAGATTCTAACCATGGCCTCACTTGCCCAAAGCCAATCGATCATTTGACCGTTTGGTTTCCGATGCTGATTTCTGTTCAGCAAATGTTCCAAAGCACAAGCGGACTATTTAAATTTGTATCGAGCAAATGTATCAGCTGATCGCACCGTCATGACCATTGTGGCAACCCACTTCCTATGTGGATTGAGCATTTCAGAAGGGGAAGAGGGTTGCGGGGTACTCTGCAACGGAGGAACCCGGTATGCAGGTAGCTTTTCAAGTTGCGCATGTTGCCATGTGGGGCGTGAAAGTATGTACGTTGGCTCGGGTGCAGGCACAAACGTGCCTGTGCTTGTATGTTGTTGCGTGTCAGATGTTGGTGCACTTCGTCTCTGGCATGGTTCTGCGTCACGCTCCACGTTGCCCGGTGAGCATGGGCCGCGAGACCATCTGATCTGCGCCATGAAAACATGTCGCGAGTCCTGTGGTCTGTGTAAGAGCTTGAAAGCTGGGGGGCCTGTGTGTGTGGTGCTTCTTTGCCGGGATCCGTTGACATGTGGATCCCCAAGTCAGAGCTGGACAGGGAGGTGAGCATTGTTTAGCTTAGATCGCGAGCAGCTTGGGATGCATCCCAGTATCCGGTTGACAGGGATGTCCAAAAGGATATTGATGCGAGCGTAGCCTGGCTTGCCAGCGACTAACATGGGTGTTTTTGAGGGAGCCACATGGCCACATGGGTGTGTCTTTTTTGAGGGAGCCCTTCATGGCAAAAGGAACAACTCCGTTCTTGGCGCTTTGCTGTTGTCCTTTTTGAGAAAGCCCTTCATTGCAAGAAGGAAGCAACACAATCCTTGCTGCTTTATTACGCGATTCTATGCTATGTCCCCCAGTAGTGCCCTTCTCTCCCCTTTTTGGGGGAGGGTTCCCTACTAAAACAGTCTACACAAAAAAGAAAGTTGGTACCGACTTATTCTAAGCTCTCAAATCTGGACCTAGACCAACCCATAGCCCAGCCCAGCGCTGCGCACTAAAAACCCCCGAGGCAGAACACCGAAGAGCTGAGCCCGGAAGAGCTGAGCCTTCTAGGGTCCGGTGGCCTGGGAGCCAGCCAGCTCTGAGCGGAGCGATTCGACCGCTTTTTTTTTTTAATTTGGGGGGGGGGGGCTGAAACAAACTGTTACGCCTTCAGGTTGCGGACGCAGAGGAATTTTTGAGGATTTGTTGGCAGGTTTCTAGGGGTTCATTCCTTTCCTTTCAGCCATCGTTCTTTTCAAAAACCGGATCTGTGTCCAACCTGAGTTTTTGATGGTTTCCTGAAAAGAAGGATCCCTGGAAGGAATGGGGAAGGTACCCCTAGAATGTTGCCGACTAACTTCGAAGTGCCTGGACAAAACGAAGTCATGACCTTTGCATACCTCGCTTGGGGTGAAGGCAATGAGTCAGGCGATGTCAGGCCAAACGTTTTCAGCCTGCCCTTGGCCTCAGGAACACAGTTTTGGGGCCCACCCTACAAGTATCTTGACACAACCATATGCCTCCTCTTGTCAACATTCTGTATACTATTGGTCTTGAATAAAAGGAAAGTAGTGTTCCTAATGTTTCCATTTCCAGCCCAAGATCAAGTAATTTGCCTTTGCCAGTGATCATTTATGTTGGGAACTATTGGCGACTGCAGGGCTGTAGGGAGCAGGCGGGGCTTCCAACTGCTTACTTCTTTGATACCTTTCAAGAACCGCTACTCCCTTTATCACAGTCGACAAGTCCAAATATGCCCATAGGGTGGAACCTGAATAGGGTGACGGTATTTTCCCTTGGTGCAAGGCCAGCCATGGACCCTTCGGCGCCTTTCTGGCCTCTGCGGTTCGGGCGTTTCCGGGTTTGCGAGGCGGGCGGCGAGGGGAAACCACAAGGAGAGCGAAGAGCGAAGTTCCAAAGAAGCCAACAGCCTCGAAGCACTTTCAATTTTACGGGGGCCAGTAGTGTGGCATCCTCAGAAATGACCCCTCGAAACTGTGTCTTCAAGGGCAACCGCTTTCAAAAGCAAGTCTGAGAGCCCTCTTCAGCTGCAACCACTTGAAGAACCATGGCTTGCCTGGCTCCATACTTGACTGCTTTTGGGTTGGATCTTTAGACTTTAACTTTTTGGGACATATTTCGGTGTTTTCCACTCAACCCCCCCAAACAGGTCTTCACTTCTTGCAGGGGGTCAACTTGTCGCCGCCGGCTCCATATATTTCTCGTTTGGATTCTCGCCCGGTTTCCGACGGCCGAAAACCCGACGGCCGAAAACCCGACGGCCCGAGGCTGCAGAAGCGGGTCGAGAGCCTGGTGCCCTCCTTGAACTTTCTGCTGGCGCAGACCCTGGGCTTGGACTCCTGCGTGCAGCAGGCGGGGCCCGCGCCCGCGGGGCCCGCGGCGTTACGCTCAGGCGCCGCTATGGGGGGGGGGGGGGAGGGGGCGGTGCGGCCGGAAAAGCAAGGAAGGGGGGCCATGTGTTGCTTCAGTGGTCAAATTATACCAACCTTGGAATCGGGTGCAGGAGCCCATCCTTTGTCCCCGTCTTGTTTCGTGGGTTGGCCACTAAAAGTGGTCACCCCCCGCCCCTCAAGTACCCCTACCAACAAACATGGAAGTGCATTGCCCATTTTCAAAAGGCACTTCTTCTTTTTGAGTCGGGGGTTTGTGCGGTTTCTAAAGCTATGTGTGGTTTGCTACTTTACGCATGGTGTTTGTTTTGAGTCACTTTTCGTGAAGTTGGCGAGCTTTGCTGCTACTTGGTTTTGTGTTTTGTCTTTCATTGCCGAGGAAAGCTAATGTTCCCACTAGCCCAAAGCAGGATCAACATGTTGGACAGGGAACGGAACGCTAGCCGCTCTGCGTAGCAAGCAGAGCGTAGCTGGCTGTATGACACCATACTTTGATACATATCATATATATATACATTGAATTATTGACCGGCTGCTGCCGTCGGGGAGTGCCAGGAGATGTTCCGGCAAACAACAACATATCATACAAAGTAGGACATCCATTGAGAAAGTATTCCACGCCGCAGAGCCTGCCGGCACTTTCGCCACATAAATTGGTGGCAAAAACACTCGGGTCGCAAGCGTTAAAGCCAACCCGGTCCCCTAGCCGCAAGCTTTGGCCAGTTTGCTCCCCTTGTTCAACCCCTACACACCTCCGATTTAGACCATGCATATTCTCTTCTTCAGGGATGAGATGTTTCGCTCAATGACAGGCACCCCGTCGAAACCTGATGGGAATTGCTCCGTTGCCACCGTCCAGCAGAAGAAATTCGGCCACTACACTCATTTGGACGGAAGGGAAATTATGTGCGGAGCGGGGCCCCTATGCTTTTCCCATTTGGGGGGTTGGTGGCTGTGTCCATATGTCCTTTTCCTCCTGCTCGACAGGTGTTTCTTTGATCAAGACTACGCCAGTCACGGCCTACATGCCCTTTTTGCGCTGAGTGCTTTCCAAATGCAAAGCCCAGGTGGTGCAGAACACGCAGGACTTGTTGATCGACGTCTGCAGCTTCGCCGCTTTTCCGTGAGAAGTTGAGAGAGAGGCGCTCATCTCATGTACCAAGTTAGGCTGTTCAGGTCAGAACCCCCCCTCTTGAGGGCCTGGTTCTTTTGCGGGACGTGATTCTTGTGAGGTTTGATGAACGTAAGATAAGAGCAAGGGGGATGCACAACCTCATGTGCATCGATTGCTTGTTTTTCTTGTTTTTGCTTTTTCCGGAAACCACTTAAAGGGAGCCCCTGTCAGGGTCTATGTTAGAGGGTTTGAGGGCACAAGCTAGCCCCCACGTGGATCCCTTGAAGAAAGGGTCATACTACAAATCTCACACCCAGACACCCTCCGGGTATGGGATATGCACACCTTTGCAGGGCCAAACATGTTACCAAGAAGAGCCGACCACCCAGCCAAACAGATATGTAAAGCCATGACAACCCACTAACGCAACACACTCTCCAAAACTTGTGCAAACCCACTTGCTCACTGGCGCCTGCTTTCCTCTTGTTTGAGAAAAAAACATCCCCTTTCAACTCCAAGAACCAAAGGATGCCGATTCTTGTTCCCGTGAAAATCCCACTGGGCTGAGTACAGTACCCGTGGACGAGGTTCCACGCCGCCCGAGGTCGAGAGGTCCTGTCCGGAGAAGTCTGGCGGCGCCGGCCTCCCAGACATGTGGAGGGCGAAGAAATCCCATGTCGCACCACCTAAGACACCTTGGGAAAAGCCATGGGTTTGTTACGTTATTTATAGGGGAAAATGATCATGGGGTTTCAATCCATTTCGCACCACCGTTCAGAAATGTTCAGTTTTCTGATGATTCCCCAACGTAAATACCAACAAACCATGTTTTTGTTCATGGTTTCTTGGGTGGTGCGAAATGGATTTCGTCCATCCACAGTAGGGTTTGGTGGTCCGCAAAAGATGAGATTTCTGGCGTCTCCTCCAAAACTGATTTGGGGCTGACTAACAAGCAGAATATGAACATAGTTATGTGGGCGTGTTGAGCGGTATAGTTCCTCGTGGGCTTGAACAAGCACTCAGGGATGTGGTCCTGTTTGGTGCTGCCCTTTTGGGCTTTCTGGCGAAAATGGCTCATGTTGTTGGATCCCTGTGTAACCCGATTTTATTGTTGGTCTCAGTGTTTGCTTCAAAGGTACGGGGACCCTTTGGGTTTGAGTTGAGTTTGAGCTTGAGGTTGAGTTGGATTTAACCTGACGTGGATAGTTGTCGAGGAGAAACCCGCAAGCAGGCTTAAGACAGGAGCCATGTCCATGACGGCCGGGACCGTCGCTTTCCTTTGTAACAGGCTGCAGCAGGGCCTCTACCAGAACCATATGAGTAGACAGGTTGGGTCGGTACAGCGCACTGCTAAAGGTCATGTTGCACCGTGACATGTTTTGGCTATTTGGCAACCGAAAGCCAGCGTCCAACTCGACGACTTGTTTTTCGAAGTTGACATTGTGGTGCGCAGGAGGTCCCTACGCAGCACTTTTGAGGTTCTGTTGCACCTTTGGCCTCATGCTCGGTCTCCGCTGGTGCCAAATGTGGGGCCAGCTGACATGGGCTCCCTGGACGATTCTTTGGTGCATGTAGGGATGTTAGGACTTCAGCTTTTCGCTAACTCGTGGGGTTTCCGTACTAAACCACTAAAAGTTCGTCACTGTTCGCAGGGCTTCGATTTCGCCACCGAGGACTCGGGAACCGGATCGCGCCAACGCCCGCCCTTTGGCTCAATCCATCCGACCAGTGATGGGAGCCATGGCAGGCGGGACGCCATGGTGGGATGGGACGGCGCTCAACGGCTTCAACTGAATGTCCAGGGACGTCGCAAATGATACACTCCCTCAGCCTAACATGGAAGCTGCCAGAAGGCCTCTGTAAATGGAACCAAGTCTTTTTTCAAGGGGTCCTCAGAGTTTCCATGTTAGTCTGAGGGAGTGTATTGGCTGTGGGTCAAAAATAGGGTAACCCCAAAATAGAACCCTGGTAAAGGGACGCATGGACTAAAACCAGTGGTTTTTCTGGTGGTTTGATTTTGGCCCACAGCCATAATATCATGATGTACAGTTGGTTTGGGCTTTGGTTTCCTGTGCCGTGCCGCAGCTCAGCATGCAAGGGTTGTGGCAGGGAGGACTTAAAGCAAGCTGCGGAGGAAAGGAAGATGGTCTTTCCCTGTTTGTCGGTGATACTGTGGATGGCCGAAATCCCGCACCACTTGGAAACCATAGGAAGGCATTGTTTCTAGTATTTACAGGGGAATCATCATTCCAGGGTTTCTTAGGTGGTGCAGGATTGCGTCCATCCACAGTATTGCGTGAAAGCACAGGGCTCAGGAAAGATCCCGCGGTGCGTTCTTCGACACGTGGGTATGAATGTCAACCGGGGGTCTTGTATCTTCTGGTGCATGCCTTTTACACAGCTATATTGCATGCGAAACACTCATCTTGCCTATGTGGTACAAATGCTAAAGGCAAGGCGCAACATTGTCAACGTTCTCTTGAGCAAGTTCCTGACTTGTATGCATAATCTTCCTCTTGATAGGCCTTGTGACCTACAATATGTGCGCAATCTCTGATATATCATTGGTATCTTGTTGGTATCATCGCTGCACAGTGGCCCGCCCCAAGCCGAAACAAAGAAAACAAAGTGGGGCCCATCTCCCCAGCAGCCAGAGGTTTCATTCTTACGCGCAAGTTGTTTCGGGCCCAATGTTGGAGCTATGTCTGAAGAGTTCCAAGACTCTGAATCGCCTGAGGGTGCTTGCAGGCGCCTTCAAGCGTGCGCAGACGCAATTTCAGGACTCCAAAACCAACTCTTGACTCCAGTGCTGCAGGCCAAAGGGCTTTAAAGCGCAGGCGTCCATCACGAAGCCACACTCATACCCAGAAAGTGGGTGCTAAATGCACTTTCCCTGAGCAAGCGCGAGCGCAAAATAAGAGCCAGGCGGCCCCCGGCGGCTTCCGCGGCTGCGGCCCTGGCCTTTGCTTCTTGCCGCTGTGCCATGGCAGAGGCCTCAGAAGGGCTCAGCCACGTGGTGAAGTGGGTCATTGCTACTGGAATATGTCTTTGCTCACTTTCCTGAGTTCATGAACCTTAAACGTTTTGGGAAGACCATCTTAGTGGTAAATATTTTTGTTTGGACTTGTTTTGGGCCATCCACTCAGCAAGGGAGGTTATACACCCCGTAGTTGGTTTACTTGTAGCATTCAGGAACTCCATGCAGAACGTACACCCAGTACATACCGTGGGATAGGCATCGCGAGTTCAACGGCGCGTCGTTTTTTGCTTTGCCCTTCTTCTTTGTGGCGGGGACCAGGTAGAAGGTTGCTGTGTTGTTCATTTACTTCTGCGTTGTTTGTGTGCATTGACTTGTTCCGTTTTTTGTGTGTGTGTGTTTGCTTTTGCCTTGCCTATGTGCATGATTGTGCCGTTTGTTTGCATTGCGTGGTCCTAGTGTGGTTGTCATTGTTTTTTGTTGTTTTTTTTTTTTTTACCTACGTGTTTGTCTTGAATTTCATTGGTTTGTTCTTTCTGGTCTGTATTGTTCTTTTGTTGTTCTTTGTTTGTTTTCTGTTGTTGTGCTATTTTCGGAATATATTCCTTTGCCTCTCTCCCTTGTACGTCGTTGTCCTTTGCTTCGTTTTCCCTTGGTTGTCTTGTTCCACGCGGTCTTTTCAACCAACAATTCACAACAGACTGTTGTGAATTGTTGGTTTGTTCTTCATTTATTTCATTCGTTGGTTCTTTCTTTACTTATTTGTGTATTTACTTCGTGCTTTCTGTCTTCTTTCTGTATTTCTGTCTGACTGGCTGGCTGGCTGTCTGTTTGTCTGTTTGTCTGTCTTTCTATCTGTCTGTCTTTCTTCTTGTTTACGTCTCCTTGGCCTTCTCGGGTGGTTGGCGACGAGAACATGACTGGCCTCTCAGCCTGCTGACTGATGCCTCGCTTCACGTGGCGCTTTCCGGTCAGGAAGAGTCGAGTGAGTGGTCGCCTGAAGTCGCGAGCGCATCCCTCTACGAAACGTCCCTAGCGCTGGTGGGCTGGCCATGCTGGACTGGTGGCAGCCCTCCCTCGAACCCTGTCTTAGCTCTTGTTTGCTTTGCGTGGTCTGCCTGCAAAGCACTGACGGAACATGTGGACGCCTGGAGGTTTGGCGGCCGTGGCAAGTCTGCCAAAGCGTAGAAGCGATGCCGCGCCGACGAAGAGTGGAACTTGTGCGACCTGCGGTGACTCAATTATTTGGCTTGCCCGTTGTTGCCACCGCGAAGCATTTGAAGCACTTGGAGAGCCATAACTGGCTGGCGAACGGTGACGCAAGGGCCTAAATTCACAAGTTTCGGATGCTGCTAACGCCAGGCTTCCGCAGTCAATAGTAACACAATTCCAAGTCCGCGGGTTTGACTTGAAACAGCGGGTGTGCAAAGTACAGAAGTTTTTTTCGGTTTTTGTGACGCTGTTTTGGTTTTGTTTTTCTTTACTTCTCCATTCATGTGCTGTACTAGCTGATGGTTTTCTTCCTTGCTTCCTTCCATTTGTTTGTTTCTACTTCGTTTCCTTCCTTTCTCCCTTCCTTTTTTGTTTGTTTGGTTCTTTCTTGATTTATTTATTTGTTTGTTATTATAGTTGATGTGTTGTTTATTCATGTATTCATTCATTCCTTTGCGTTATTGCTTTCTTTTTGTTTGTGTTATTCTTTCTGTCTTTATTTCTTTCTTTGTTTCTTTCTTTCGTTCTTTCTTTCTTTCTTTCTTTCTTTCTTTGTTTCTTTCTTTCTTTCTTTGTTTCTGTCTTTCTTTTTTCTTGCTTTCTTTCTTTCTTTCTTGCTTTGACTATTTCTTCTCTTTGTTCATACATGTTTGGGTTTATTTATTCCTTTCATTATTGTTTCGTTCATTTTGGTTCCCTGGCAACAAACTGGTAATAATTATGTTTTTTTGTTTTTTCTGTTCTCTATCTGCTGGCTAGTTCATACCCTGATGATGACCACCTGACCACCTCCTACCTCATTCCCTTTCTCTATTCCATGATATTGACTTTATTACCTTATTTTTAGAATTTGATATTTTATTGACTTCTTCTTATGTAAGATGTTTATTTATTCTTGGAAATCATTGCTTATAGGTCTGACTTACCAGGGAGAACCTTTCCAATCAGCTATACCTCATCCCGCTTCATTCCTACACCTGGGAGCGAGCTATAAGATCTCGACTCCTTCACTCGTCAACTTCCGACGACGCAGAGGGAGGAGGTAGGTAGGAAGGGATGGGTCTATGTCTCCTTTGCCCGGCTTCGCTTTTCCCGGTCTCTTGGTCATCACGGGCCAGGCTGCGGAAGGAGTGAAGGAAGGGAAGGGCTTCCACGATTTTACTGTCTCTTAGTTAGTAGTAATCAGGGATTCATCTCAGCCAACCTCGGATTCGCTCAAAACTCACTGCATACCTTTACTGCAAAGGAAAAACACGTGGCACGGTTTCCTCAGCATAACATGTCGCCGCATGTCCGCTACGCAATGTGAGCTGTCTTAGTTTTGGACACGTTCCCAAACTGCCCCTTTGCTCCCATGCATGTTAGCAAGGAACTGATCTTTCGGCTGGCTGCATCGCGACTTGTGTCAGGCAGAGGCTGTAAAAGCAGCCAACTCAAACATTGCCAAA